GGGGGCTGCTGTACTGGCCAGGGCTGGAACTGACAATGTCACCGCCACCGTCATGCTGATTATTGTCTGCCGGGCATGTAGAGCGCCTCTTGTGGAGAAGGACAGGCGGGGAAAGAGTACTAAAGACGGGGGAGAGGCACCCGGCAATGCAAAGCTACTAAGCGAAGGGCAGGAAGAGGGAGATAAGGCTTATTGGCATGGAGGATGGCGCATTTTGCGATAGGAAAGTGAGAAGTGGCTTGCTTTGGTGGCGTAAGGCTGAGTCGCATATTCCTTCGCGGTCCGCTACTACTGCAGGCTTCACGAGTAATACTCTCGTGGCGCGTGCTTGTGCGTATGCGGGGAAGACTGGGGACGGAGCGCTTGCATTATTGAGTAGAGCTGGATCTGACCCCAGGCTTCTGACCAGCAGCCATGGCCCGAGGCGTCGGCGATCAGACTGCTCATCATGATGCTGTTTGTCGCTGATCATTGTGGTGGGGAGCCGGGACATATGTAGAGGGCTAACGAGAACTTCGGAGACACGGCTTGGGCGGTATCTTTCCTGCTAGAGGCCCCATGCATTGTGCGTGCTTACGATGTGAGAATCTAGATCCGCTGCAGATATGCCGGTTTGCGGATGGCTGTAGGTCAGAGTATAGGAAATGTCCACATCCGGCCATGTCGGCAGATGGTTGTGGTAAAGAGTGGAACCTGAAGACGCGGTGAGAATCCTTCGAAGCCTAAATTAGAAATCTTGAGAGCAACGCCTCGTGGCGATATGTACTGTACTAATAGGCCCGTACACACGCTGTCATGAGCAGAACAAGCAGTGATCCTCCGTCTATCCCAGAACTCGCCTTGGCACACATGTGTGCCTATGCTTTCCTCTTGCCCGTATCGTGATCCAACGCCAAACTCCGCCCTTTGAAGTGCACACCACTCATGCAGTTGAGCTTGCCACTAGTTGGCTGAGAGATCACCTCACAGGGGCGACGTATTCGTCCTCGGCCGGCGAGGTGGACGAGGTCTCGACCTTGCCAATATCGTCGCTAGAGCTGTCTCCATCAACACTCTCAGCCTCGGGAATTGCCCCCGCCTTCTCCGGGTCATGCATCGAATGCACTGTGCCCTTCCTTCCCAAGAAGTCTTCCGTTCGCAGCCCCCTCACCTCTTCCGGATTCACACCACGCAGCGGATCCCCACGCTTCTTGCGCTCGTTGATAAACTCGCGGACAGGGCACATGGCAGCGTCGCGGCAGGCTTCCTTGATGTCACTGCCGCTCATACCTGCGGAAACGCGGACGAGATAGTCAAGGTCGAATTGTGCGCGGTCGATTTTGGTGTCCTTTAGAATGAGCTTGAAAATGCCGCGGCGCTGGTGGGCGGATGGGAGTGAGACGGGGAACTTCTTGGGCATACGGCGGAGAATGGCTTCGTCGATGTCTTGGATTCGGTTCGTCGCGCCCAGGATGCAAATACGCTGCGGCATGCCAGCAGCATTGGTAGACGCAAGACCATCCCAGTGGGTCATGAACCTGCGAAACGTCAACAGCCGAAAGGACATTGATGCGCCGGATGCGCTAGAAGACGTACTCTGCCTTGACCATACCACTGGCCTCGTGCTCACCGCTCCGCCTTTGTCCGAGCACAGCATCGATCTCATCGATGAAGACGATGGTGGGCTGGAGCTTGCGGGCGAGCGAGAAGACGGCGCTGACCAGCTTGTTCGAGTCACCGTACCACTTCTCAGTCAAGGTCGAGATGTGCAGGTTGATGAAGCAGGCACCGCTCTCATGCGCAAGGGCCTTGGCAAGCATGGTCTTTCCGCAGCCCGGCGGACCGTACAACAGCACACCGGACGGAGCGGACAGCAACGAAGAAGTATGGCCGTAGAGGTGGGGCAGCGTCAGAGGGTAGATGACGGATTCCTTGAGCTCCTCGATAATGTCCTCCAAGCCTCCAATGTCTACACAGGGTATCAGCATGAGCCGGGCTGATGCCTTCCAAGCGTCCGCTCACCTTCGAAAGAAACGGGTATCTCCTCGGGCGCAACAACCTCCATGGCAATGGACTGCTCGTAGGGGGTGAGGGCCAGCTCGTCGCGGTGCAGCCGCTGGCGGATGCTGTCCTGCTCCTCGTCTTCCTCCTCTTCTTGCCGGGCCAGTATGCCCTTCAGCTTGCGGTTGGCGGCGATGGATTTCTGGCGGGCTTCTTCCTTGGACGAGGCGTCGGGATCGAGCTTGGAGAGGAGGTTGCGCACGACGAAGTACATCAACACCGGCTGCACACTGCATCAGCAAAAGGTCGCGCGTGGCGGAGGCGGGTCCTGGGCTTACGGCGGCCGTGATCATCAGCAGATCGCCCAGGTACGAGTACTTCTTCCATCCCTGGCTCGTCATGGTGTGGATCTTGGGAGTGCGCAGAGGCGAGAGGCCTGGGGGCGCACGCGGGATATGCACAGGGCGGCGTTGGAGGGCAAAGTCGGACAGGTACCCGAGGTGCAGCTGGAGGTGCTGGTTGTTCGCCGCGGGCGCCGCGGACGTGGCGGGCGTGGCGGGCGTGCATCTGTGGCGCCAAAAAAGCCGGGGTGCCCAAGTGCGGAGCTTCGCGCCTCGAGCTTTCAACAAGCTGCCGCTGCTCTCGACGCCCCGCAACCATGGCCCTCCTGCCGCGCATCGTGCGAGCCTCGCCGACCGAAGCACTGGCTGCCCGCCTGCGAAGCGCGTCATGCTTGCCCGTGCGCTCCTGTAGGCTGTACGCGACTCCCCACGGCCTCGGCGCGTCGCCCAAGAGCTCCACCAACCGGCGCCAGGTCACTGTCGCCAACGACAATGGCCATGTGCGCTGGGGCGATCTCACCGCCACCGAGAAGGTCGCCCGCTCGACGCAGCAGTCGTTCAATTTCCTGGTCGTCATCGCCGGCGTCCTTGCAACCGTTCGTCGCGCATCCTCGATGGCCTGAGCCGGGCTGACAGTTGCAGGGCGCCGTTGGCTACGTCATCTATTCCGAAGTCCTCTCCCCCGAAGGCACTACAAACCAATACCACCGCGCCCTGAAGAGGATCAAGGAGGACCCCAAGTGCGTGGAGCTGCTTGGCGACCCCAAGAAAATCGTGGCACACGGCGAAGTGTTTCACAGCCGCATGGCGAGAGCTTGGTCGATAACGTATGTCTGGCTCCAGTCGCCGGCCAGCGCTGCGTGCTAATCTCGCACTAGCTCGAAGAAAGAAAAGGATCGTGCTGGCAACGAGCATCTCTACCTCCGCTTCTACGTATGGCTTCCATCTCCCTGCAGGTGGCTGGGCGCTGTCGACTGATCTGGCACCCAGGTTGATGGCCCGCTCAACAGGGGGACAGTCTTCTTGCACATGATCCAACGACCAGGCGAACAGGAGCTCGATTATCAGTCATTGACGCTCGACGTTCCAGGTAAGCAAAAGGCCTCCTCGGCAATAGCCAAGCTGACCCAACAACAGGCCACAAGCGCATTGTTCTCGAGGATGACAGCTGGTCTCCCCTCAAGAAAAAGTCTGGCAAGCTCTTTGGTGTCCGTTGGTGGTAGATGAGCGAGTTGAGGGTTCTGGGCTCTCACGCCAGCTCCATGCAGAGGTGGAGCTGTGAGTCCAACGAATTAAGATCGCACCCCAGGTGCTCTCCAGGTGCCCTCTAGGGCCGATGTCCCACCCCATGTTAGACTATTTTCGGTCTCGTATTCTGGCCATTCTGACATTGAAGGAGGCCAGTTCTCCGGAGGCTCCCTCGTCAAGCTAGCATCGAGCAGCTTGCAACGGGGAGCAGATGGTGGCCGGACTCATGCGCAGCATTCTACCAAGCTGCATCGGGAGGAGCAAGATAGTGCTCCAACTGTGGGTTGCTTCCAGAAGCGGAATGGAGGTCTTGTGCTATCTCGGAGTGTAGCAAGTGTTTAAGACGTATGAATTATCTCGCGGGCTTATAATATAACCAGCTTACGCTCCAGCCATGAGAAGCCCGACCTGTCCTGTGGCTCTTGCCTTGTTAGATACCCGATGGCCAAGCGTCATCAGCTCTTGCATTGCTCGGAGCGCTCCTGCCTTGGAGACAGTCAACTTGGATCAGACTGTGCGGGAAAGCGGCGCAGACAGCTAGCTAGAACGGACTCGTACCCGTGCCGCTCCTGGCAGGCTGATGGGCCCAGCTACACTTGGTCCTTGCTCCTCTTCGCTCCTCTTTCATTTACTCTCCTATTCAGGCCCACGCTATTGTTAACCCTATGGGCGGCAGTAAATTGTCACCTCAGTCTTGAAGCTCGTCCGTCTCGCCTCTGCAACCATCAAACAGCCAGCCTCGCGCCGAGTGAAGGTCGATGCAATGAGCCTCATCTTCGGCAATGGACTTCACACACGTCATAACAACGCACCTCACGTCTTCAGTACTCACAACGAGTTGTGCGCCGCAATGGGCGGTTGACGGCTCCGTTTCCTTGGATGATTCGCCTTCATCCACGGGCCCGACGCCTTTCACAAGCCCTTTCGCGGACGTCAACCAGCCTTATAGCGTTTCTACGGACGCATCGAACGCCAACATTGGCGTAAAGAGGCTTCCAACATCGGTGCTGGGTCGTCATGTCCGTGCAACAAGCGAGCGCACTCAGACTTCGCACCGCCCAGCCGACATGAACCACAGCGCAAGCGATAGCTCTCTGCCCGAGTCGATCCGCACCTCCGGGAACTCCTCCGCGTCCAGCTTTGCCCGCAGAATCATGAGGACAGGGCCGGACTTGAGGCTCATCAATACCACCAAGACTAGCCTTGCGGAGAGATTCTCACCTGGAGTTAGACGGAGAAGCGTCGCGACCATTGCCAACCTCAAGAAAGTGATGACCTACGAAGATCCCAGTGAAGAAGCCAGTGAAGTTGCTCCAGCCCACCCTTCGGCACTTGCTACACCAGAGCTGAAGGCTTCCGCAAACAAGCCTGCCTGGTTCAGAGCGTTGCGAAGGCAAGAGTCGAATCCCGAAGATTCTGCTGAGCCGTCCAGGCCGTCTCATACTTCAATCCCGAACGCTTCAACGCGGCAGTCCCATTTCCACTCCAAGAGCGACGCCCTCCCTAGACGGTCTAACGTGTCTACCGACGATTCTCATAGCGCATGTGCTTCCTCTGTGGGAGACCTATCCAACTCATCCACCGATAGGCAAGTGAAACGTTCCAAGCCAAGGCCGAGTTTCGCACGCTGGAAATCTCACAGCAGTCACCTGCTCAAGCATGGCAAACCACAGAGTTCTTCACATACATCCACGCCATCAGAGTCCTCAGTACAAACCCCTGCTTCGGACTTCGGTGACGGTCACAGACCGCCCTCCATGGCTTCCCAACAAGCAAGTCTAAAGACATCAAGAAAACGCTGGTTGTGGCGCAAGCCACCTACCCCTCGTGATTCTTTGAGTTTCACCGACGTCAGCAACGCGGTGGGAATGACACCAGAAATAACGGATGCGAGGCCGTTCAAATGTGCGCAAGGCAACAACCCACACCTTCTTCCTCTGTCCTCAAACTAATGCCTGTATAGTTCCTAAGGCCGCTTCACTTTCTCCACAGCAGTTTACCAGTCCTCAGAGAGAAACAAGGTCTGGATGTTCGAACCGATGGAACGGTAGAGAAACACTTGAGCTTCCTCCACTCCCTATAAGTCCAAGTGACTTTGACAAAGCTGTACTTTCTAGCCCTGGCCCTCGTCACGACCGCCGAGGAGCTAGCTCTTACTTTGCAATCCGTGAACCCTCAGTTTCTCCGAGCCACTCGAAACATTACGGTCCTGACTTCATCGGAACCTCCCTCGGCGGGATCTCGCCACAAAGTTCGTCATCCGCCACGGAGGAGCCAGCAGCGACGGAGTCCAACAGCTCTCGAGCGCCAGCAACCTCAATGCCGGGGGAACGAAATGAATACTTTCAAGCCGATGAGCTTCCAGATCGCGAAGCTGACGTCCGCAGAAGCTTACTGGTCCCAGAGTTTGTGCCTCCAGGACAAAATCGGGTCCACACGCCGCCGGAGTTCACTATCGACCGCGCTGCTTCCGGCAGAAATGCCGGCTTCTTCTTTGCCGGGCCTTCATCAGAAGGCGCGAGCAAGGCGCGACGAGTGTCAGGTGCGACTCCAGCTCGGATACGGCGCAAACCTCGCAGCAGCGGTTTGTGGGACAGTGACGCGGTGCTCATGAGCCAGGGTGTGACGGCCGACGATGAGTGGAACGTACCACAAGGACTGTCGCCAGATGAAACACCCGGTATTGAACGCGACTGGGTCGCGGAACGGCTGGACCACATACTGGCGGACTCGCCACAGTCGAGAGTGGAGGCAAACAGAAGAGATTTAGCGTTCGAGTGGGACGTGCCAGAGCATCTGCCCGGCAGTCCGCTGTGTCCGCTTCACCCGAAACATAAGAGCGGTGGGAAGGGGATGTGTGTGTATCACGGTCGGCGGAAGACACGTGGAGGTGTTGACGTTTGACTTGGCAGTGCCAGGGTGGCTTAACGGTGGGGAAATAGGTCGTGAATCACGGACTGTTTGTATCCCAACGCATGCGTCTTCACACTGTCCTGTTCAATTCATCGGGAGCAGTCAGATGATGGAATAGACCCATTCCGTCCTCTTCAGCCCTTCTCAAATCATCGGCTCATTGCTCCTTGTCGAAATGTAGGGTCATTCAGAAACGCTGGTTGATCCTTCGCCCTCTGGCACTCTTCAGCGACCGGTGCAGTGCTGGTCACAGCAGCCGTACATGTGGTGTCTGCAAGCCTTGCACTCCTCGGCACCGCCGGCAGTGCGCTCGTTGCATTGGCAGCTCCCGGTACGTAGAAACGGTCTAGCCTGTAGAAGGACAATTTGCATTCGAATTTCCAGCCAAGTTCAAAAACGGAGAGATGTGGTGTCTCTGCTCATATTTCTCATCCGCGCAATCCAGAACGTTCTTGGATTAACAATGCACTGTATTCCAAATAGACTCTAGAATGGGGTGTCGACCTTCCGGATTAGCCACCAGATGCGGGAACGCACGCAACGCCTGCGGCAAACGACGTCATGCGCTCCGCCCACGACTCTGCGAACATAAACCCTCGAAGCATCCAACCCACCCCGTCAATTTTCCTCCCACCCCCGTGCCGTTACCGTCAACAGCCATGGAAGCCGCCTTCAAGACATTCTTCACCTCCCCGCGCTTCGCCGTCGCAGGCGCCAGCTCCGACCGCGCAAAGTTCGGCCACAAAGGTGCGTGTCCACTCATTCAATTGATCTCCGCTGACACATGGCCACGCACAGTCTTCGTATGGTACCTCCACCACTCCCTCCCCGTCACCCCGATCAACCCGGGCTCCTCCAGCATCACCGCCCTCAGCAAGCCCCACACCACCTCGCCCTCCCCGGCCGCCCTCCCGTCCCCCTCCGAGACCGCCTTATCCGTGATAACGCCGCCGCCCGTGACGCTGCAGCTGCTGCAGGAGGCGAAGGAGGTCGGCATCCGTGCCGTCTGGCTGCAGCCGGGCACGTTCGACGACAAGGTGCTGGAGTTTGCCGAGGAGGCGTGGCCGGGCGCGGTCATCGCCGGGGGGAAGTGGGGGAGGAACGGCGGGCACGGCGAGGGGTGGTGCGTGTTGGTCGACGGGGAGGAGGCGCTGGCGGTTGCGGGGAGGGACTGGTCGCGCTTGTAAAAACAAGCGGGCGGGCGTGAATGGGCTTTGAGGGGGTTGCATCATGAACGCCGGCGCAACGCAGCACATGATGAGGAAGGAGAGGGCTTGGAAACTTACTGTGTTGACGTGGAGCGGGTGGCTTTTGACGGGAGATGAGTCCTGAACTGCACCATGCTGCAGCATGGCCTTGCCCGACTCAACAGGATCCACTGGGATCGGATGACTATCTCAAGGCATCGAGTGGAGTACAGCCCTACCTCAACTTACTGATTACTTTAGTGTAGAGCAAAGTCTCGAAGCTTGCCGCCCTCGGCTATCTGTCACGCCTACTTAGCCTTGCTCATTTCTTGTCGGAGTCTGGTTGCATTTCACCTGCCAGCCGCGATTCTTCTTTCTTTTTGATGTCCAACAGAAGAAAATCTGTTCTCGTTGACTCACTCTCGCACATATAATGCCCATGTTCCGTTTCCTGACCCAAAATTCGACCTTCAATTCCTCGTGCTCGCTGTGGCGTCGGCGGTATGGCGTTGTTGCACATATTCAAGGCTGAGACATTGCAGAGCCAAGCCCGCTACACCGGTCCCTTCCGTACTACCGAGACAATAGGAGGGACAAACTGGTCGCGAGGCGGATCTTGGCACGGCAGGAACCCGGCCTCAAGATACTGTGCCTGCTCCAAATAAGATGCATCTTGCCCACCCAGCAGCTCAGCTGGTTCCAGATGTTATCTTTGCTGACGTCATGTCACGATTCCCAAAAGCTTTTCCAAAGAGATATGTCTCCAATACGAGGAATTTTGAACTTTGATTGAACAGTCCACTGTCAGTGGCATCCGTCGCGAGGGGATCAAAAGATGGCTTCTTTGCATTCGTTGCTCTCAATTTTACCGCCTCCATGACTCCTCCACTGCTACGCATGTTCCTCCTGAAATCGCTACGTCTCCGCCATCATCTTCGTCCCAGTGGACGTATGAGGCTGAGCTATCGGGTAACATCGAAGGCGGGATGCTCACTCAGATTGCCAAGTCTTCCGTGGAGCTCTGGGACGACTCCTACTTCCCGTCTGGCTTTTCCGGTTATGGAAAGGTATGGGACTACAGCGAAGGACGACCGAAACATGTACGAGTTAGAAGCACGCGAAGATGCGCAGGAACTTGAAGTGGGGAAGGAGACTCAGCCATAATCGCGCATCCTCAAGGTGAGTCTGCAAGGTGACCTGTGTACATGCGTAAGGCTAAATGAAGCAGTTCATGGGCGGGAGTCTGACTTGGTGGGAATCCGAGGTGCCGGAGGCAGCGCTTCGCTGGCTTGTCACGTCCGCGGTAAAATCAGTGAAGACCTCTGGAGCCTGGTGGCGCCTTCCCGTTCGGTATGGGTAGTGAAAGGCGCCCGCGCCGTCTTTGCGCCAAGACTTTATGGGCAGTGATGGAAGCAGCCGCCCATCTCAAGTGCCAGTGGCTCTTTCCTAAAATGCCGCCTCTGCCCCAGCTCTTCCGTTTCTGGTTTAGCGGCACGCCGGTTGACCCCGTGCCTTCGGTGCGATCACTGTCGCCGGCGAGCTACTTAAACCCTTCCGCTCCTCGCCCCGAGCCCGTTTCTTTTCTTCTCCTTCATCTCTCCTTTTTCTTTGCTGCCTTCGGCCAAGCCTTGTCTTCGGGCAAGCCTTGTCTTCGGTACGGTCTCGTCTTCGAGCGGGCCATGTCGTCTGGACGGCCTCACTTTGGGGTGAGCTTTTTCTCTGGGGTGGTCTCGCCTCTGGGGGTGTCTTGCCTTTGCGGTGGCCTCGCCTCTGGGGGTGTTTGGTCTTTGGGATAGCCTCGCTTTCGGGCGAGGTTTGCCTTCGCACGAGCTCCGCCTTTGGAGAGGTCCTGCCATGGGACGAGTCTTCGCCTTCAAACGAGCTCCACCTTTGGGGAGGCCCTGCCCTGGGATAAGTCCTCGCCTTCGGGGAGGTCGTTCCTTCGGATGAGTCTCGACTTCGGGGCGGCCGTGCCTTTGGATGAGCTTCGCCTTGGGGGACGTCTTGCCTTCAGGGGGAGCCTTGCCTTCGGGTGGGCCCAACCTGCGGGTCGGCTTAGAGATAGAGTAGATTTGGTTCTGGGGGCTTTGGGCGTCGTCTCTCTGAGTAGACTGCCCGGTGTCGACTACCATTGAAGGTCGGGGTTGGGCGGGATCAGCCACAGTGCTGGGTTCTTTTTTTTCTGTTTTTCTTTCGTTGATGCTTTTGCCTTGAGCAAACTCTTGAGGAAGGAAGCCAAGCAAGGGCCTTGATGCCCGTGGTGCAACGCTGTCGGCCACATGCAACGCAAAGCCATGGGTATGCTGCAAGCTAGTGGGCCTGTTTCACACACAACTGCAAGCCGAAGCTTTTTCTAGCAAGTCAACAAACTGTCTTTCGCAGCTTCGTCTTGGCAAAAGAAACTATCATACTACTGGGCATCCCCCATGTCACCCCGATGATCTCGGAATGTCCAGGAAGAATGCCGGCTCACCCACCCGCACTGAGGGCGAAGCACCTGATGGCATGATCGGCATCGCACACACCGCCCGCACGCAATCACCAGATAGATTGTATCTAGGAAGATCATGAGCAGATGGGATGCAACCGACAGCAAACGCGAGATGGAAGGGGGTTGACCCGTCCAACTGTTGGACGCGAATCACGTCACCAGTTCAGAAACGGGAGACCAAGGAAAAAAAATAAAAGAAACGGGCGGGACCGATGCTAATAAGTACCTAGTGCTCCTCCGCCTCGGGACGGATCGTTCCGGCCGTTGCGGCGCAGCAAGCGCGGTGCCAACGACAACCTAAGAACGAAAAGGAAAACCAACATACCGACGATCTTTTATCATGTCCTTCCTGGGCATTTGCGGACCCTCCCTTTCCCAAATCTGTCTCCTCGTGTTCCCGGCTCCGGAACGACAACCCCGTTACAAACAACCTTGTTTCAGCTATCTGATTGGTGCGGCTTGTCGTGCAAGCGTTGTAGCTGGGCGCGTCTCGTCGGGACGGCCGATGTTACACCCTGCCCACCCTGCTCCCGCTGTCGCTGCCGGGTTCCGCGCGCGACATGTAAGCAGCCGACGACGGCCAAGCGGTCTGAAATTCGCCGCGAGTCCAACAAAACTGCCCCGACCCGCTTTTGCGACGGCAAACGATGCATACTGCAGAATTGTTGAGAGACTGGCGACATGAGAACGTACGCAGAGAAGAGGTTGTTTCGGCAAAGATGTGGACCCCCTTCCCAACAGACGGAGAAGAGTGACGTAGAGAATATCGTCCGTCATGATAAGTGGCTTAGCGTACAAGAAGACATGTCAGAGAAGAAAGTCGGAGACAGCGAAACAAGAGAAAATATAGACGGGATTCCTTTAACATGATTTGTGTTTGTTTGCGCCCGAAGAACCCCTCGCTCCAGTAGAAATGATGATGATGATGACAAAACAGAAATATACCCGTCACTGGGAGCGTTGTTCTCCTACGCCGATATCAGGTTAAACGATGTTTGATGTAAACTCCCACCCCACAGTTGATTTCCCAGAACCCCAAAATCCAATGTAGAAAAGAAAAAGGCATCCCAATTCAAGGGGGATTCCCAGCACGTGCAAAGTCCAAGCTCGCTGTCTGGACCAGGAGAGATAGAAGGGTAGCAAGGAAAGGTAGAAGAAGGGGAGAGATGACAGGAGACGGATGGGAAACGGGGTGGAGATGAAAAGGTTGCGGCCATCCAGCGCCTCCAATGGCAACGACTTCCACATCCATCCGCCTTTCAGCCAGTCAACGCAACAGCTTGAGCTTTTTCTCCGTCTAAATCACGGCCGAGAGGATGTGGTCAGGTGGCAACTTTTGAGTGGTTAGGCTGCGCTCGGCAGGAAGTGGTATCAAGAATTTCGCGAATTGATGGTGCAGACAGAGAGAGTAACTCTTGGCGAGGCGGATCTGTACGAGAAGATGGCGGTCAGCCTGCCGCGCTGCCGGGCCGACGCGAGGGGGGAGCAGAGCAAAGATATTGAGAAATGCAAAAGAGAGAAGCGGGGAAGGCGGACAATGGTCGCTCACCAACGCTGCTGCGGACTACCGCACAGTCTCTGCAAGGCCACCTCGGCGGCATCTTCCTTGGCCTTGTCGACGTACTGGCCGTCGTACCAGAAGCGCGCCGGCACGCTCATGTTGCCGATGTGGACGCTGCTCGACCAGGCAGTGCGGCCACCTGCGAGGGCAGTAGTCAGCGTCAATGCTCCAGCAGGGTTGACATTGTTGGAAGATGCGGTGTGGAGAAGGAGGTGGTGGTGGTGGTGGGCAGGTGAGCGGCCGGGTTAGTTGATATCGAATGATTGCCGGTTTCGGCTGTTTCGGGAAGGAGGATGATGCGTCGATGGCGTTCTCTCGCTGATCCGGGGAAGCAAGGGGGTGACCGGCGCGGCGGGAAGAGGGTATTGTGCGGCGCAGCAAGGCGAAGGCACAGGCGACAGGGAGCGGGCGAGGAGATTTTCATGCGGGATTGACGACTCACCTCGACGGTCGGAAAACTCCTTGTAGACGGGCGGCGGGTAGGAGATGGCTCTGCAGTAGTCTGGAGGCGGTGAGCGGGTGGTGTCGGGCGGCGCGGGCTGGGCTGGGGGAGGGCCTTACCCTGCAGCTTCTCCTGCCACGAGCTAGGGCGGCTGGCCATGGTGAGGAGCGAGAGTTGGGGGGGCGAGTGGTTGTGGGGAAGCCGGCTAGCGGAGGATGGGTTGAAGTGAGTTTTGGAGCAGGGGAGGAAGGAGCGGTCTGGTGCGTGTGCTGTTCACCGCAGAGTGTGATGTGTGCTCTGGCGTGGTGGTCTGGCTGGGGCGTCATCTTTATATCCCGGGGCATCGCGCAGCTTGGGCGTGGAGGTCGCGGTTTGCAGTAGGGAGCCGTTGGAGCAGGGGGGGCGTGAGACGGTGTGGTTCAAGCGTTGACTTGGCCGGCCGGTATCCAACTATTGAGCCGCGCTGCATCATTGCTCAGAGCCAGTTCGCAAGCGATGATTTGGAAGGGAGCCAGGACCCGACCAGGCGGGCGAGTGGAGGGTCGGGCCGCGAGAGGGCAGAATGGCGATGCTCTTCTCATGGCTGCCAGCGCAGCTGCTGCAGGCTGGCGAGCCCATTGCAGCGCCGCCAGCGCGCCCGCTCCGCCCGCACACAAACCAATGCGCGCCAGCAAGGAGAACTGCGAAGCGGAGCTGCCGCCCGCCAACCCCAAGACAGCCCGCTGCGTGTATGAGCTGGCCGGCCCGCGACGTGTCTTTCCCACAGTCCGCGCTAAGCCCTAGCACGATCGACGTGGGCAGCGTCCCGCAGCCAAAAAGAAAAAAGAAAAAAAAAGATCGAGCTGCCGGCTGCTCGGGTCTGCTTGGCCCACACCATTCCAGTTCTGCCGCTGCCGCTGCCGCCCTGCCCGGCCCTGCCCTGCCCTGCCCGGCCCTGCCCTGCCCTGCCCTGCCCTGGCCCAGCCGCTGCCCGCGCGCCATCCGCCGGCTGCAACCGCCGTGGAGCTGCGACGTGCGCTGCGGGTGCGGGTGCGGTGCGGGTGCGGGTGCTGGCAAGTCAAGGCGAGGCGTCGGTGCGCGAGAGCCGCACGATGGCTGAAGCATGGGCCGACCGGCCACCGCCCGCGGGTACCTACTTCCTCGCTGCTCTCGCCGTCGCACCGCCATGGGCCGCAACAAGCCTCCCGCATGGCGTGACGACCGCCCATCATCCATCGTGACGCCCGCTCGGCAATCGGCGCCGCCACGCAGCATCCACACGGCATCCACACAGCATCCACACAGCAGGCGCCGTTGCGCAGGAACCTCTTTTCGCCCGCCCTGCCCGCGGCGGTGAAGGCGCTGTGAGTCTTGATTCATTCATTCATACGGACAGTCGTGCGGCCCGAGGGAATACAAAAGGGAGATGCCGTCCTGGACGCCAGTCATCATCATGCTGCGTGATCCATCCCGTCCCGCCGACCCAGCCCTTCCAAGCTTGCCGGTCCCGATCCCGCGAAAGAAGCAATTCCAATAACATGCCAATCGCCCGCCCCAAATGCTGGACGAACCGAGAGCAAACAATCCGCCAGAAACCCTTGCCTCACCGCTATGCAACCGATGCCCTGTCTCGCGCCCTGCCCGCCCATGCTGATTACGAAAAAAACGCAGCTCTTGCGATACGGATAGCCGGATTCCACGCAAAACCAGACGGCCGCCTGCAGCTGCGCACGAGGCGGTGTGCCCCACGAGCGCGCCGCGTCCTGGATAATGTAACATGCCGGCCATCGTGTCTATGAAAAGGGGAAGGAAAAGAATATTTGTACGAGAAGGGTTATGCAAATTACCGCCACACGCCTGACCGCAACATCACATCCGCCGTCACGCCTCCACGGATGTTCGCCGCAGCGGAGTCGGCCCCCGCGGCGACGTGTTACCGCGCGTGGTACGATGGAAAACTTCGTCAATGAGCCGCTTCGGGCCGACATAGTCCATGTTCAGCTTGAAAGACGCGTTGCGGGACAGGGGAATGTGGATCTGCGTCGACTCCTTGGAGTGGAAGTGGCTCTTGATGCTGTCGTCCACAAGAGCCATGATTCCTGATGAGACAATGACACTGGAAAAACAGGTTAGCAGCTGCGCAGAGCAATCGATATACACGCGTGTACTCACTCAGCAGTGTCGGCGCCACCTTCGATTATTGACGGCTCGCTGATCCACATGGAACACGGAGGGATCCAGCCGCCCTTTGCAGCCTCCTCGCGTGCTTGCGCATTGGTGAGGGGCACGGGAACGATGTGTGCCAGCGCCAGCGGGCTGTCACTCCGCGTCAGGTGGTAAGAGATTTCTTCAAAGTTGCCGTCCTTCTTCGACACGCGTTTCCAGGTGTAGTTCACTCCCCAGTACTCGAATTCATATCTCTTGTTCGACTTGGTGCCGCGGCGCTTGATGTCTACATGGGCGTAGTTGGAGAACTCCATCTTCATCGTGTTGGTGGGCATCAGCTGCGCTCGCTTGGGCTGCTGACCAGCCGACTTAGGGCGTGACTCATCGTCGCCTGCCACCATCGACCCGTACCCGGAATCCTGGCGCTTGAGATCAGATGAGCCGGACACTTTGCGCTCAGGCTTGTGTCGGAACGTGGCGATAGCGCTGCTGAACGACCGCTGCAACGCCGGGCGCTCCGACGGCGGCTTCTGATATTTCCGGATGGCATGGCAGACCTCGCGGCCAGAGTCTCTGCAGTACCGGCGAAGCGAAAAGTCGCGGCTCTTCAGATCGTGCATTCGGAGATGGAAGAGCGTCACGAGTTGCTTTCCCCGCCTCGTCTCCACTTGGGTGTCGATGCGCAGGTTCATGTTCCCATCCATGGTAGAATCGTCATGCTGGATGGACATCCTGTTTGCGGACGGGAAGAGGTCCGCGAAATCTCGCGGCGTTGCTGGGATGGCGTCGGTTGGAAACGCCTCGTGTCTGTACTCGGGAACTTCGTACGGCGGGTAGTCATCTTCCTCCTCTTCCTCTTCCAGCTCTTCTTCCGACGTCGATGCATACGTGTCGACCGAGGACCGGGCCTCGTAATACTCGGCAGGCTCCTCGTAGAACAGCTCGCGACGGCGTTCGGTGGGGGCGTGCCAGGTTTCGGGCTTGGGGAGCGATGGCCGCTGGCTACGCTGTGCGGTGGGGGCGCTGCGTCTTGACCGGTAAGACTCGTCACTAGTGTCGCTGCCGCCGCTGCGTCTTGAGCTGCCGCTACTTGTTGTCGACTGGTAGTCGGTCCAGTAGGTGTTGTGGGACGCCATGGTGGGGGCGGAGGAATGCAAGCTTGGCGGGGGGGTTGGAGACGGAGAGATTACAAGATGGGTATGGAGAAGAGTTGTATTTGGAGCATGCGGGCCGGAGCCTGTGACACGGCGTGGGATATATTTATCAGACGGAAAGAAACATGTGGAAGCCGAGGGGTGCAGTTTCTTGCGAACGGGGCTGGTCAGCCGCAGGCAGGCTGGGTTGATATGTCTCGGTGGGCGGTGCGCAGGCAGATGATCGCGGGGGGTGCGGCGAGGCAGTCAGTGTTATTGTAGGCTGCGGAGGGGTCAGTCGATTCCAGCGATTCATGGAGTCTCTCGCAAGCCACGGCTAAGCGCTCCGGCCGGCCTCGCCCAGGTGGGAGCAGGGCTCTCCGGATGACGCCAAATGGGGAGCGCGCAGACGCACCCAGCCACGCCGACCTCTCCGATCAAAGGCTCGATCGCCCTCCGCCCACGCACGCGCACCCAATCAGCAGCCCCAAGCCCACACCTCTTCGAGCAGCGCGCAGCGCGCCTCTTCCCACCCGCACCAAGCCGCAACCCTCCCTCGACCCCCCTGCCCCGGCCGCGGCGGCCGAAGCAGCGAACGGCGCCGCTCGCACGCAGCGTCGCCCGAGTCGCTGTCGCTCGCTGTCGCCCCGCTGTCGCTCGCTGTCGCTCAACAGCGCACCCGAGCAGGGCGCGGCTCGAGCAAAACCGGGGCCTAGAGCGCCGTGGGCCGTGGGTCGGGGGATCCCCGTTGCCGCAGTGCAAAGTCTGCGAGCGCCCCGGGAGCAGGCTGCCCGCTGCCGCCGTTGGCGCATCACCCAGGTCCCCTCGTCATGATCCACTTGCTTGCTTGGGCAAGCTTCCGCTGCTCGTCTCCTAGTCTCCTCATCCCACGTGCCTGCTCCGTTGTTGTCGACGCCGCATCTCGTGAGCGTTGCTGTCGCTCCACGCCGGCCAGACGTCACTGCGGCGCTCATCGCCGTGCCACAAGCGCGCCGGAAGCCAATACTGCGACCGCGCCGCGGCTGAGGGCTGCAGGCGCGCTGACCTCCGATGCTGCAGCGCGTACCTCCTGGCGGTGTGCCGCGGGGCCGCTTCGATGCGGCCAGCAGGCGCCAGCTCCCATCGGCAGGATCGCTATCGAAGACGGCGGTGCTTCTAGCCTGGCCAGCCATCTGTACCTCCCCTACGTAGTAGTATTATTATTACGCCTCCACTACGCCTCAACTTGCGCCGCCCGATGATTGTTGGGGAGGGGGAGGGGGAGGGGGAGGGCGGCTTCACAGTCACCACCACGCCCTGCGGCTGCGGATATCTGTGTCCCTGCAGGGCTGGAAATAAGCTACAGAAGCCGGTGTGCTGCCTGTCGCGGTTTCCTAAACCGTCAGCTGATGGGCGCGCAGCTCGTCCGCAGACAGCGTGTGCGACAGGCACTCCCGCGCGCGTCGCACCGGGGCCGTCATTCTCAGGCCATCGACCGCCTTCTCCATGTTCATCAGGCCCAGGAGCAGCCGTCCTTCGGCGGGGCTCGGCGGCCAGCCCCAGGTCTCGGACCGGGCAGCGCAGGGCAGCGCAGGGCAGCGCAGGGCAGCGCAGGGCAGCGCAGGCGACGCCCAATGGCCAGCGCCAACGTGGGAGGCAAGAGTCCAGACGGGGGCCGGCGGACCACGTCGACGGCGAGCGACGGCGAGGGACGGCGAGGGACGGCGAGGGCAGCAACCGCAACCGCGTGCCGCTTCGCATCCGAGCGCGAATCGCTGGATCGACTCCCGCGCTGCGAGTCTGTGAACACCACGCGGCGCTGTTCGCATGATTGGCAGGGGAATGCGGCGTGGTCACGCCGTCGCGCTGCAGCACGGCGAATCGCGGAGCTGCGCCCGACGGCCGCCGCTGCAACTCGGCGCGCGACGCCGTCCTGATTCGCCCTCGCTGCGCCAGACAGATCTCTCCGATGGCCTGGCTCTTCCTGGCTCCGTGGCTCCGTGGCTCCGTGGCTCTGCTTCCATGCAGACATCCGCGTCCGAGCTTGGCGAGAGGGCCACGGGTGATGACATCGCCGCCGCGCTCTTGATCTGGAACGTTGCTGCATCGCGGAGTCCTGATTCCAGTGCGGATGTGCTCCATTCAGCACCCGGCCTGCGAGATGGCGCAACCGCCTGCAGCTCCTCGCACACGTAACAGCCCCACGACGCCGGCCGTACCGCTCCAGCACGCCAATACGTACCGACTCCAATCCTCTCCGCCCACGAATGTGTTCCCCGTCTCGTACTGACGGCGTGCAGTGGAGTCAAGACATCATCGCACAGCCTCTACCCGCCGGGCGTGCTGGGCCGCTCCCTCGCCGGCGGCGCAGGCGAGCAAGGCGAGCATCCCAGAGCACATCGCCCTGCGCAAACGCGCACAGCCTCTCGCCTCATGGCCCTGGGTCTGAACATTGCAGCCTTGAGCAGCCTTGAGCAGCCTTGAGCAGCCTTGAGCGGCCTTGAGCGGCCTCGAGTAGCCTCGCAATTGCCCTCAAGTGCCTTCCAAAGGCGGACGTGTTGGGCATCAGTCACCAACAGGGATCTCAGCACGAACGCGTGTAAGACGAACGCTGCTGGCTCGCCCTCCCAAGCCATGGCTGAGAAAGCATTGATCCAAATGGCGCCTTCTCCGCAACCTCACAGCCTCTCCGACGTGGTGGGGTTGTGCCTTTCACTCAGAAGTGCTGGCCTAGCGCAGTCGATCACCCCAGGTCTTCATTGCGAGCAGTCTCATTCCGTGTCGGAAATGACATCTACCTGCGCGTAAGACGAGCCACTCCCGCTCATAGGGCATGCCAGGGGTCGGGACATTACCACCAAGACCTGGCCCGTCCAACTCCGCAATTGGTCAATGCAGCCCTTCTGATGGGATTACACATCTTTCCGGCTGCAGCTCACGGCGCCCTATGGCGCTTCTGCATGAACGTTTGCGGGAGTTTGCGGGCTTCTTGCGCCACACATGGTCGATGGAGTAGCAGAGCAACAGGGGCGGCACCCGCTTGGGCACGCCGTTGTCTGCGCCCGTTTTTCGCGCCGTCGCACCACGCCTCGCCGTGTTCACAGCAGAAACAGACTACTGCCGCCGTTCCAGCTGACCAGAACCCCTGATAAAGGAGACTGCCTCCATTGGGAAAGAAGGACACGAGCGTCGTCAAAGAGGTCGTCATCGGTTGTTTCCTGCCGCTCAACCAAGTCCAACTCCATGCCAGAAGCATCCCCATTCGCAGCCTCGCTGTCTCGTTCTTTCTGACCTTCGAATGGACTGAAAGCTGGTCCTGCCCGAGCAACCTACGCCACGAGCTCTAGACCTGCAGGCTGCCGGCGAGCCCCTCAAGCAAAAGTCAATGCAGAATCGCTAGACTGCTAGCATCCATTTTCGCATCCTTTGGGCCGTTCCGCTCCACAACAGGAAGGATATTCTGCTTTTCCTTTTCCTCCGTCCGAGAGGTTTCCGTCTTACTGACACCACGCACTCACGCACATGTGCACGTGCTTAAAGTCTCGCCGTTGCGCATATCAATGCTGTGCCTCCTCGGTCGCTGCCTACCACAATCTTTTTGGGGGGCCTCGCCCCCGCACGCCGCACGCCGCACGCCGCACGCCGCACGCCTGCCTATCTGCCGCCTGCTGCTCAGCCTGCTGCTCAGCCTGCCGCTGTGGCCTGGCGCACGCATACAAACGTGTGCGCATCTGCGTATTTCTTTTGCCGAGCGTTTGGCGTTCGTCGCTTCACCGGCGAGATTGTGCGTCAGGCTTGCCATCACTTCCACGCTTGGCCTTGACCACTGAACCCTACCCTTGCTGGCCTTGCCTTGCGAATGCACACATCCCTGTTTTAAGCTATTATTGAATTCTGCGGCTCTGGGGCGAGACCGCCCTCTGAAACATGGGCCATTGGTGAAGTGTGGGGCACAGGGCGGCTGCGGCGAGGCTGTGGACGATAGAAGCTAGGCGCTCGAGTCTGAACTCCGTTCGCAGAAGGGCAATATCGAGGTGGCAACAATTGTGGCAAATGCTTATTAGACCCTCTTCGCTCTCTCAATTTTCCCATCCTTCTATTTTCTGCTGACCGGTCCGGCCAGGAAGGCCACGTTGGGATTGAACCTCGCTCTCATGCCGTCTATTTGTCGCCTACACTTCATTTTGCTTCTTCTGTAATGTTTCACGTCCTTGACCGGTCTCCTATATCTTCCTTTCTTCCTTGATTGGGTAATCATTCCACTTTTTTCCGAGGCTGCTTTGGAGTCAAGAGCTGAAACCACGACAAGCGTTTGTCGTGTCAGAATATGGATGGCTATTGGACCAAGTCACCTGCTCCTTTGCTCCCATACTGCTCGGGGGATGTGAGAAGGAGAGAGATGGCCCTTTTCCTGCTCAGCCTGTCAAGCTCCGCCAAATTCGGGGCAACTACAGCAATGCGCCCTTCTTCATTTTTGCTTGTACTGCCGCTCTGGGTGGAATCAGAGAAATCTGTTTCGCCTACGTATGGACATCAAGGGACACTGCCATATCTGTGGAAGTTCACACGATGTCGAGGAAGCATTTAGTGATGGGGAAGCGAATCACGAAATAAGTATTCCCTCAGGGTTCGCTTTAGCTTCTGAGGTACCTCCGCTTCTTCATTGCAAATCAAACACAACCTGGGGTGAGGAAAAATTCGCAGCCATTGCGTTGTTCGCTTGATCGAAGCTGGCCATCCATCCCATCGTTTGACAAGTACCACTGCTTTCCTCGTCGCGTTGGTTCGCTCTCTTTGCGGTCGTGGCGATAAGACGCTCGGCATTTGCGCCATCAGAGCCGGCCGGCGATCGCGCTCCGCCTCCCGGCACCACCGACGCTGATCGCGCGCGCAACGCCCTTGCTGCTTGGACCTGCCGACTGCGCGGGTGGGTTGAAAGGTGGGATGGAGAGCTGTTGCACCCCGCCCCGGCCGCAACGCCCATGCCGATAGGTACCGCTCGTGATAGGGCAACTCGCTGCTTCCCGGTGAGACAATCATCACGGGTTTGGCCAAGGGCCGCTTTCCTGAAAGATCTGCTGCAGGCCTCGACGGTGGTCTTAAAGCCCTCGTCCCACGTCTTTGCCGGACAGCTAGTCGTTTGTCTGGAGAGGCAAGCCGTCTCAAAATGGGCAGCTTTACACCAACCGGAAACATACGCATAGGCGTCGACGTGGGAGGTTCGTAACACCAAAAACCCCCCCAAGACTTGGGCAGCTCAAGAAAACTGCGGACTGACGAGCGACTGCCAGGCACCAATACCGATGCCGTGGCGCTGGATCTCTCCGCGCAGCACACCGAAACCCGCGGCGTGATTGCGCACTTCAAGACCCCCACCACCCCGGACGTCACCTCTGGCATCGAAACAGCCGTCGGCACCGTCATCAAAGCAGCCGGCGTATCGCTGGACAGCATTTCCTGCGTGACCATTGGAACGACCCATTTCATCAACGCCGTCATCGAGCAGGACGCCCGACGCCTGCGCAAAGTCGGTGTTCTCCGCCTGTCCAAGTCTTTCCTCCGTCAGATCCCGCCCTTCAGCGAGTTCCCGGCCGGCTTGACCCGCCTGATCAGGAGCTACATCGGCTATGCCGACGGCGGCCTGCACATCGACGGAGCCGAAGAGGCGCCCGTCGTCGAAGACCAAGTCGTGCGCGAGTGCGCCGAGATCAAAAAGCATGGGATATCTGCTCTCGTCGTGGCCGGCATCTTCTCCCCGATCGACGAGGAGTTCCAGCAGGAGAAACGCGTGCGAGACATCATCCTGCGTGAGATTCCCGGAATCGACGTCGTCTGCTCGCACGAAGTCAGCAACATCGGCTTCCTCGAGCGCGAGAACGCGGCCATCTTGAACGCTTCGATTCTCAAGTATGGACGCCGCACGGTGAGGGGCTTCCGTGAGGCGATGAGCAGGCTGGATCTCAAGTGTGGCCTGTACATCACTCAAAACGACGGCACCTTGCTAGACGCCGCATCTGCCGCCCGCATGCCCATCAGAACATTCTCCTCTGGCGCTACCAACTCGATGCGCGGAGCCGCGTATCTGGCTGGAAAGTCTCTGGACGGCACTTCGGCCGTTGTCGTTGACATTGGAGGCACCACCTCGGACGCTGGCGTGTTGCTGCAGTCCGGGTTCCCAAGACAAGCCTCTGCTTTCGTTACTGTCGCTGGCGTCAAGGTGAACTACAGTATGCCATTCCTGCACTCGATTGGTCTCGGGGGTGGTTCTATTGTTCGGGAGGCTGCCAACGGAAAGGTGACCGTGGGTCCGGACTCCGTTGGCCACTATCTTACCACAGAAGCCAAAGTCTTCGGTGGCAGCAAGTTGACAGCAACAGATATTGCTGTTGCGGCCAAAAGAGCGGTAATCGGAGACATCTCAAGGATTGGCGATGTAAGCCCCGAACTTGCACTCAGGGCGCAAGACAGGATAAAGGCCATGCTTGAGGGAGTCATTGATCTCTGCAAGACCTCTCCGGACCCTTTGCCAGTCTTGCTCGTAGGTGGTGGTTCAGTCCTTGCACCAGAAAGCTTGAAGGGCGCGTCGAAGATAATATGCCCCCCCTTTCACGATGTTGCGAAGTGAGTCTGCTCAATATCGCCTGCAAACTGAGTACTGACATTATACTAGCGCGGTTGGTGCCGCAGTTAGCAAGGTTGGTGGTGTTGTGGACCTGGTTCAGAGCACGGAGCATCAAACACAACAAGAGGCTATCCAAAGAGCCAAAGACCTCGCCATCAAGAGGGCAATGGAAGCCGGTGCAATCCCACAGACTATCACCATTACCGAGATCGACTCCCTTCCTGTCTCATATGTGGCGAACAAATTGCGGACCGTGGTCAAAGCTGTTGGTGAGTTGGATATAGCAAGGCAGCCGACACCACTGGAAGAAAACAACGACTTTGGGGAAGAAGAAGTCGAGGAAAGCAAGGACTACGGTGAGAAGGTTTCGGAGGAATCGCCCGTCGACCCGTTCACCTACAGACCGGATGTCGCGGTTAATCCAGAAACGGGTATAGCCGAATGGAGCCTTTCGAAGACGGACGTGGACTGGCTTGCTGAAGGCTGTTACGTGCTGGGTTGTGCAGGAGGCGGTTCGCCCGCAGCCACCAGGATCCAATTGCGGGACCAGCTGCGGGAAGGTTACAGGCTCAAGATCGTGGATGCGAGTGTGCTACCTGACAATGCCCGCGTCTACTGGGGAGGTCATATGGGGTCTCCGGCAGTTTCCGTGGAGCGACTCAACGCGACAGAAACAGTAGAAGCCTTCCGGGCTCTCATGGAGTACTTGAGACACGACTCTTTCGATGCCGTTATCGGCCTTGAAATCGGCGGCGCCAACGGTCTGGAGCCCCTTCTCGTCGGCAGTTCAAAGTACTTCGACAGACCAACCATCGGTGGGTAGTCATGACACGCGAACAGTCTGATTGACGTAGAGTTGACGGCTACAGATGCCGATTTCATGGGGCGGGCGTACCCAACGTACTGGCAGACGACAATCGCAGTGCACGAGCCTGGCTCCCTCATCCCCTGCGCCATCGACTCTGGCGACGGTAAGACCATCATCATGACAAGGGCATCGACAGATGAGATTGTCGACCGAGCGCTCCGCGCATCATGCGCTGAAATGGGATCCCGTGTCGGAAAGGCGGGAGCTCCGACGACGGCGAGCATTGGTAAGCCGGAGGGGACGTCGAATGGCGATGTTACAGCTGCTAATCTCCGTCAGTGCGTCGGACGGCGGTGATCAACACCTATTCGCTCGCGTGGCGCATCGGACGGTGCATCGCGCGCAGTGAGGCCAGCAACACGCAGTCCAAGGTGTGTGAATCGATCGTGCAGGAGGTGGGTGGGGAGGCGACGGCTCGCATCCTGTTCCGCGGCAAGATTGTGGCAGTGGAGCGGCGGCTGTTCAAGGGCCACTCGTACGGCGAAATCAGCATTGCGAGCATGGCGGCGGACGAGGAGGACGAGGGGGCAAAGGAGGCTATGCCGGCTCTGGCCACGGGCGGGACGCTCAAGATCCCGTTCAAGAACGAGAACCTGTATGCGGAGCACACGTCGGAGGCGGGCGAGAGGCGCATGGTCTGCACGGTGCCTGACTTGATCGCGGTGTTGGACACAGGCTCCGGACGTGCGCTGGGTGTGCCCGAGTTCAGATACGGGCTCCGGGTGACGGTGCTCGGGATTACGGCAAGCCCGCAGTGGACCAGCACCGAAGCGGGAGTCAAGATTGGCGGGCCTAAGGCGTTTGGGTACGATCTGGAGTATAAGCCCGTCGGGGTGTATGTCGAGCCGAAGAGCGTGATCGCCGAGTACGCGGCGTGCGAGTGATCAGTCGACAGCCGGGCAGGTAGAAACAGAGCCACTGCACACAGCGTCAGAGGAAGCCTTTTCTGCCTTGGGTGTTTGGGGACGCGGCGGCGGCCGGCTCCCTCAGGTGATGTCGGGACGGGCAGGCAGGGCGAAGATCAAGCTGAGGAGTTGAGGCGCGCGCGTCAGCTCGGTTTCATGGGCGCGGTGAGGGTGAGGGTGGATTGAGCGGATTGAGCGGGTTGAGCGGTGCGGTCGGGGTGCCGAGGGGCAGCTGGTGCCGAGGCGGGGTGTTCCCGGTCTTTTGCGCGCGCCCTGAGAGCATCGTTTCACGCCTGGAGCCGAGGCAGCGGGTTGCGTGCTGGGTGCTGGGTGCTGCTGGGCCGGCGCGCGGTGCCCGGAGCGGCTTTGTTGCTGCTCGTTTTGGAGCGCCGCCAATGGCCACGGCGTCTCAGAAATAGTACGCGGCGCAGCCGGGCCATGTTCGCGTCGCCGCCGATCAAACGCTGCGCCAATGACGAGCGCCCCGGCCTGCCGTGGACGCGACTCGCAGGGCGGCGGGTATGCAGAGGCTCGGCGCTGGCGTTTCACGCATGGCCCGGCAGCCGGCGGCGGAGCAGCGAGCAGCGAGCAGCGAGCAGCAGCGGCGCGCAGCAAGCAGCGAAGAGCGGCGGGCGCGGGTTTCAGCCTTGCGCGGGCGGGCGCGGGCGCGGGCGCGTGATTGGCGCAGCAGGCGGGCAGATTTGCACCGGGATGGCGCGACCGCATGAGAAACGAAACAGCGTCTGAAACGCTGAAGCGAGCAGCTGAGCCGCCCCGTGTGCGCCGCGACTCGCCCGCTCGCCGCAACCGCCGCTGCCATTAATATCCCACCACCCTCCTTCCTCCAGCCCATATTGACGATTCCTATCACCGCTGCTGCTGGTTCAGCCTCCCCCGCACCTCCGCCCGCCATGTCTGACCGAGCCCTGCCGCCTGCCCAGCAGGGCACGAAGCGCACCTTATCCGGCTCCACCCGCCCCAAGCACCACACCGTCGCCTCCAAGGCCTCGAGCTCGCACCTCTCCCACGCGCCCTCGTCCGTCTCTTCGGCCTCGCTGCTGCAGGAGGAGTCGCCCGTCACCCCCGACATCTTCGCCCACATCGATGCCATCAAGCACATCGACGACAAGCTGATCTTCGAGCTGCTCCGCAGCGCTCGCTTCTACGGTACGTCAGGGTTCCCCCCATGTCTGTGCACAAGACATTGACCCCGTCGCAGCAAGCATTGGGCCTGGCGCAAGCCCCTCGGCCGACTCCAGCAGGCCCGCCTCCACCGTGCCCAGCCTGTGCTCCGACAACCGCTCTTCCATTGCCTCCTCGGCCATGTTCTCCCTCTTCAGCAAGCCGAGCCTCGGCTCTCTGCGATCTGCTGCCTCGCAGCCCGAGTCCTCCAGCCTGTCGCGGAGCAAGTCCCACATGGAGCTTCGCCAGGCTCGTCAGCCATCCATCAAGTCGGACCGCTCGACTTCCTCGGCAAGCAACTCTTCTCTCGGCAGGTCGCGTTCTGTTCGCCATGACTCGGCCTCCACCGCCGAGAAGCCGCTCCCCCCCGTGCCCATGAAGGATGTCCAGGGCCAGTCCGTGCCGCCACAGGTCACGCAACCAACCAAGAACTATGCCTGCACCTTCTGCGAGCAGACCTTCAAGCACCGTGCATACTGGCTCTGCCACGAGGAGGAGCTGCACGAGCAGCCCCGTCGCTGGACCTGCCCTGACTGCTACCGCAGCTTCTTCGCCGAGAAGAAGTACCGCAAGCATCACTACGAGTCGCACGGCTGCTCCAGTTGCGGCATGAAGAAGGATGCCGAGCGTACACTGAACGTTACTGAGCGCTGTTCCATGCAAGGCGTCATCGAGGGCAGGGAGGGCAAGCCTGTCCGCAACAAGACCTGTGCTGAGAAAGCCATGCTTCGCGTTCACAACAAGAAGGCTTACGGCTGCGGCTTCTGCGTGACTCTGTGCCGCAGCTGGAGCGAGCGTTGTGACCACGTCGCCCGCCACTACGAGACCGGCGTTTCAAAGAACGATTGGTGCTTCACTAGTGTCGTCAAGAGCCTGCTTCTCCAGTCCGAGCTGGCCATTGCCTGGGAGAAGCTGTTGACAAAGGAGCACGGTATGGACAAGGCTTCCTGGCCAACCTTTGTCTGGGACAAGCGGGAGGCGCGCGACTTGGTGCGCTCCATGGAGCAGAACGGTATGATTCACGAGAAGGTCAAGGAGATCGCGCGCAGTGCCTACGACCACGCCCACGTTGAGGAGACCAAGAGGACCGACGAGACTCCGTCGCTGCCGACAGACATTGCGCCGCCGAAACAGGAGCCCGTTGAGGAGCAAACCCCGGCACCTGCCGCCCAATATCTCCTTCCCATGCCAACAGAGCAACGCCCGCACTCCACCCCGGTTCTCTCTCAGCAGCCAATGCAGTTCCCCCACCACCCCCACCACAGCACTTTCTCTGTTTCCTCCATGCCAGACCCGCCAGCCGCCTACACCGGCCAGCGCGCGTCAAAGGAGTTTGAGCTGCTCAGCCAGGCCATTGACGAGCAATTAGCGTCAGGTCCTTTTGTCGTCGACTTTGACTTCGCCCCAGGCTGGGACCCCATGCAGATGTCACCGCAGCCGCCGCCACACCAGGAGGACATCGTCGCCTTCACGCATCCTGGCGCCTACTCGGCATTCACCGCCGCGCATCCCGACAAGGGAGCGTGGCCGCTGTAGCAAGATGTCCTGGCATGACTGATTCTGATGATCACGGTGGTGCTGGTTCACCTTGACCTCCCTATATATTTACTTGTACTCTAACGGTTTGCTTGATTCTCTTGATACCCACCATTGAAAAGGAAGGAAGGAAGGACGTAGTTGTACGATCTGAAAAAGTTGTCGGTTTTTGTATCAATATTTAGTGGTGTGTGCGAATCGTTGGTTCGCCTTCTGTCGGAGCCGTCCAAGAGAGACCTTTATACTTAATAGTAATCATGAAGACGAATCGCTTGACACGTTCAGAGTTGTGTATGACTATAATCGATATGGTCTGGGCAGATGTGGTACCTATGAAAAAGGACAACCGTGTGTCAGTGTATACTTTCCATCTGGCCTTTGGGTTAAGTCACGCCCATTTGTCCCTGATTCTTCACATAAGCAGAAGAAGATCACGGTGCATGAGGATGACGAATGAAGACAACCTTCTTGTTAGATAGACCGCTTTGGAAATGTGTACAGATTCAGTCCGATTTGGGTTTATATTAGAAGTTTTGACGTACGCTTGACTTCCGCCACGATGAATTTGCCTCGAATGGTATGATGAATTTCATTAGGGAAGAACGGAACGGCAGGATTGGGGATTTTAATTCTGATTTTCTCATAGATGAGCAGCTTCTTACAAATCGTAGGCCGACCTCATCCATAAAATATAAATAACCCCTCCTCCCCCCTCTCCCCCTTTTTTTTTTATCTTTTTATTTAGGACTTGTGCGAACATACCACTCGGCTACTCTCGAGCTTGGCTTCGTACTCAGCGCGTGTAGAAATATCGCATATCTTGCTCTTATACACCGTTCTATCTTCCCTTCACACTACACTCTTAATCCTCAACCGAAACATCTTCAAGTGCAACCGCAGACTTCTAGTAAGTTACGAAATGCCTGCTCCAGGTATTATACTCACTGCTAAAGCCGCTGCAAGGCTGTAAGGTACTACTCACATAAGTATCTAGCAGCAAATAATCCCACCCACGAACCCTTCTACTACGAATACGCCAGTTTCGACCTCAACTCTCACATGTTTAGCATACAATTCATAGAAGACTAGCATAAAACGTAACTCACTTAGATGTCATCCCTATTAAGAGCTGGCTATGCCGGATACCGAGTTAATAATCTAAGTCCCACACTACACTTCAATACAAGCCCGTTGAATTTCAATTCTTTTTGATTCAAATGTACCACATAGCTAGAGTGTCGGAACTATTTTTATGCGCTATAGATATGCTTTCACGAACGGACCGCGGCCAAACAGCTCTATATAAGTTGTTGCTGTGGCATGCGGTGTAGCATTGTCTAACTGGCGCAGTCTAGAGTTGGCTTGCGGTATCACATTGCTCAAACCAGAGCCCTCAAGCGATCGTGACGACAATCGTGTCGACCTCCATCGTATTATGGTGCTGGATCCACCTCAGTGTCTGCGCAATGAGATATCCCATTGTCAACCGAGACGGTACAATCATGTCAAACAAGTAAAATTTTGTAGGAAAGCATGTCAGAAGGGCCTATGTGTACATAACCGAGGCTTATATGTTAGAACTAAGACAGAACAGTGAGACTACAGGCAGAATCAAAGGGCCCTCAACTTGAATGGCATCAGATTCAACTTCTTCTAGACCACACGCAACAAATTTAAAGAACCACATACCAAACATTGCAGAACTCAACGATCTTCCGTCCCCTACGACAATAGGAGCACCCTCTTTGGCTTAGATATCTACGATGATTTTGATGAAGATACTTCTTTTCCACAATCCAGCTACCACAACGACATCATTATCAGCTAATCTTAAGAAATGTCGCAGAGACTTTGGCATGAAAAGGCTGGAGGTATGATTCTAGGGCGTAAAGGCAAGGTACTGTTGGAGGGACTTGACACTCGGATGCTCTGCATATGGGTCGAAGGAAATCACGAGGTACTTTCGGGCGTCTGTGGTCGATACTATTTCGCTTACCATAGGTATAGGCACTGCACCTTGCGTCTGATGAGTCCATTGCAACTTTCTAGAAGGACGATTTGGAGTCGAAGAAATGCGAAACCAATGCGTTGAAGTCCAACTCGCCGTACCATAATACTTAGGAGTTGGCTAGAGTGCATCTATCCTTGCTATACAACAAGAAGATTTTCGAACAAGGATGTGGAATTGTCACGAATGGGACCCTTGCAGGACAAGGCAAGCAGGTTGACGAAAGCTCATAGAAACCGGTTATGGGATTGCATTCAACCGAGACTGGCTTGTTGCAGATACATGCAAACGAAGATCTACAGAGGATATAGAGGCTTGGCGGGCTGAGATAGTAACCGAAAAGAGTAGCTAGCTATAGGAAGTAATAACATTCTACGCCGCACACAACTAGTTATTTGGACTTGACACTCACACAAGCGGGCAACATTGAACATATGAATGACACTTCAAGTATAGGAAAGGATGGAAAGCCATAAAGTTAATATGCACTTAATTCCAACTTACATGTTGCATGCAATTCAGACGTGAACATGAAAATGAAGAGTACTCGAGCGACAAATGCTTGCTTTGCTAACTCAAGCCTTCATAAGCCTGTGCCGATGAAATTTAGACACTGAAGAGAAAAGGTACAAAGTTGTATATATCGTTACAACTTCAAGAAGCGGCTTTGCTCTGCGCTCCACGAAAGACCGACGAAGAGAACAAGACAAAGAAAATATGTCACAGGAAGGGATAGAAGCAAGGAGGCTCTGCGGGACCATTTCTACAAAGGTTTTCTTTGTCTATCGCTTCCACGAGCTGTCCCTTTTTGCATCATCGAGATGAGATCCCGATCCAGCGCCAACATTGTAGAACCTCCATCCTTGTGGTGCGCTAGTAGGTAGTTCCAGTCCTGCTCATGGATCGAAGTATCGTGCAAAGAAGGAGCGTCGCGGCCACCGCCATCCTCTGGTTGGACCCACTGACCGGGGTACAGCAGGAGGCTTCAGTGGGTGTAGAGCACAGCTGAGGAGAAAGAGAGCAAAAAAAAAAAGAAAAGAAAACACGGCCAGTCTGGGCCTTCTAAGTTCTAGCGTCCGGTGAAGTCAGCGGAGCCGGCCCTGCCCTCCGCCAAAGTCAGGTCCGCGAACAACAAGCTATCGTACGAGGTCTGATCGACGGCGTTGGGCATGTTCTCGGCAAGAGGTGCTGACGGGTCAGACGCATGTCTTCACTCGCACTCCTCGGCGAGGCGAGCAGCCACCCGGAAGGAGCAAGTGGGTGAGTGGGTGAGTGGGGTCTGGGACGGGGCTGACCTCGCCACCCTCCCAGCGTAAGGGAACGTCTTAGCTAGAGCGCGCCTGAACGATCAGCCACAAAGATAAGCAAACGGTGCGGAAGCAAAGAGAAAAAAAAGCCTCATCGGAGCTCTTGGAAGACACGTCCTCAACCAGGGCTCCGCGAGAGCGGGAGAGTGGAGGTGATAAGACACTGATGATCCATTTCGTGCAGGAGACGCGGCAGGCACTGCCCATGGGGTGCCTGGAAACCTGGCTGCTGCAGGCTCACTACGGCCAAGGGACCATATTGCAGAGGGTGGCGAATCTTTCTCCACTCCCCCGCTCTGCGAAGCAGTCATTAGCCAGCCATGCTCATGTAAGATGACTCAATGCTCGATCCCATCACGCACCAGCGCAAGGAACGCCCATGCATACAGGTCAACGCGTGAGCGCAAAGTCATCGTCACAGCTGCGTGGTGACACCAACGTCGAAAGGGGCAAGAGAACCCTGATCCACGCAAAGGGCAAAGGGGGAAAAAAGAATGGAAAGGCACAATCGCAACAAAGCAACGCAACACCACGCGCTTCGCTGGCACCTTAGATCAAGTTTAGCCCCAGCTTCTCCGCTCGCTGTCCCGAAGTCCAGGGCAGCAACCACCCTCCCCTACTCCTGTGATTCGCAACCTCATGATTTGAATGACGCCAGCGTTGGCTGCAAGCAGTGCACCCAAACAACGCTAGGCGCTCCAAAAATAGAGCCATCGCGCGCGACTCCTATCGCCACCTACAAGAAGAAGGCCGTTGTGAGGGAAAATTCCAAAAAGGGGCGAGCATGTCGTGACTGTTTGGCTTGCCGCCTCGACAGCTATATGTTAGGTTAATGAGGGAATTATAGAAGGCGGTTCCGGTGGAAAGAGATCACCTGCTTCTGTCCCCAGCCAACCGACTTCACAAACATGTGGACGGCTCATAGGGGGCCGACGTGGCGGGGCGCCGGCCATGGCAACGCTGCCAGGCAACCCGATCTGCGCGCTATACTCCGAACAGCCCTGCTCTTTATCTCGGTCTCGTATGATGCGACGGGGGATTTGGAAGCTGCAGATACCCACGCGGCTGGGAAGGATTGCGAAGCCAGCGAGTGGCCCAGCCATGCCCTGCCCCTGTTGGATCCTGCGCCCGGCTTGTGGCAGATGAGTTGGTTGCTCCGAGGCAGGAAGCCTCGCCGCGGGGAACGGGGTGCGGCCGAAGCAAGCTGCGTTGTTTGGCCCTGGATCTTGCGGTAGGGCTGTGCAGTGCGCGACAGCCAGACAGACGCACGCAGCGAGCGGGAAGCCAAAGGGTGCAACGGGTTCGTGCCTCGCCGCGAAGCGACGAGCACCGGCACGGACCACGCGTTCGTCAAGCTAACTAACGCTGATGCGACTGGTGGGTGGACTGGCACCACGGAAGCCAGGTGGTGCAGGCAAAGCGTGCCCTGAGCACGCTCGAGCTGCTGCTAGCTTCGACGACGACGCAAACCGTGGCGTTGTGCTTCCGTTCGGAAGCCGCCGCGGTCATACCGGTTTGGGAACGAGGAGATTGCGCCCTGAAGAAAGTTGACTCGCATGCAGCAGCTGGGTATACTGCAGCCGTAGCCATGCTGGTAGGCGCGGGGCGTGTTGTCGATGGCTGAGCGCTAGGGAGAGGCTGCCCTTTCGGTGTCGCCGTGGCCTATAATAGATGGCAGCTAGGCTCAGGGATCCGGTGAAGGCTGCGATGTGGAAGATCGACGTTTTCAGGACCGATGGCTGCTGGCGTGATGAGCCTCGCAGACAAAGGGCCCCCGCGTCATGTGGCTGCGGCGGGCACCGGACCGTTTACTCGCTCGGGGCGCAACATTGGCGGGCGACTAGGTGTAGAGCAAGCCCTGGAAAGCGTCTGGAAGGGAGCTGAGTAACGCGGCTGCGCTGCTGCCCCACCCGCCGGCCATCTGCAACCGGACGATATGATGCCAGTTGCGCGTCCTGTACAACGCCATTCGGCTCGCTACCAGCGAAGCGGCGTGGGGAAGCGTGAGCTTCACACAATCCTTCGAGAAGGGCCATTGTTGTGCGTGTTGGCCGGCCACATGCCCCTTCCGCTGACCACGCATTTGGAATCGAGCAGCGCGAGATCTCTGGGACACAGCAATGCACTGTCTTCTGCACCAGCTCACGAGACAGGCGAAACCGGGACGGGCACATAGCCGGCGGGCGGGCTCTCGTGCGCCTGGCCATGGACCACTGCCCTGGCTTGCAGCAGGGCGGTGGCCAGTTGACATGTGGGATTAGCTGGCCAAGTCGCACCGAGATCTTCTGTGCGAGTCCTGTTGCGACCAGATGCAGTTGGCCCTGCCCGCCCGCCCAACGGCCTGTCGGAGTAATTTGCGAGCCGGCTGTTTCAGATGGTCGGGCGTGTGTGCGGTATCGCAGTGCCGCGGTGCCGCGGTGCCTGGGCCTGGGAGCCGGGCAGCCGCCAGTGGCCATGTCACTGCAACACTCGCTCTCATCATAAAGCGGCCGTTAGCCGCAATTCCAAATCCTCGCTTCATGCGGCGCGGAGGGCATGCTTGGATGCTTGCGCGAGGCGGGAGTCAGGCGGCCATGCAGCGCGGCGGAATGCCTGGTCCAGTGGGAGGCTACCAACGGCCACCCATCAGCCCCAGCAGCGCTTTTATGACGTGCCGCCGTCGCCCAGCGGGGTATCGGGAGCTCCGAGACAGACGGCGCCTATCGGGACGCGCGCTGCCTCCAAGCGCCCCGATCGAGCCATCCCTCAGAAGAATGCGTCTCTTATCTGGCCAAGCGGCTGACACTTGTCTCTGCTCTCATCAGAGCCGGCCCGGACCGCTGGGACGAACGTTTTTCGAGGCCGCCCCCCATCACGTCAGCCCCCAGAGGCGCGCCCAATGTGCGGGGATCGCCCGGGTGTTCCTGTGCGATGTTGAGGTCACTAATCGGAGAATTGAGGGCGATCCAGCCCCGCCCCAGCAGCTGAGTGGCCCGATGGCCAAGCGCCTGAAACCGCAGCAATGGGCCATCGCTGGGAATCATGTGGCCCTGGCGCTCCAGGCATCGTCGCGCCCAAGTCCTCTCCACGCTCCGTGCGCGCTACGGGCTCTGCGGATGGCTGCAGTTCGTATCGCGCTGGCTCCAGCTTCCCTGCGTCTTAGCAGCAGCCCGGAGCCTTAGCGCGTCAGCTCCACGGAAAACGCTTGCTTTGGCGCGGGCGGCGGGTTGCTCAGCTGCTCGCTGCCCGCGCGCGCTGCCCGTAGCCGCGCGCCGATCCACGGCGAGGGTATGGGCCATGGCAGGCCGGCGAGCCAGGCACATGGCGGTCCCCGGCAGGCGGCGTCAGATGACCGGGAGGAAAGGGACAGCCAGCTGGGGGCCGAGAGACAGCCGGCTGCATTGGGCGGCGCGAGGCAAGGAATACCGGCGGCGTCCAGTGTCCATTTGCGGCGGGCAACGTGCGGAACCACATGCAGCGGCGACCCGGCGGGCCGGCGTGCGGTTGGGAGGAATGAGGACCGCGTGGCTCGGCGGCGCGTTGGTTGGCTGCGGTCCGCAGGCTGCAGCGCGGGCAGACAAAGGGGGGTGTGGGAGTGTGGGAGTGTGGGAGCGACGGTCGGAGTGACGGTCGGAGTGTGGGAGCGGGCCGCGCGCTGGCTAGAAGGAAGGAGCTCGGCGTGCTCTTCACGGCGGCGGCACAGCTTGAGCAGCTGCGGAGGGCGGGCGCTCACGGGCCAGGAAGTGGCAGTGGCAGGCGGCAGCGCTCTGCCGCCGGCTAGCGGCTCGCCTACACGCCGCGCTCATGCGCCTATCTGCACGTCACCACGACCCTCGAAGCACCTGAGCGCCTGCGTGGGTGCTATCCTGGCTCCAGGGCCGGCCGATCCAGCTGCTGCCCTGCCCTCCCCCGTCCCGTCGCATCTCACCTCGTCCAGCTCCCAGCACCCGCCCGTCGCGCGAGCCCTCGGCCGGCCCTGCGCCGTCAGCAGCCCTTAGGAGCCCCAGGAGGTGGCGCGCAGCATGGCCGTGGTCGAGCTGTCGTCTGCCTGTCTGCCTGCCTGTCTGCCTGCCTGCCTGTCTGCGAATGCGAGTGCGCCGGCGGCTGCGGATGCGCTGCCCGCCCCGCCCTGCCCTCAGGTGCCCTGTCCTGTCCTGCCCCGCCCTGCCCTGCCCTGCCCTCAGGTGCCCTGCCCTGCCCTGCCCGCGCCAGCCCCGGCCACACATCTCACGCCGCTGCCACGCCCCCGCGGCCGATCGATGCTCGCCAACCCTGCTCAGCCGCCCCGGAGAATTGCGCCAGCGGACCAGGCCAGATCTGGCGCAGCCCGAAGGATTTTCAAAGCCGCGCTAGCGTTGCATGCGCGCCCATTCCAGGCGGCCCGAACGGGAAAAGGCGGTGGCGCTTGCGTGTGCTGCTCAGTCTGCCTTTTCGCGCGCTGCTATAGGCTTTGTGACAGGTAACGGTCGCCGCCCATCTGCCCCCCAGCCCGGCGTGACTCGCAGCGGGCTCCAGCGCGGCTGCCGGCCCGCAAGGACGCGCCGTGCGACTCGGGCAGGCTGGGCTTGACTGGCACTGGCTGGCACTGGCTGGTCACCGATACAGTGCTGACAATGCTCGCTGCTGTCATGCGCAGCCAATACTTTCCCTGCGTGGATCACGCTGGCCAGGATGACCTGCAGCTCCGCCGCGGCCGTGCGCCTGCATGGGGTTATTGTTAGGATTATCGACTTGAAACATGGCCGCGCTGTGGCCTCCCGGCGAGCCAGAGGATTCGACCAGCTGCATCGACGTTCCTGCGTCGCTGCATGGGCGAGATTTGAATTGGGCCGGGCGATCAGGTGGGTCTTCGCACTCGCGGCGCAAGGAATGCAAACCTGCGTGCGCGAAAGGCACTTCGCAGAGCGCGGTCCCTTGGCCCTGGGGCAAACCAGTCCTCCCTGGCTTCGGGGACATAGATAGACCGTTTGGGGCCACATCCGCTGCTGCAGCTTGCCAATGCTACCGTGGTGGTGCTAGAGAATAGAAATGGTCTGAGCCTGGGCATTGCGGTCATCTTGGGGCTGAATCTGATCCATCATCAGCGCTGCCTGGGTACATATTTTCTGCTTTTGGCCAAACGGCCGGTCCCATCCCAGCTAGCCCTACTCTGTATCCATCTCCACAGGATCTGTACTTTTCCTTCACCAAGCGTTGTAGACTCAAAATTGTCCGATCGCCCACCAGCCCCCCCAGCCTGTGCCGGCGCCGCCCCTGTTCGTGCACCGCCGCCGCTCTTCTCCTCGCTCCCCTCGACTGCTATTCTTCTCTTTGTCTGCTCTCCGCTCCCACGCCGCCGCCATCACGGGGCCCGACCAAGCCCGACCAAGCCCCGGGGCCGTGTTCCACAAACGCCTCGTTGCTCCTGGACCCAGTATATCAACGCCGCCTCACACACTGCTCAACGCCCACCACCCGCCCTTGACCCCTCCGGTGCCTGCGCACTTCTCTGGTGAGTAAGCAGGCGGTCCCAATGGCAGCAGGCCGCTGTACGCCGTCATCGGCGGGTCATGCAGATCACTGACCAGCGGCAGACGACCAGTCGAGCCAGCCCGGCCTGCCGCTTGACGCCATTCAATTTTGGCTGCAGCTCGAGAAACCCGGTACGTAGAGCCTCGAGTGGGCACAGGCCGTGCTAACGCGCAACGGGCAGATCAGATCTCACCGCTGGTGCCGTCGACAGGGGAGGCAGCCTCCGGCCTACTCATTCTGCAGGAGATAGACGCCGGTTCGGAAGACCCGAAAAAAGCAACGCAAAAAGCAAGCTCCCCACAGCCCTTGCCTCGCGCGCCCAAGCCGGCGCGGACTGCCGTCGAGACCTGTTTCGCGCGGATTGCCTCACCGCACTGCGCGCATTTTTCTCTCGCGCATCTGCTGTCAATCTGCGTAAAAGCAACACCAGCGAACGCGGTGTTGACGGACGACGGAGACGAAGACGACGACGACGACGACGACAACGACAACGACAACAACGACGACGACGACTACGACGACGACGACGACGACGACGACGACGACTTCGAGATCGAGGCTGGAGATTTACGCCACTGTCGCAGGTGCGGATCCCTCGAGAATCGCCGGCCCAGGCATTCCGAATTGCGCAGCACGCCCGCTCTGTTCCTGCCTAACGGGGCAACGACCTCGCCGCGAAGCCAGCCAGGGCAGCAGCGCCAGCCCACCTACCCCAACGACCCTCAGCGCAACTGCACCACGCAGCCAGCGGCCAGCGGCCAGCAGACGACGCCTGAGAGGACGACGCGCCGACGCGCCGTGGAGCAGCAGCATCAGCAGCAGCAGTATCAGCAGCAGGCGAAGGTGCGCAGCCAGCGCGGGTGAAGCAGCCGGGAGTTCGCAAGCCCTGCTCTACGCGAAACAGGGAGCTTTTGGGGCGCGCGCGCAATCTATATGTGCGCGGCAACAGTCATGAATCAAGGTCAGTCACGCCCGCCCTTCCCTTTCCGTCCCCCGTTCTCGTACCTGGCGGCCGGGAGCGACGAGACTCGTCCGCGACGCGCCCACCCGGCGAGCAGCTGAGGCGAGCGCGGCGGCCGAGGGCGCCATTGGTGCCATATTTATGACTGGGCCGGGTCGGGCAGCGCGCGCGCTGCCTCAAGCTTTTGGCACCCGACTCGGCGGAGGCGTGTGTAACCGCAGGCTGGCCGGCAGGCTGGCGGTCACGTCGTTTTCGTCCCACGTCCCGCTCGAGGGCTGCGCGTCGGGAGCGATTGGCTGACGGACGGCATCAGCAGTGACCATTCAACCCCTCCTGGGGACGCAGTACTCGCCGCTGTCCTCGGACAACCAATGCATCGACAGCATTGGCTCTCATGCACATCATACCTCCTATGCAGGAGGCGGAGGAGGAGAAGGAGGGGTGCCGGACCCGCTTCCTCTTCGGCGTGACGGCGCGTTGGGCCAGTCAGCGAGCGGCTTGCAGTCGCTCCCATCAAGTACTGGCTTCCGCTACCTGCCACACACCCACCGTCCCGCCGCGGCACATGATGGCAGCCAGTAAGTAGCCCTCTTTCGTTGGAGCCCAGCACCCCACGCACTCTGGCCCTCCCGCAGCGCCGCTTGGCCCCCGGCTGCCTGCCCTGCCTGCCCCTACTGGCTGCCTTCGCGACCAGCTGCTGCCCGGCGCCCTAAGCCCCCCCGGGGGCCACCATCTTCAGGCGCCCGAGCAAACACGTCGTCATGCTGCCCGCTACTTCCGTCGTACGCACCTAACCCGAGCCCTCGGGAGTCCTGTCCTCCCGGCAGCGTGGTTGTCACATTGATCACACGACAACCCCAGGCCGTGTCATCTTTTCCAGTCAAGATTGTCGAGCCCGCGGTGCCACAGGCCCGACGCGGTTACACATCGTCAGCCTTCTCGCACTTTATCTCAGCACCCGCTATTGTTTGAGTGTAGCCTACAAGACCGCTGACGCCGAATGACTCTTGCAGATTTCAGCACGCAGGATCTGGCATCTCCGACTCCAGCTCCGGCTCCATCTCCACCAGCCCGCGCTCCAACGCCTCCTCCATTGCCTTTTCCTCCTTCTCCCAGCCGGGGCTCTACGCGCAGCACCAGCCGCTGTACGGCCAGTCTCAGCTCTACGGCAGCAACCACGGCGCCTACCAGCAACCGTTCGGTGTCCCCAACATGTCGCGACGCATGTCTGGAATGTATGTTTTGAGTTTCGCTTCCGCCGTGGCGCTTTTAGCTGGCAGCCGCGCGGGTGGCAGCTGCTGACAGAATCGCAGAACGGACACATCGCAATCCGGCATGTTACCTCCGGCACGATCACCAGGGATGGGCAATCCCGTGTCACCGTCGCTCAGTGCGACCGCAAGGGACAATTATACAACTTCGACGCCGCACCTCAATCGCCACGCTCTGTCGCCCCGCAGCCACGCCGAATCCCTGAGCAGGACCTACACCTCCGTGCCCGACACCCCCCGCACCGTTCTGACTTCGGCCGGCACCCTTTCTCTCTCGCCCCCGAGCGGCCTTCCCTACGGAAGTGCAAGCATGCTTTCCTACCAGACCCAGCACGACTCCCGCTCCCACCCCGAGTCTCCGCCCTTCTCTGCCCAGGAGACCTTCGGCGAGATCACGGCCGGCGAGGGCCAGGCCGTCACTCCACACATCGAGTGCAAGGTCGAAAAAGGCTTCTTCTTCTCAAACGACCACACTTGGACCTGTTACCGTAGAAACTACTTCTCCGTCAATTGCTCATACACGCTGAATCCGCACCTTCCCAACAATCGCCTCTACCTCAGCCGTGGCGGCCGCAATGCGCCAGAGCAGATCCAGGCCATGGCCGTCACCCTCTCGGCAGCGGTCGACGGCGCAGCAGGGAAGTCGATCGAACTTGTGCAGCATACTCCAAAGCGCGACAAGGGACCGCAAATGCAGATCCAAATGGAGAAGCTCCTCCCGATGCCACCAGGTAAAGGCGCAGGTGATACTCATGGGTACCCACTCCAGTTTACCCACAACGCAGCAGCTCTGGCACCCCCGTTTCTTCCGCTCCAGCAGGACACGGAACAGTCATACTCGCCAGCCGGACACTCGGCAACCAGCCATCAACACACGTTCGAACGCATTCAGTTCAAGTCTGCCACGGCAAACAACGGCAAGCGGAGAGCGCAACAGCAATATTACCACCTGATCGTCGAGCTCTATGCCGATGTGCGACGGGCGACGGACGACCCCCCTGACTGGGTCCGCGTTGCCCAACGGGTCTCTGCTGCCGTGGTCGTGCGTGGGAGGTCTCCGAGCCACTACCAACACGAGGGCCCACACAGCGCCAACTCGTCGCGTGGCGGGGGCGCGGGTAGTGGTGCTGGTGGCCCGGGACACGCGGCCTACGGCGGCGCGGGCGCATCGGGCAGCGCCGGTCGCGGCATCTCCAGCAGCCTTGCCATGCTCGGCAGCTCTGCGATGGGCGGTACTGTGTACCGATCGGGTCAGTACCAGCTAGATCCCAGCCCGATCGGCAGCCATTCCGTCAGCTCGGCGAGCTCGATGAGTGGAGGCCCGGTCGACGGTGTTGCGAGTGAGCACACGGTCATGGAGGAAGAGGAAAACAAGGGCATCGAGCCGTACGACGGCTACCAATACTACCCCAGCCCGCTCGCAGAGGCGGGCCTTCCGATCGGCTCAAAGCAGGAGTACGATCCCACGAAAAGAGTCAAGATTGAGTTCAGCGAGGCCTCTCTGCCATCGTCATACAGCGTTGGCGGGTGCGGGCGCTACCAAGGAGTCGACACGAGCCGTGGATATTACCCCGACCTGAATGCCGCAGGTTATTAGCTTGGGCGATCGAGGTGGCTTGAGCTCCTCGGATGAAGGTCATTTCGATCGCTCACACTCGATAGCTCGACCCGTCGCGACGGGAAAAGCTAGGCTCGAGAGCTCGCTGACGGCCGATCGACTGCTTCACTACGCCTTCGCTTCGTAATGCGTTTTTATTCCCTTTCGGCACCTTTCCAACATGTTAGTCTCATCCTGAGCATAATTTCTGTTCACGGCTCCCGATACCACTGGCTTCACCCACTTTCTCCTGCGGATTATTCAGCGGGCATTTGCCGGCGTTACGGAATGAGGATGGCACACGCGCCTCGGAAGGCAGCAGCCAACATATACCACAATTGGGATCTGATGATGAAAATATCATGGGAGTACGACAAAGAAGGGACATAAGCGGCGCACACTGGTCTGTTCTTCGGACAACGACGAGGCGGCGGGACGAGACAACCGCGCTCTGACCAGCCGCGCTCGATCGCTGCTCATCCCCTCGCTTCCGGGCTAAGGCCTCTTCCTTTCTTTTTTTTTTATTTCATTGAGCTGTCTCCCGCTTCACCTATCTTGTTCTCGCTTTGAAATTCCTATTCCACACGTGTGTCCATGTGCCTCAGATGTTACGATGTCATGACTGCATGCTATGCTTGTTTCACTTCGAATCAAAGTTGCTCACCATTCACGCCTCCCCTTGTTAGCAGCCGCCTTAATTGCCATGATTCGGGCCGTCTTTCCGCACGAGGAAAGCGCCCGGGTTGCAAGCCGGAGGGGCACAGGCGTAGTGGATGGCAAAACAAAATTAAGACCGGGTCACTGGCCAAAGACGGCGGGAACGGACGGCGAAACAGGACTGGATAAGACGGCGGAAGAATGCGACAGGCGTCCTGAGAGGTTGCGCGAGGGGCTCTTTCACCCGCCATGTCATGTAAAGCTCGCGCTTTTGCTTTTCCCATTACCCCACAAGCAGCTTTCAGATTTTTGGAATACTTTTGACGGTCGGCCAGGAAAAAAAATGAAAAAAGAGGGGGGAGCCACACGCGGGGGCGAGGAGAGTTTGGCTGTACGCGGGCCATCAGGCTGGCCCTCGATGGCCGAGACAGTGCTGCGAAGACGACAGGAAACAACTGGGAGGGCAGCGTCTAGTTCCGTCTTCTTGCGACTGCAGCAGCGAAGCATGTATGATTACTAGTATCTTCTTAATCTCTCTCTCTCACTCTCTTTCTCTATCTCACTGACTGATACCTCGGCCGGGACCGGCATCTGATTCGTCTACGCGCTGACAGCCAGCACCGGCAGAGGCGGCGCAAGCCGCAAGCACTCACACAGACAGGGGACTTCGCCGCCCAAGAGCCGCCTACGACCCCGCGCAGCAAGCGGCGAGGCCAGGTGGTTCCTTTTCGTCAGCTCTCGTTGAGATCAGCTCATGTTTGCGTCGACGGTGGTTTCTTTTTTTTCGCCTCAGCCTCGTTGCTTTTTGCGCTCCGCCCAAACATTTCTCTCAGTGCACGAAGCAGCCACCCGTCGACAGATCCTTCCAACACCAGCAGGTTCCCCGCTTGAGCAGCGCACAGGCGGGCGAGCGAAGCGAAGGGAAGCGCACCAGAGCCGGCGCAACCCGGTGGGGTCTGGCAGGGTCGGGTCGACAATGGACATGGCACATGGCGGCCAGCTGGCGGCGACGCCCTCCCTGCAAGCTAGCGAGACGGGAACGGATCTCTCTCGTGGGTCAGTTCGCGCGCTCATCACACGTATCGTATCGTATCTCGATCTCGCGTGTCGAGGGTCAGCTCACGGCGAGCTAGCAGACGAGAGGCGGAGCGGGGGCCGCAGCCACTGGGCGTCGCCCGTCGGCCGGCTTGGGCGCGAAAACCCGGCTCCTGTCTGGCGCATCCTACCGGGGAGCCCCTCTCCGTCGGGTCAAGCAGCCTGAAGTAGATTCGCTCGCGGACGGCTCTGGTTTTTCTTTTTCCTTTAGACCATAAGCGCGGCAGGCGCAAGGGGTGGCGGAGGTGGAAAGGGGGAGTTTGCGGGTGGCAAGGCTCAGCCGCGCGCATCATCGTCGCCGGTCGCCATTGTCGACTTCTGCAGACACACCCCCCATGGAGCACACGGAGCATTGCACACGGCGATGGATGGAGTGCGCTCAAGACAAGGTTCGGCCCGCACCGCTGCTAGGCGGTAAAGCAAAACGCTCTCGCACCGTCCTTCCCGCCGCCCCCTTTCCGCCCTCCCGCCCGCCTTTGCGACCTCGCGCCCGCCCGTCGTCGAATCGCCGGGGCTGGATTATTAGACCGCCTCGCCCTGGCCCGCCTGGCCCGCCCGACCAGGCCCTCGGTCTGTCCGTGCGCAGACGAGCCCGTCAATAGATCTCGAAATATATGCCCCATCGCCTCCGACCGCCCTGCCTGTCATCGCGCGCGCATCGCGAAAATGTCTTGCTTGGGGTGCGGAGCGAGAGGATTGGGCGAATGGCCACGCGTGGAAGCCTCTCCGCCCGCTGCGAGTGGGAGGAAGGATTCCCGCGGCGCGAGTCAGTCGAGGGAGGGGAAATTAGAGTTTGACAGCGGTGAGATGAGAACAGCCGATTGAGCCTCACTGTTTTCTTTTTTGTTTTCGTTCTCTCATCAGATGAGACGAGACGAGACGAGACGAGACGTGGAGAGCCGCACCAAGAAACATGCGCTGCGTTGCGGTTTCGTTTCGTGTCTGTGCCGCCTGCCCGCCTGCCCGCCTAGCTGCCTGCCTGCCTGGCTGCCTGCCTGCCTGCGCTGAGCTGGGCTGGGCTGCTGCTGCTGTCGCTGCTGCTGCTGCTGCTGCGCCCGCGCTTTTTCGCCTCGCTCCGGGACGGTCGGCGGGAACTGCATGCGTGTCACCGGGGGGGGGGGGGGGGGGGGGGGGGGGGGGGGGGGGGGGGGGGGGGGGGGGCACGGGGCGCGTGCGATCTACCTAGGGCGGCGGCGGCTGCACCACGGTGCATATGCTGATGAGGGAAGATGCAGCAGAAGAGCGGCTCGAGGGCGCGTGCGTGTGCTCGCCCTGCTAATGTATGTACATCATTCCTTGACCGGTCAGACACACGTTACACCAGGGCGATATATGCAGCCTCTCGAGGCGCGCGTTGGCGGCCGGCTGCAGTCTGCAGCCTGCACTCTGCGGCCCTTTTCTCCCTTCCACTCTCTCTTCTCGACGAGGTCATGATGGCAGCAGGGCGGCGGTTTGTTGGGACGGCACTGCCGCCGCTGCGCTGACCGTGGCCGATGAAACCATGCAAGGCAAAGACACGTACGTACTCAGCTCTGCTGCTGCTGCTGCTGCTGCTGCTGCTGCTGCTGCTGCTGCGACAAGACAAGACATGGTGTGAGAGACGGAATGTCTGGTCTGCCCCAAGACAGCCGATTGGTCCGCTTTCGACCTACGCTTCTTCTTCTCTGCCGCTTCTCTGCTTCGCCTTTTTTTTTTTTTATATTTATCTTTTTTACGGCGTGGCAGCAGTTAGCCCTTGGTTTGACGTGCGCTGGTTGCAGATGCTCTATCCGCTCTCCTCTGCTTCCCAGGTGCATCAGCGGCAACAGGAAAAAAATAAAAAATCAAGAAAGCCAGCGTCGCGCGCGCCTGCTGCAGCTCGGTTGGTCGATGGCTTGCAGCTGGAATGTAGAGCGGCCGGGGCAGTAGCAAGGAAGCATTGGAACGGTTAGGGTCACGCTGGGTACCTACATAGCTACCTGACCACTATTATTGCTGTATGTATGAGCCTGTGCCTAACCTTTGCTGCATGCGCCCCAGCCACTCATCAGCAAGGGCGCACGGCGGGGCCCCTGGCGTCATCAGCCAGATGTGGCGTGGCTTGCTTGGCCTTGTCGTGATGCTCCTTTTTTGCCCGTTCCCCATGGTCCATGGAAATGGCAGACAAAGAAAGACGGGGCGGGAAGGGGACTCGGAATATGCGCGCATCCTGTTTCCTGGGACCGTCGTCACTTCGCGACCAGGCGGCGGGCTTGACGCCACAACCTACCTAGTGCTTGACCGCCATTTCGTTTCTGTTCCTCCCGCCCTGTCTGCCCACCATCGAATCCTCTCGGCTCATCTCTCTCTCTCTCTCTCTCTCTCTCTCTCTCTCTCTCTCTGCCTGCTTGCACGTCTAGCTGCCTACTCGCCTGACCGCCTGTCTCTGACCGCACCGCACTCTCGAGTCTCCGACGAGAGCATTCGGGCAATCTAGCTAGAGTCAGAGCTAGCGGAAAGCTCCCTTGCTCTACTTTAGCAGTCAACGGGACTACTCGGGTCCTTCTCTCACTGCCGGGGAGGGGGCAAGCGTGGAGGAATTACGATTCCGCCATTTCAGCTCTTCAAGGGCCCTGTTGATTATTTTATTTATTCCTTTCTACATACGGATTACTCCGTATCCGTATAGCATATCAACAAGGGGCACTCAGATTCAAGGCCCCACAGCCACCGCTCCTTGTCTCGCTTGTAGTAAGTCAAGATCGGGCTGGGCTCATTCGCTTCGCTTTTCCCGCCTTTCTCCCGTGTCTCTCTCTTTTTCCTTTTCCTTTTTTTTTTTTGGGGGGGGGAGAAGGAGAGGAAACCGACCACCTGGGTCCCGGGGGAAAAAGTCGGTCGTCTGTCGGTAGTTGAAGAAAAAAAGAAAGGAGGGAAAAGAAAAGAAAAGAGAAAGTGGAGAAAGATGAAGCTATGTAGCCGCCGCCGCGAGTCACACATATGCACACGCTCATCCAGGGGTGAAGACGAAGTGGGGATTATTTTTTTTTTTTGGGCAGCTATGGACTACTGTAGCTCACTTACTCACTACTACTTCCCGGTCTAGCGAAACCTGCAAAATACAGTCCCTACCCGCAGATCTCTCTCTATCTCTCTCTCTTTTTTTTCTCTCTCTTTATGCTTTTCATTTTCTCCAGTGGTCTCTGCTTATCGGTTGCCACCGGGACTTGTCACATCACCATGTGACATGACAGCCAGCAGATTACGATGCGCAGCGGGAAGGTCACACGGCGCACGGGAAGGCGAGGGGGAAAACGCCAGCGTGGAGAGAACCGGCGCTCGGGGTGGTCGAGTACTGGCACACCCCAGAGAAACAAAAGCAGGTTGCAAAACACCAATGTCTCTATTTTGGTGTGGTCTACCATCAGGAGCAGGTCCGACTTCCATCTAGGTTGAGCAGATAGCGACGCCGGACCTCAATGAACACCCACAATGCCTATGTACACACATACAAGTTTGAGCCCCATGATCTCGCGATCTTTTTCTTGCTTTGCTTGCCGCAGAACGCGGACATTTGGAAAGAACAAGAAAAAAACCAGTGAACGCCGGTAGTGCTGTGTCGTTACCAATTCTCTTTGTTGAAAACGCCCCTCGGGGCTGATCCCGCACGCCAAGAAAACATTCATCCCCCATCTCCACCCGCTGCCATCCTTCTGCCCCAGAAAACGGATCTTCTGCTTCTAGTGGAAGCCATTGGTCCCCTCAGAATTGCCCTGCTTGACCAGCCAGCTGAGAAGGTCGACCTTCGTGACGACGGCCACTGCCTTCATGTGGCCCTGATCATGCTCCGTGACTACCGCGGCGCTGTTCCATTCGAAGAAGCGGCTGAGCGCGTTCAGACGCGTGTCCCTGGTGATCTCGACGAACTTCCTCCTCTTAGTCGCCTTGTCCTTGTCTTCGCCCAACACGAGGTTATCCTTGCCCTGGACACCCAAATCCGAAGGATCGCTGACCGTCTCCGACAGCTTCCGGAAGTCGAACATGACGTCCGAGACAGGCGACTGCGGCGAAGCACGGCCGCTGCTGATGTAAGAGAGCAGGTTTCCGAGCGTGACAAGACCGACCAAGCGGTTGCCCTTGGTCGTTGCGACAGGGAGCTGGTCGAAGCCCTTGTCGCGCATAGTCTCAATAGCCTCGGCGCAGGGAGACTCGGCAGCGACCGTCATGACCGGCTTCAGCCGGAGCGAGCGGATAGTGACTCCCTTGTACGCATCCTTCGAGCTGGTCAGAGTGGGAGAGAGCGGCGCGGCCAGGGTCTGCGCCGGGGTGGGAGGCAACAGATCATTGGCGGCAAGCCAGTCATCGTCAGCGAACTGTTAGTCTCGTCAGCTCGTTGTCCGTCAACACAGACGGCTATATCAACATACCTTGCTCAGATAACTCCGGATGCTGTCCGGAAGCACGACGACGACGACGTCATCCTTTCCGAGGCCGAGGTCCTTGACGGCCTTGACCATGGCAGACATGGCGCTGCCACTGCTTCCACCGCACAAAATGCCCTCCTCGGCAATCAGGCGTCTTGCGTAGTGGAAAGAGTCCACGTCGTCGGTCTTGTACCAAGTGTCGACCCCCTTTTGGTCGAGAACATCCGGGATGAAGTCGTAGCCGATGCCCTCGACCTTGTAAGGCTGGTTCTTCTTCTCCTCGTTCAGACTCTCTGGAAGAGCGAGAATGCTGCCGTGCGGATCGGCGGCGATGATCTTGACATCCTGCTTGTGCTTTCTCAGGCCCCGGGCAATGCCGGTGATTGTGCCGCCAGTTCCAGCGCCGGCCACCAGGGCAGTGATCTTGCCGTCGGTCTGGGTCCAGATCTCCTCCGCAGTGCCGTACTCGTGGGCAAGCGGATTGTCGACGTTGCTGTACTGGTCCAGGATGTGGGCGTTGGGCAGCTCCTTCTCGAGTCTCCTGGCCACGCCGATGTGGCTCTCAGGAGCATCCCAGGCAGCGGCGGTCGGGGTGCGGATGATCTCGGCGTTGAGGGCGCGCAGGACGGAGACCTTCTCGGCCGACATCTTCTCGGGCAGGGTGATGATGGTGCGGTAGCCCTTGACGGCGGCGACGAGGGCCAGGCCAATGCCCGTGTTGCCGCTGGTGGGCTCGATGAGGGTGTCGCCGGGCTTGATGCGGCCGCTGCGCTCGGCCTCCTCGATCATGCGCAGGGCAATGCGGTCCTTGACGCTGCCGCCGGCGTTGAACATCTCGAGCTTCGCGTAGACGGTGGCCTCGATGCCCAGGCTCTGGGGGATCTTGTTCAAGCGCACCATGGGGGTGTTGCCAATCTGCTGGGTGACGGCATCGAGCACGACGGGCGGGATGCCCGGCTTGGTGGTGGAGGCCATGGTGTCTGCGGGCGGCGGCGAGGGTGTTTGGAGGTTGGAGGGGTTGTTGGAGGGGAAGGAGACAGCACGGTGGGATGACCATGGGAAATCTTTGCCATGTCCACGAAGCCGCGTCTAAGCGCACTCTCGGCGCGCTGCAAATTTTTGAATTACGACATCGCCGCTCGCCCTCGCCTCATCATCGCCGAAAGGCCGCTCGCAGAGGATTCCCACGGCATCAGCAGGTAGTATCGCCATCTCAGACGAAGCTGCGACGGCAGTGGAGATCCCCAGGGAACGCTGATCTGCCGCTGACGCCATTGCGCGCGGACCCGCTTGCCAGAATGGGCACCTCCGGCCCGCAGGGAAGTCGTGGCCGCCGCTCTCGTCTATCCCATCCATCCATCCGTCCTGGTCTGCACAGCACTGAATGACAGAGAACACGGTTGGCTGCAAAGTCAAGCTATAACTCATTCCATGTTTCTACACCCGGCCACATATCCACCTCAACTGCCCATGCGTATTGGCTAGTCGGCAGTGCTTGAGGTCGATATCCTCCCGTCTCTTCCTCCGCTTCCCCCGGTCCGTCCTCCCCCATTGCCAGTTCAGTCGCCATCGCTTCCCGGCGCATGAAACCCCAGGCTCGCAAAGAGGGCCTCCATCTCGCGCTCGTGCTCCTCGGCATCTTCGTACGGGTCCCACACCTTGCTCGCCGCGCCGTCGCTCTCCTTGAGCTTCTGGTCCAGCATCTTGCTCCAGAACAGCTCGAAGAAGGGCCGCGTGGCGTGGCCCAGGACCGCCTCGCGCCTCAGCGGCTTGGACCGCGCGCCGCCGTACATGCCCAGCGAGTGCTCGAACATGGGCGCCATTTCGAACTGGCAGAAGCGGCACAGCGCCTCAATGTGCAGCGGGTGCAGCGGCTTGCGGTCCGCCCGCACCGCCAGCACGCTGCCCACATGGTGCTGCCACGCCGCCGGCGCCCAGCCCCACGCCATGCCCGCGCCCTCGTCGTCGCGGCACGCGAGGTGCAGCGACGTGGCCGCCTGGTTGGCGAACGGGTGCCTCATGCCGGTCTTGGAGGCCGTCTCTCGCTCCTGCGTCGTCGTCGTCGTCGTCGTCGTCGTCGTCGTCGTCCACGCCGAGCTGGCCGGGTACTTGCGCGTGAGGACGGGGATGCCGACGCGGGCGGCGAGCTCCGAGGCGTCGTGGTCGCCGCCCGCGAAGATGGCGTGCGTCGCCGGCACCTCGACCTCCAGGAAGGGCGGCAGCCCGAACGCGTCCTGGTCGCCTTGGCAGCTGATCTTCACGCCCTTGACCTTCTTGCTGTCGCCGTCGGCGCGGGCGTCTCCGTCGACCGCCGCGCCGTTGCTGTATGTGACGAAGAAGTCGGCGAGGTGGCGCAGGTCGTTGAGGTCGAGATCGCGGCTCACCGTCTGGTCCACTCCGAGCCCATGCATGCCGTACGCCAGGATTGGGCCTCGCCAGTCGAACATGTTGCCGCGCGGGACCGGGAGCGACTGGATGGCGAGGTTGGGCTGCGACCCGTCTTTGAGGAAGGCGTCTCGATACGCGATGCGGATGGTGTTGGGGAGTTCGCGCTGCAGCACCGCATTGTACTGGATCTGGCTCTCGGCCCCGTGCTCGCCCAGATGCGCCGCGCTGTCCGCCATCTGGAACCGGCTGGTGAAGCTGTCGTCGAAGTCCTCGTCGTCCTCGTGCCACGTGAAGTGCACCCATACGAGCGTCGGCTTGCGGTCGTCTGGTGGGAAGAGGATGCCGAGTTTGTGCTCGTGGCTGGGCCGAATTGACCGGTTGAGTGATGAGTAGGTGCGGCAAAGAAGCTTGTGGGTCGGGTGGTCGGCCGCCTGGCAGGTCTTCGAGCAGTATCTGCTGCAGTGGCAACGGGCGCATGCGCTCGCGGCTGGCTTGGTGCACGCCAAGCACAGTTCCCTGGGCCCGTCCATTCTGCGGAGTGGGATCTTTTACAGAGCGTTCGCCAGAAAAAGGCCCCTACGCGGTGAGTTAGACGGTGGATATATCCGCAGCTTCGCGGCGCTTACCCTGATCGAGACGGAAGGCCTTGTGAGAGCAGATCAACAACGGTCAGCACGGGTCCTTTGATATTGTCATGCCAACAGGGCGTTGAGGCGACCATTTGAACTGGGGTGCATGGTTTCTGACGTATACTCACGTTCGCACAGCTACGTCGACCTCCCCATCTGCTGTACCACCTTGCCAGGGGTCCCCGTGTAATGAAAGCGGCTGACTGGACTTGACAAGCGCCACGCTGAGAGCAACAATCACCTGTTGCGGCAATGCCATAAGCTTCTGTGCACCTGCTATTACTTACTAAATCAATACTTCAAACTTCAACCCAAGTTTGATACAATCATGGAGGTCCTGGCGCCTGGCCACAGATAGCGTGCGAGGGCGGGGAAACCTCCAGTATATGCATAAGCTTCCGGATCAGTAGACACCGCTGACCCGCTGCAGTCATCCGTCAGCTCGTCTAGACGCCAATCGCTTCAGCGCTGAGGATGCACACCGAGGAATACCGTCAGTGAAACATGACGTTCACTCCAACATCAACCGAGAATACCGTGTCCAAAGGAGCAGCGGAACGGAGTATGGATCGGGTTGTGTTTCGAGGCCTGCGTTTATACGCGGTATTTTACTGGTTTGGCGGGGATTGTGCGGAACACTCACAGGGGACCGTCAAGTGAAAGTGTATGCCAGTCATCATCATTAGTCTAGACAATGCTACGCTTGCCTAATTGCTCGAAGTGTACCCAAAGACCCATTTGTTTTACCGTAAACCCCCTTGACCCTGGTATCACTGTACGCACAAACTACATCCGCCACCAGAAGAGAAAAAAACGAAGAGAAGAGCATCTGGAAATAAAGTAACATGAAATGAACCGAATGTCAGAAAACGCCAGAAGTGGTCGCAGCAATGAGATTCGTCATGGGAAGCGGAAGAGATCGGGATTAGGGGATGAGAAAGGGAATCTTGGTCGTGACAGGGTCGTTATCGTCATTCCATGAAAACGTTCGATCGTCCAAGCCCTGTCGAGTGGAAAGGTGACAAAAGGGTAATCGGCCGTTTCATGGAAAGCGAGAGAACACCAAAGAAGCTGTGAAAGCAGTAAAGTTCGCAATAATGAACACAACAGGAGGGGAAATGGCCGGCGATGGTACCTGACATGGCGTGGATCGCTGGCGCATCGTACCGTCCGCTGCGCGTGCGAGGGGGTCGGTTGTGCGCGAGATGCTGTCGCAGTCCCTTCAACAGAATGTTGAGGTTATAGAATGTACCACATGTGGTCTTTTTCTCTTTTTTCGGCGTCCGCCTGCTCCTCTGCCTCCTCACCGAGGTCTCTTAGGAGTCAATCTTCAACGATTAAGCTGCTTCTTTCGTTCTGAATGCTGCTTCTTTCGTTCTGCATGCTGCCCCTTTCATTCTGCATGCTTTTCCTTTCGCGCAAACTACCATTTCGGCTGCTGAAAAACAATAAGCAATTAGAATCCGGTTTCCTTCTCGCAGAAGTGTTTTGGTGAAGGTTTAAAAAGGGAAAAAGGTTGCTGGACCGTTGAAAGTCGTTGCAAAAAAGTTGTCTGTCGAAGAAGAGAAGGTCGGACAAGTGATTGTCGAGGAAGGTAGTCCTTACGTGTATCCGGGAGGACTTCCCTGGGCCCCGTTGGCTCCGTGAAGTTTGCTCTCCATTAGGTGAAGAGTGGCGGGGAAATACGGCTCGACGCCAAAGTTGCGCAGGTAAGCAGCCGTCTTCTCGATGCGCTTAATCTCACGCTGAACCGGCCAGTCTTCGCCCTCGTCGAAGCGGCGGCGAACAACATCGACCATGGCTTGGTCGAGGCGGCCGTAGAAGTCGCGGCGTGCCGCAATGTCCTCGGCATCGCCTGTGTCCAAACCGCCGTGAGCGTTGAGGTTTCCACCCAGCTTCAGGATCAGATCGAAGGCGTAGCGCGGACCGGTGCGAAGCGACGCAAGGCGCGCGATGTCCGGAAGGAACTTGGCCATGGCGGAGGCGAAGTGGGAGGCGGAGATGCTGTCGTTCAGGTCGTCCTGCAAACGGTGGAGATCGAAGTTGACGATGGTGATCTTGCGGTCGAGCTGGGCGTTGAGGGTGCCGGCGGCAGCCGGATCGTCGCGATCCATCTGCTTCGCGATGGTGGGAGGGACATCTGTGGCCTGTTAGTACAGGTGAAAGTGGCCGTCGCGGAAAGGAGACGGTCGGTCGTACCAGGACGCAGGCCTCTCTTGTCAATCCAAGAGTGCACTTCGGCTCTCTGCTGCTCCAGCGTCTCGACCCAGGCGTTGAGCTCTGCGATCTGGCCCTCGAGCTGGTCGATCCTCTCGGTGTACGGCCTGACGGCCTCGTTGAAGGCGCGGGTAAGCAGGTCGGGGGCGCCGAGAGAGGGCTCGGAAGGCTTCATGTGCATGCCGCCGCTCATGGGCATTCCCATGGCGCCGTGCGAGGGGTCCATGGGCATGGCGTTGTGGCCGCTCATGGTGCGTTGGGGGGCGAAGGGCTCTTGGGGGCCGCTCTGGCGCGGATACATCTGCGTATCCTTCTCGATCGGGGCGAGGGGCTCGTGACTGCCGTTGACGGGAGCAGCGGAGTCGCGGCGTGAGGAAGGCGGGCGCTCGTACTTCTCGAAGGTCTTGTTGGTGGGCGAGTCGGATTCGTCAAGATAAGAATTGGCCCGCGAGCGGCGCTTGAAGAACATAGTGCGGAAACAAGAAGGGAGCGGGAGCGTGGAGCAGCGCGGGTGAGGAATTGGCTTTATTGCGGAGGGGTGAGCGGGCGCAATGGTGCCGGCGGTGCGGTGGGAGCCGAACAGGTTTGGCTCCGCGGTACGAGGGGGTTGGGGGCTGATCTATGAGGGGATATTGCGATGGCAGGAAAAGCTGGTGGTGGTGGTGATGCCCGGTGATGCCCGGTGGAGCGATAGCGCGACTATTAAGCCGTGGCGGTGGCTGGGCGAGGAGCGGCGAGGAGCGGCAGGCTGGCAACAGCGGCGACGGCTAAGCACAACACGACAGCGGCGGACGCGAGGGCCCGGGCAGAGACGCTGCAATTCGCGCGGGGCGGCAGGCGACTGCAGCGAGCGACTGGGAATTCCGCAGAGCGAGAGTACGAGCCGGCGGCCAGCGGAGCGCCGGAGAGGTGCATCGGGCGGGTCAAGAGGAGCACCGGGCGGGGGAACTCCCTCCCAGCCACGCCGGTCCTGCCGGCCTTCAGCTCAACACGAACATAATCGGGGCCAGCGCTCCCTGGACCTGAAACTCCGGCTCGCGAACTCACTTCTGTTGAATCGCCTCGTGCGACCCGCTCCGGCTGGGCGCTAATGCACGCTGCTCCTTTCCGTAGCGCCCATGGCCGCCGCCATCCTTGTCGCTATCCCGCTACCGTCACGCCGCGTCCTCGCTCTCCACACATCTCCGCCGCCTGCCATGTGCGCCAGCAAGGGGGGGCGGACGGTTCGCCGCCGCTCTTCCCTATCTGTCCGACTTGTAGGCGCAAACCCTCGTATTCCTGGAAGCTCTAGCGGCGATCGGCTCTCGCCCGCATCTCGTTGCCGCAGAACTCTATCTGTGTGACGACGACGTTGGCTTTAAGAGGACCACGAGTCTCGACATCCGCTGCTGTCTCTGCCTATCGTTTCTCCCGACCCCGCTTGCTTGGTCCAATTCCCGCGGCTACGAGCGCAGCTCCACCAGTTGTTCTGTTGCGTCTGACCACAGCTGTTTCCTGGCTGTCCCGGATGTCTTCCTGAATCATGCATGAGATGACATTCGCTGGTGCTCTAATTATGATCCCTAGCCGCCCAGTCTCCGACTCTCCTGTCAATGCGAATCGACATTACCAATCCGCCTGGTTCCCGGAACGCCCGTCCAATGCCAATGCCGCGCCCATCTAGACCGACATCTTCATAGCAATCGTCTTGTGCGGGTCGTAGCCCTTGACTTCGAAATCACTGGCAGACCATCCATCGATGCTGCCGCCCTTCTCCCTCTTGATCGAAAGCTCCGGGAAGACCCTTGGCTCTCTCTCCAGCTGCACCTTCAGGGCATCGACGTGGTCGAGGTAGACGTGGGCGTCACCCATGGTGTGCGTCAACGTGCCGGGGGTCAGATCGCAGACATGGGCCAGCATGTGCGTGAGAAGAGCGTACGACGCAATGTTGAAAGGCACGCCGAGCCCCATGTCGCAAGACCGCTGATAAAGCAGGCAGTGCAGCACCCCACGCGCCTTCTCCTGTCTCTCTTGTCCCTCGCCCTTCTCGCCCCTCTTTGCGCGTGGAAAGCTTACATAGAATTGTGCAAACATGTGGCAGGGGGGCAGGGCCATCTTCTTCAGATCTGCCGGGTTCCATGCGCTCATGATGATGCGGCGGTCGTACGGCTTGTTTTTGAGCTTGTCAATGACATCGGCCAGCTGGTCGACGCCCTGGCCGGTATAGTCCGTCTTTGCATCCACGTACTCGGCACCAAAATGGCGCCACTGGAAGCCATATACCGGGCCCAGGTCGCCCTCTTCGCGGTGAGACAAACCCACGCTGTCGAGGAACTCGCGCGACCCGTTGCCATCCCAGATTTTTATGCCAGCCTCAGTCAAGGGTTTGGAAGATGTAGTGCCTGCAACGAACCACAGCAGCTCGGCGACAACTGCACGCAGGAAGACACGCTTCGTGGTGAGCAGCGGGATGACGGGTGTTGCTTCTCCTTCCGCACTCGATGAGGGGCGAGAAAGAGAAAACTTCAGCTGCGGGGGCGCAAAGATGGAGTAAGTGCCCGTTCCTGTGCGGTCGGGGCGATGTTCGCCATTTTCGAGGATGTCGCGGATCAAGTCGAGGTATTGGTATTCTTCATGGCGAACGGACGAGCCGGCAGCAGGCTTCGCGGGCGTCTTGTGGGCGGCAGAGGGGCTCTCGGGAGCGATGACGGTTTCTACAGCACCCGGAGACATTGCGAGCAGCTTCGGGGTATCCTGGCGGAGGCGGGCGGCAAGGAAGCGAGCGGTTGCGGTGGAAGTGGTTTACAGGAAGACGCGCGCCGAAAACGCGCTTCGAGAGGGACGCGACGCGCCGATCGGCAGTTGCCAAGTTCCGACGTCTTCTGCGGTTGCCGAGGCCGTCGATCAAAGTAAACAGCGTCTGCCCCGAGGCCTACGACTCGTCCAGAGCACACCACCCCCACTGCCCCTGCAGCACTCCCCATATATCAGGAACGGGCCGCTGGGATAAGCACCGCCCGCACTGCTTCGGAAACCATGCGCGACGACGAATCCCTCGCCCGTCTGCTCACCGTCTTGCGGGAGCGCCGCGTACCCTTGACCCGCGATGACGTGCAGTGGGCCTTCGACTCGGTCAAAACACAAAACGATGCCGTCTCGTGGGTCGAAGAATACCTGCACTCCGACACGCTCTTGAGCAAAGAGGAGCTTGCTCTGTAAGCCATCACATTCTGCAGACACATGGATCATTGATGCCTAAGTGTTCATGCCCAAGGTACGAAACTCTCTGCGCACAAGACGAAGAAGTCAAGGACCTTGTACATGTACCAGAGATCCAGCCGTTCCAGGATAACGGAATCCGTGATGCGATTGAAGCCCTGGAGGCTTCCACTACTGCTATTGATGAGCAGACCAAAAGCCTCGAAGTCCAGATGGACGCGCTTCTTGAGCTTCGCACGCAAAATGCAGAGCCAAACAATGCGGTTCGAAGGAAGCTTGACGACCGCAGGAGGAAAATCACCTCGGAGAAAGGCCAGTTGGATTTTGATGTAAGCGGGGAATTTTCCTGGGCAAATTGAGGGGGGTACTGACAGCGAGCAGATAGAAGGGCTGAAATACGCCATTAACGATCGTATCTTGTCTTCTCAGAAACAGACCAAGTCTGCAGCGTCTAGCTTGACAGCCGTGGTCAACGACCGCTTCACTTCTGATGATCGCATGCTTTCTGCAGTCTCGAAGCTGTCTTCAAAGCTTGAGCCACCCTCTGAAGAGCAGTTCGATTTCCAGACTATCAACAAGTGGTGCACATCACTGGTCTCGTTTCGAGCGGCCGGCATTCGGGTGCGGGTTGAGCGCATATTCCAGGAAACTCTTACGAATGACGACTACTCAGAGGAAGCAAGGCAACCCGCGGATGAAGCGCTAGCTGAGAAAGAGGAGCTCAAAGAGGAGCTCGAGACGCTGCACTCTGAAATCACATCCGTAGCTCAGATGGGTGTCGAGCAGGAACTGCGCCGACCTATCTTCCAGACCCTCGAACAAGGACAGGGCCAACAAAAACGTCTCCAAATACGCTGGCTCGACTATGTGAGTTTCATACTCTCCATACCTCCCCACTTCACCCCCTTTCTAATATGTACATACTATCCAGATCCTCGCTTCCTTGGAATACATGACCAATCGCCTCCACCATCTCACGATGCACGCCGCCGATTTAAGAGCCTACACTGCAGCTCTTTCAGAGATTAGTAAGGTCTTTTCGGCTACTCTGCCCCCGCCGCCTCCAACACGCTCTTCGCCCTCCAAACAAGCCGCGGTCGCCCGTGCCCGTGCCAAGAGCATTGCCGCCACGCCCGTTCAGCTAAGTGCGGCAACTCAGCAGCTTCTCCGCCAACTTGACATCACGCTTCCGCCGGTCGCAGAGACTCGGCCACTTCAGGCTCTTGCGCAAGCCGTTATGGACCGCCAGAGCCGCCTTCTTGCACACATTGACTCGAGCCAGAGTACGGCAGTCCAGAGCGTGAGCGAAGCGGTGAGTTCGGGCGCAGTTGAAGTACAAGAGATGCTTGCAGCGCTGTTTGCGAACTCTGAGTATAGGACGGTGAAGGTGACGAAGAGGGAGGTGGAGGAGGGGCTGGAGGCGGTTGAGAAGGGCATCGGTGAGGTGAGCAGCATTATGCCGGAACTGCAGGAAAAGATGAACGTGGCAGGAGGAGATGCGAAGTCAAAAAGGAGAGAAAGGGCGTTTGTTGGAAGGTGGGGGGCTCCGACCGAGTAGAGTGATTCATGCCATCTGTAGGCTGGTTGCGCCCACGCTCTTACAACACGTTGGATCAAAGCAATTTCAGAAGAACGTGCTATTTTGCTATTTTGAAGGGTTGAAGAAGCAGAAATCTATCTAATGTTTAATTAATGTAAGTGGTAGGAAACTTCCATCTAGCCGACCATGATGCAGGCATAAGCTCGAGGTTAGATGCCGTCAATGCTTTCTGAGAGTATATGCGCCTCCAAGAAGATGTCTTCAACGCCTTCAGAGTTCCGAGTAAATAGTCGCTCAGAGGCAAATGGCCGCCTCTCAAACCTAAGACCCACCGTCGTTAATCCAAGAGAAGCCGTGTCACCGATACCATCACCATTTGCCCTAGTTTTTTCTTTTGCCCGCTCACTCCAAAGTCTTGACCCACTTGTTCTTTTCCGCCCACCTCTGCTGCTCTTGCACCATCATGACATAGAACTCATGGTCCCAACCAACGCACTGCAGGTACTCCCACCACAGCCTCAGGCCCGGCGGATCCGCAGAGTCCTCCCTCTGGAACGCCTGCAGTATCTTCTCCGTGGTCAACCTGCCAATCTTCTTCCTTGCCTCCTCCTCCCACTCGCTCAGGTCGCGAATGTGCTGACCCACCTCTTTTCTCACGATCTCGTGCCCCACGTCCGGATGGCCTGGCAGAGGTCCCTCGTACTCGGGCCTAGGCATGAAAGCTTTCATGAGCGCATCCGTGACCCAGCCTGGACGCGCGATATCGGCCAGTTGCTCGGCCCAGTACATCTTCACCGCGTCTGGCACGTGCTCCATCTGTCTGTCGTAGTCGAGTTTGTCGGAGAGGCGAAGCTGGCTGTACATTCCCATGTAGACGTACTTGCGGCCACCGACTTCAGCCTTGTGTTCATCATCATCACGACCACCGCCAACATCATGCTTCTCTGCCCACTCTGACTCGGATACGAAGACAGGCACATTGTTGAATGCGCCCGCCGCATCATCGCCGTCGAAATCCTCCGGGTTCTCCGGGTTAAAGAATGCTGTCAGCTTTGCGCCGTGGGCAGCGGGCGAGCGCGGAACGTAGGGATCAGTTGAGGCGTTCAGAATGTAGTAAGAACGTGATGGTAGGATGCTGCCACCCTCGGTCACCGGGTGATAGTAGAAGCCGGGACTCCAATACTTGCCGAGGAGGAACTGTCGAATGAAGTCCCATGAGAAGGTCTGCATGGTAGAAGGAGTCGGAATGGTAGCGGTAGCCGCATCGTCAATGGGGCGCAAGCTGCGGATGGCCAAGGGTTGCCAATTGCCAGCCGAGGACATGTGTGTGAAGGACGGGTCCTCCGTCGATGGAACCGGAGTGTCTGGGTGCATTGGAAGACAAGGTGACTGCGTGGACTGCTCGGCTTCGTTGTCACCTTCGTTCAAGAACCCATCTGGCTTAGCACTACTAAGATGGATGGTTAGTGAAGTGAATCATCGACGCGATCTTGGATCAGGGCCATACCTGATCTGCGTCTGATCCGGCGGCTGCACTGCAGGTGCCTGGCTGTGGGAGCCCTCAATCTGCTTCGCAGCATTGGTCAAGAACCCCAAAAGACCACTGGAGTTCTGGAGACGCTGGCGAGTAGCATTCACTTTGGATTGGTCAAATTGCTTAGGAGGATGGAAAGCACCGATGGTAACACTCCAGCTGCCCTGCTTTAGCATCTCGAAATCTTCGCGCAAAGACAATATCTCTTTGTTAAAGATGTCGGTGAGGTCTTTGAGGTCCGACACCTTGATAGTGACCAGATCATCCCGGCTATGTTGATTGGAGATGTCACCAGACGAACGTACAACGGGACGCAAATGAGGTGGAGTGGCATGGCTACTATGCAGCAACCCGCGAGGCTGATCAATGCCTCTAAATGACATGGCGAGGTGTCCTAGTAAGGACGGTCAGCGACAGCGTGTGGTGAAGGAGCAACAAAAGCATCAATCGGTAAGGGGAGGTACTTGCGAACCTTGACTACTCTGCCGGTGGGAATATAAGGGAGGTTGATCAGCAAGCGAAGCTTGTGGTAGTTGTAGATGTAGAGGAATGGAGGAGCAGAGGCAGATGGAAGCGTTTTATGGCGCCTGGACGCTGCACGCTGGACACTGGACCCTGAGTCCGCCTGTGGAGTATTCACATGGAAGGTGGGCAGGTGCTAGTCACTCTTGCATACGGATTCAATCGTCGAGGTGGCGCGTGCCTTGGCCAAATGCAATGCCAATTAGGAAGCTGTGCTTGAATCTTCTAGCTCGTGCGCTCAGCTCGCTGAAGGCCACAGAATGATTGAAACCAGGTGTCAGGCGGCCATACGCTGTTCTTGGCTTTGCCGCGCACGGAAAGCATACCTGCGGCATACCTGCGGCATACTCCAGGCGCCAGTGTCAAAGTCATTATAAGCAGAGGCATATTTGCCGGACACCTGGCCATTTCCATCCGGTTCAGACACGGGCAACCATTGCTCTCAGGCCTCAGCATTGCTAGTAGGTAATCCGACTCGGCACGGACTCGGGTTGGAGATAGCTAGACAGGTACGTACTACCTACATCCAACGGTGATAAGATAAGATCACGGCCGCCGGATCGGAGCCACGAGCGGGGGCTGCACGACCATGGCTCCGTGGGAGATGAACGAGGCGGAGGATGGAAAGTCGGGCGGACTCGCTTTTCCCGGACGACACGGACAGCAGGGAGGGACGGGGGGACGGGGGGACGGGGGGACGGGGCAGTGGTGTGCGGCGCGCGGGTGGAGGAAAGGTCAGGAGACCGGGCGGAGGGTGGGCGGTGTGGAGCGGCAGGACCCTGAGAGATGACGCGCGCCTGCTCGAGGTGCTTCGCTCCACGCTCGGACGCTGAGATTGCTGGCCAGCCCAATTCTTCCTCTCCAATGCAACACTCCCTCGTCCGCCGCCTCTCAATCCTGTCTCACCCTCGCGCCTGACCAACCTCTCCCTTTTCCCGCTCCACCATGCCGCCCGCAAAGGTTCGCCCGCACGACCCTGACGCGCGCCCAGACGGCCCCGCGAAGGACAAGCACACGGCCACTTCGCACGCCTCACACGCGCGCGGTCGCAGGACCGGGGGGCCCGCCCATCTGACAAACGGAAGCCACTTGAAAGAACTTCTCGCTGCTTCGGCCGATGCGACAAGCGCGGCGAACCGTAATGGCGGACAGGCCGCCCATGCTGGCTCAAGTGGAGGAGTAAGCTACGCCCAGGACCTCGGCCTCCTCCCATCCCGCCAGAGTGCAGCTTGCTCACGCATCCCCGGTGCATCGCGCAGATCTCCTGGGCGTCCGAAGACCTCTCCCTGCTCCAGGACTACCGTTCGTCGCACCGACTCGAAGCGCCGTCTGCGTTTAAAAACCCCATGGGCCACGCAATTCTAGGGAGAGGCATCGGCAAATACTCGCCCACCATGGCGCGCAAGAAAAACGAACGGCGCGTACCAAAGGAGCAGCTGGCCACGGCGGTGCGCAAGAACTTCAACGCGCTCGCTGTGAGCGAGTCGGAAGTCATTGTGGACCTCCTTTACAAAGTGAAAATGCAGGGTACGTGCCTTCAGCAGGTCGCGACTCGTGCTCAGCACGCACGAAGGCCACCCTCTGACGGCATCCACCAGACAAAACATTTAGGCTGCGCTTCCCTCCCCCGCGCACGCGGTAGTCTGATCCGCCCGAAACGTTACACGGCGCGACCGCTTGCTTCATCCGAGCCACGATCGGCGCGCAGCATTGAGCAATGCATCTGGCATAATTGGCGTTTATTTCCTTACATACTCGGTCTACATGGGAATACTGGCGTTGATACGGGAGGAGGATACCCTCGGGTTATGGGCCATCTAGAGACTCGACTGTCGCGGACTGCTCGCATCCCATCTGCGACTGCGACTGCGCAGGGTCACACTTATTTTTGGGTCTTGGTATATTCGGTTGGCTATTCATTGGGATCACGAAGATAATGGAACGGGATGTGCATTAATAGACACGGCATCACTATCAGCGCGTGGCATTTTCGCGACGGGGAGCAGGCCGACGCGCGCGTGCACGCGCCTTATTGCATCGGCGATGACGAAAAGAGGAGCCGCGGACGCGCAGACGACTGCCGCGCCGCATGTACCCAATATCATGGTATTTCGGGCCTCGCTTTGGGACAGGTGATGCGGCAACAGACGTGAGCAGCGCATTGCAGTGATCCGGATGGAGCAGTTGGGTGGCTTTTGGCGGGTCGTACAAGCTCGCGACAGACGGTGCCGTCATAGGTCGCGGATAGCATCGCTATAACCGACGGCATTCTCGAAGGATCCGGCGCGACATGATTGGCTGATCCGCTCGACGAGACCCCAGAACCTTCGTCCAAATTTCTGAGCCCGTCAACACCACAGCAGCTCCTCTCCGCACGGCCTCATAAATCAACAATCATTTTCGCACATCCACAATGAGCCTCGCAGCCCCGAGGGCAGCCGTCAAGAAGGCGCTGCCTGTGCGTGTAGCAACCGCCTCCGCACCCCAGCGCCGCCGATTCTCCAGCGCCGCTCCATCGTTGCCGGCATGGCGTCGCCCGGCACTTCAATGCGGCCGGCCACCCCGGCAGTTTGGTCAAGGAAGGGTGAGCATGTCGCCCGTTCGCTACTGAGCCATCTACTGACTGCCTTTCTGCCCAGCCTTTCCACGCCACCGCAGTTCACTTCGCAACCAAAGACCCATATTCAGTCCTCGGCGTCGATAAGAACGCATCCGCATCGGAAATCAAGAAAGCGTACTACGGCCTTGCGAAGAAATACCATCCGGACACGAACAAGGATGCCGGCGCCAAGGACAAGTTCGCCGATGCGCAGTCTGCGTACGAACTGCTGTCGGATGCGGAGAAGAAGAAGGCTTACGACACGTACGGTTCAGCCGCGTTCGACGGCGGCGCCAGCGGATTTGGCGGCGGGGGCGCTGGCCCTGGTGGACCCGGCGGCAATCCGTTCGGCGGCTTCGGCTTCGGCGGAGGCGCTGGCGCTGGCGGATTTGGCGCCGATTTCAACTTTGAGGATCTATTCGGAGCGTTTGCAGGAGCGGGGGCCAGGAGGGGGGGACGCTCGCGCGGCTCGCGCAATCCGTTCCAAGAGGAAATCTTTGTAGGCGATAACATCGAGGTGCAGACGAACATCAGTTTCATGGATGCGGCAAAGGGAACGACCAAGGAGATCTTCATCACCCCGTTGGTCCAATGCAATACCTGCAAGGCATCAGGGTTGAAGAAGGGGACGAAGAAAACCAGTTGCCAGGTTTGCCACGGTACGGGTCAGAGGGTCGTGAGCATGGGCGGTTTCCACATGGCGACAGCTTGCGAGGCGTGTGGTGGAGCGGGTGTTTCAGTTCCAAGCGGCTCCGAGTGCTCGACTTGCGATGGGCAAGGAGCGGTGAGGGAAAGGAAAACCGTGACGGTGGACATCCCCGGAGGAGTGGAGGACGGCATGAGACTGCGCGTTTCCGGAGAAGGAGATGCACCACTCAGCGGCGGCACCGTGTCGGACAAGCCGCGGACTCAAAACGGCGACCTTTACGTCTTCATCAGGGTGGCGGCCGACCCCAAGTTTCAGCGCAGCGGCTCCGACGTGCTCTACACGGCTACCGTGCCACTCACGACGGCTGTTCTGGGCGGCGAAATCCGGATCCCGACACTGGATGGAGACGTCAAGGTCAAGGTCCCCACTGGCACCGGCACCGGCGACAAAATCACTCTTGGCGGCATGGGTATGAAGAAGCTGAATAGCCGGAAGGGCATGAAGGGTGATTTGCGAGTGGAGTTCAAGGTATCGATGCCCAAGTACCTAAGCGCCAACCAGCGGACCATTCTGGAAATGCTCGCGGACGAGATGGGCGACCAGAACGCCAAGAGAGTCATGAACCTTGGGAGCATGAGCCAGGATACGAAGGACAAGATGGACGAGGTGGAAAAGAACAAGCACAGGAACGAGGGATTCCTGAAGAGTGCATGGCACAACCTGACCGGGCAGCACAAGGAGATGGAGAAGGACTCAAAGAACGACAAGCCGGATGACGAGCAGAAGAAGGCTTCGGGCTCGGGCTGAGCGGAGCGGAGGCAGACCATCTCGAGAGTGTCCCGCCGAAGGGAGCGAAGGCTCTGTCCGAAGGCGTCTGTGAATTTCTCCACTATACACTCCCACCCGGACACTACTTCCTCTGAGCGCTCGTAAGAACGGGGCCAGCCGGCTGCGATGTTTGCCGAGGGTGGATTCGAGAAGGTACTGTGGGATTGATAGCATGCGGTGATCCTATTGGCCGCAGCGATGACGGGACGTGTTTGGTCCCCGGCGTTTAGCAGCGTTTTACGCGCTGGCGGGTGTGGCAGGGCGTGCAGAGCATTTTCAAGGCATATTCACGGCGTTTCAAGAGACGTTGCGCGGCAATGGACAGAAAAATTTCGGGGCTAGACTGTACGTGTATGTAGTATGATAGACATCTCTCCTCCATCCTTGCGATTGGCCAAGGGCGGCTCACTGATCAGGTGCGAGGGCCTGGAAGCTGCTGGGCTGGACGGGCCGGGCTGCGCGTCCGGGCCCGGGAGTGCATACCGATAGTACCTACCTAGGTAGTACCTTACCGTCGTAGGTGCGAGCAAAGGCAGGCTGGCCCGGCGCGGCGGCAACGACTTCGCAGAGCTTAATCGACGATTCGGGCCGGCAGCGCTTATGACGCTGCAGGGTGCGACGGCGGGGGGCTGCAATTGGCCGGGCGACGCGGGCCGCTTTGGAGACCTCCGCTGACGGGTGGCTTAGCCATCGCGACGGCAGCGCGCCGTGACTGCGATGCGGGCGTGGGCGCGTACGGCTGCAAGTGGCATGGCCGGGAGAGCCTCAATGCAAGCGCCAGCCTCTAGACTCAGCCATCTGCCTGCAGCCTGATTCGCGCCCTTCGTTCTTCACCGACCCCGAGAGCCGCTGCCCACGCTGCCCGCGCTGCCCACGCTGCCCAGCTTTCCCCACAGCGAGTCGAGCCCGGCAGGCGCTTCAGGACTGCTGTCAGCACCTGCCAGCATCCCGACCTGCGACGTAGCCACCCGAGCGAGCCCCATATCCGCTCCATATCCGCTCCACGCCCGCCAGGAGCGGGAGCCCGCCCAAGCCGACTGCGTTGTGCTCGGAAGATATCGCATCACTGCCCGCAGCTAGCGCCGTCTGGAGCGCGTCGCCGACGAACACGCAAGCCACGGCTAGGCCCAACACCACAGCCTGAACGCCCGCCCGCCTATCCGCACCCCTTCGCATTCGCCGCCAGCCGAGAAGCACGCCGCCTCACTGCCTCCCCCGCCTGCCTCCCCCGCCTGCCAACGACACCGCGACCACGGGCGAGCTGCATCGCCGCCCGTCTCCCACCTCCCACCCCGCCCACCATGACCGTCTTCGCGCCCATGCTGTCCTGCCCGCTCAAGCAGACCAACGAGATTGACTGGATCACCCCATTGAAACAGTACATCCGCCAGACCTACGGCGACGACCCCGAGCGCTATTCGGAAGAATGCGCCACCCTCAACAGGCTGCGCCAGGACATGCGCGGCGCCGGCAAGGACAGCGCTGCCGGGCGAGACCTGCTATACCGCTACTACGGCCAGCTGGAGCTGCTGGACCTGCGCTTCCCCGTCGACGAAAACCACATCAAGATATCCTTCACATGGTAAAGCTGCCTGCGTCCGCTGGCTGCCGTTACCCAGAGCTGACCTTCATCTCCCACTCCCAGGTTTGATGCCTTCACCCACAAGCCCACCTCGCAGTATTCGCTCGCGTACGAGAAGGCCTCCATCATCTTCAACATATCCGCCGTCCTCTCGTGTCACGCCGCCCACCAGAACCGCCACGAAGACGTTGGCCTCAAGACCGCGTACCACTCCTTCCAGGCTTCCGCCGGCATGTTCACCTACATCAATGAGAACTTCCTGCACGCGCCGTCCACGGATCTAAGCAGGGATACGGTCAAGACGCTGATAGCTATAATGCTGGCCCAAGGCCAGGAAGTCTTCTTGGAGAAGCAGATCGAGGATGGCAAGAAGGTCGGCATGCTGGCGAAGCTTGCCAGCCAGGCCTCTTTTCTGTATACCCAGGCCGCCGAGGGAGTGCAGGACAATGTGACCAGAGGTATCTTTGAGAAGGTCTGGCTGTTGGTGGCACAAGTCAAGGCCAACTATATGGCGTCGCTGGCTCAGTATTACCAGGCCCTGGCCGACAATGACGCCAACTCCCACGGCGTCGCCATCTGCAGGCTTCAATCAGCGGAACAGCAAGCGAAGGACGCAAACAGGATCGCGAACGCTTTCCCCTCAAGCGTTCCGGCTACTTCAAATCTGAGTTCCGAGACTGGCGGAATCCTCATGGACATGACGAAACGGCACCTTGTGAACGTCCAGGAGCGCACCGAGGAGTTTTCCAAGGACAACGACTTCATCTACCATCAACCGGTCCCCTCCGAAGCAACCCTGTCCCCAATCCCGAAATTGCCAGCTGCGAAGGCCATCCCCGTGAGCGAACTTTACCAGGGCCAGGACATCCAAAGAATAATAGGCCCGGACATTTTTCAGAAGATTGTACCCATTTCGGTTACCGAGCAAGCCAGTTTGTACGATGAGGAGAAGGCAAAGTTAATACGGGCTGAGGCCGAGCGCGTGGAAACGGCAAGTGATGAGATGGCGGCGAGTCTAGATTACCTCAAGCTGCCAGACAGTTTGAACATCCTAAAGGGCGGCATGGACCAAGAGATGACCGTCGACGATGACTTTCGGAAATGGTGCGAGGAATTGGCCGGCCATGCTCCTTTCACAACCGCCTTTGACCAGCTGAGCACCGAGAAGTCATCGATTACGGCGATGCTCGATACAGCCTCGAAACAGCTGGATATGGAAGAGAGCGTATGTGAGAAGATGCGGTCGAAATACGGTGTGGACTGGACGCAACAGCCGAGTGCACGCTTGACGGCAACGCTTCGAAGCGATATCAAGAACTACAAGACGGCCATTGAGGAGGCCAGTATTAGCGACGCGGCTCTGTACAGCACGTTCCGCCAGCACGAGTCGGACTTCGACGAGATGCGTTCGGCTGGAGAGACGGATGAGGCGGACGTGCTATATCAGCGGGCAATGATCAAAGCGGGTGCGGCTCGTGGCAAGGGCAGGAGTAGCCCCGGCGCTGAGGGTAACTTGTTGGATGATGATTTCGAGGGCGGCCCGAGTGTAGCGGAGCAAATTGCAGCCGTCGAGGAGCTGCTGAGGAAGCTGAATTTGATCAAGCGTGAAAGGCAGCAGGTGCTGAAAGACCTCAAGGAAAAGGCGAGTTTCAACTCCACTCCGACAAGGCAGCCCCAGTCTAACGTGTCCTAGGTCCACAATGACGATATCTCCAACGTCCTTATCCTCAACAAGAAGCAGATCTCCAACCAGGAGAACCAGCTATTCAAGGCCGAGCTTGAGAAGTTCCGGCCTCACCAGAACCGGATATTGCAGGCCAATCACAAACAATCGTCTCTCATGAAGCAGCTTACACAGACGTACGGGGATCTCTTGCAGGATAAACGGGTGCGGTCGGAGCAAAGCAAGTACGAAGCCTTCTCTCGACAGAGAAGCTCTGTCATGAGCAAATACCGCAAGATCTTCCAGGCTTTCAACGACCTCATCTCGGGGCTCATGAGGGCGCAGGCGTTTTACTCTGACATGAAGGAGACGGTGGAGAGCTTGCAGCAGAATGTCGAAAGCTTCGTCAACAACCGGAGGGCTGAAGGTGGGCAGCTCCTCGGTTCGATTGAGAACAGAAAGGCAACGGGGAGCAGCGAACAAGCGGACCGGGAGCGTGAGCGGATGCAGCAACTCATGGAGCGTATGTCGGTGGAGCCGTCACGGTCGCCCGTCTCGCAGCATGAGCGGACCACATCTCGTCCTTCTCCGTTGCAGCAGACGGCATCCTACCAGACGTCTTACAATCCCGCCAGCTCACCACCGGTAACACCACGGTACCCGTCCGTCACGGCTGCGGCCCCATCAGCAGGCCCCTACGGCGTGCAATCCCCGCCTATGCACCACCAGTCATACCAACCGCAACCCCCAACAAATGGCAATGCCGCACCTTACCAACCGCAGCCTCCTCGTCGCGAGTCGTATCAGCGTGAATATAATCCCAACAACTACGGCCAGATGTCTCCGCCGGCGACGCAACAGTACTTTTCTCAAGGCCAGTACGGCAGCTACCAGCCCCAAGCTGGTGGCAGCCAGTTGCCGCCAGGCTACATTCCGCCGCCTCCGCCGCCGGGGCCGCCGCCGAGTCATCAGAGCGTCGACTATGCAGGTCTGACTGGTAACGGTGCGGCGTATCCCAGCGGTCCGGGTGGTTACGCAGCGGGTGGGTATAGAGCACCAAGCATGGGCCAGGGGCATCAGCAGCAAAGCAGCGGGTCGGATCCGTGGGCGGGACTGAGTGCATGGAAATGAGCTGGCGAAAAGTTATCGAGTTCGCATGGAGCAGATGAAGGACGGGGAATAAGGGAAGACACATAAGTGGTCTCTTTCGTCTGTTCTGAAATATTTCATTTATTCTTAGCTTATGTGGGATAGTACAGTTGAAAGATAGGGACGTTGCCTTGCTTGTGCTTTCACGCATGTGACTACCGCATTTCAATCAAAGATCAATGGCGTAAGCGAATGTCAATTGTGACTTGGAGTGTCTGCTAATTCAAATGATGGGTGCATTAAGAGTGAGTGGCCTTCCACAAAGTGCTCTGGTTGCCCTCCACAACTGCAAGCTGGCACTACCAGCCTCCTCGCTGTTGGGACACACTCCCACATGACAGCCTGTGCTGTGTCCTGACGTCTTCGACGCTTACTCAGAACCCTTCATTGCGTATTTTGTTAGCACCATTCGGTACCAGGCAGGCATATGCTCCGGTCAAGCGCATAGAAGCAAGCGGGGATCACTTACAGATGACATTTTTCCCATGGGAAGGGGCCGAATCTTCATTCATCTTCTTGCAGCAGGTCCAGCAATCCTACATGGTCCCAATGAATCAGCAAAGGGAAGGTCTGCATTTGCAACGCCGGCTTGTTCACTTACCCCGAAGTTAGTCTTGTCCTGTCGTTTCAACCTCCGTCAGCAGATGCATCTTTCGATCGGGGAAAGCGGGCTGGTTCCTCACAAATCCTTCGGGGCACGCAATAGACTCAGGAGCACAGATCCTCCAGCAAATTTTGGGCTCGTCGTCGTCGTCGAACGGCATCTGGCGGCGCGGAGAGCACAGGCCGGTGACGGCAAACAGTGCGAGCGCGAGTGCGGCGTACTTCATGATGATGATGAGGATATGAGGGGATTATATAGTAAAGTTTGAGTGTCTGTTGCGGTACCGGTTGCGCCAGTTGGTTTGCTGATGGTGTGATTGTGATGTGGATTAGGCCCCTTTATATACCTTTTACTACTTCGCTGTTCAGCGCAGTCGGCGATTCTGGCCTCGAATATCTCCAGAGAGTCACCGATACATGTAAGGTCTTGGCGAATGCATCTAGATATCTTTCTGCATGGAGCTAATAGTGACTGAGATCATTGCGGGGCGTCTGTACGACAATAGGTTGAGGTGGGGCCAAGATCAGTATTCTGCAGTAGCCATGGTAGCATTGCCATAAGAGTAGTGGCAAGAAGCACCGCCAGGCGGTGACAAATGGTGTAAAGTCTGGGATTTCCAATTGCAATCGTGGTATACACAGTGCATGCCCAATATCTTGGAGAAGCATTCATCCCGAGGGAAATCAACGAAAGTCGGCTACGTGCAGCACCGTACCCCGTAAGCGTGAGGAGTGGAGTGGAGCTCCTCTCACTCTGGTGCGGGCAACAGAGTCAGTGGTGGATATTTCCCCATTTTCATGCATAGCGGGTGCAGTATGCATCCGGAGCTGATGTAACGCAAGATCCCCGCCGTGCATACATAGCCGCACTGGAGATCTCCACATGTCCGGACGCTAGAATCCGCGCTATACGAGGGGAGAGATGTGTATCCTAATAGCATTTCGTGTCATGTTGTTCTTTTTTTTTTTTTTTTTGGTAGTTGACGGGGAAAGCAGTGGCAGAGTTTCTAGTGTTAGTGCCGGCTTTATATGACCCTTACAAGATTTGAGACTGCATTCAAGTGGCCAACATACAATTGGAGCAGTTATAAACCCTATCTTCAAAGACCGCATATACGAGATGTTCGAGCGGGGTATGGAGGACTCTCCGCAACGCCGTCCCCGTCCACCCATGTTCACATTATTCGTCCACGGGCCCCGTATCACGCTTGATAAAATGCACTCAAGTGGAGTTCATGTTGGCCCCTCCTTGCATGAAAAGCAATTTCCCTTCCCGTATCCATGTGTTATTACTCAGAGAACTTCCCCAAATCACCACTTGGCGCATCCGAATAGAAGATCGTGGAACATGATTGACCTCGATTGATAAACAAAGACTAACCACCATGCACCTAGCATTGTCTAAGCATGTCACTTTGTCGAATTACTCTCATGCCAGCACCGAAGAGAACTTAAGGCGACGTTCATAGACCAGCTGAAGTCATCTGTTGCATGCTGCTAGACTGGACCAAGCCAGCTGAGAGCAGGTATGTGCTGTGCATTCGCCGATGGCCTGCGGCGATAGACACACCCCGCTCACAAGTGACCAATGGTCTCTCACTATCCTTGAGTTCGGTGTGCACCATGCGACGACACTTGCTATCCCGATCCCGGGCTTCAGCCAAGGCGCGGACACAACATATGCTTTGGTTTAGCCGTAAGCAGAGGTACTCTAGCGAGACGAGGGAGGGGTGTATACCTGAGCTTGCATATGCGAATAGACATATAGCGTATGGCATAGCTGCTGGCACTGGGATCTTCCAAGGGCTGCTTACGGATTGGTTTAACAGCATCTCTGGCACGATGCCACGTCTGTGTCTTTGGTTCCGGTTCCATACGCAGCGGATCGCGATCCTTAGTCATCGCATTTCATGCCTTCTCTCATCATTGGATCCCGTTCCTCTGTGATCCCTGCCAATCTCCTCCCATTATCATAGTTGAGGCTGTTAACATTGGTGCTAGTAATCGAGTTGCTTTAAGAATGCGTTCACTGTCAGATTTTGCTGTTGCTCATCCACTCTCTCCAGCTTGGTGGACGCTACACAGCAAGGCGACATAAGCGATGTATCTTGTCGCCGATTAGATCTACATGCCCACTGTTAATCTAAACAGTGCTCCTCCAGCATACTGAGAAGCCATGCCCATATTGAGAGGAAGTATATGACCCGCCTCCTGTGCCGAACTGCCACCCTCTATCCCAAACACATGCCAGACAACGGTCACAGATAGCGGAATCCGAAGTGTTGTCTTCGCTTCAAGGACAAGAACTGAGCAAAAAAGAAACTTTCTTTTCAACCCCTTCACCCCATCCGTGATCCAGATGATCCCAAAGAGAACGCATGAGAAAGAGGAATTCATCCGCGCCAAACACGCCTGCATGCCAGTTTTGCATAGTAAAATCCACCGTTATCGAAAAAACGAAAAACCCTACCCCACCGTTCCCCATCGCCTGTCCGTAGATGACCGACTCAACCAACAATCGCCATCTTTTTTTGCTCCAACCATGATGCTCTCAAGTCGTACCAGCTGTCCCCCAAGCTAACGGTCTCTACAGAACCTTGCCTTCCGCCGCTCTTTCCCAAAGCAGTCTCATCTTTTACCTCAAGACCATCTCAATCCTCGCCCTCAGATCGACGGCCAAGCCCATCCACTCCCTCTCCAGGCATCCACTCTCCTCGACCACGCGCAGCAGCTCCTGCACCATGGCCGCGTTTTCCACCCCGCCAAACGCGTACCCGCCACCGCGCGTGCTGTCGTTGAACCATGCATCCACCACATGCACCAGGTCGTGTGCGATCCACTTGCGCTGCCGCCCGACGAAGGGCGCCTCGTTGTTGTAAAACACACTCTCCAGCACCGCCACGATCTGATCGTGCGGCACCAACAGATCCATGAAGATGTCCACCACCCACGTCTGCGGGCCTGCCCCGCGCTGGTGCGTGAAGGCGTACGTCTCGAGCAAGGGTAGCACGGTCGGAATGTTGAACGTCGTGTCCGACAGGTGTAGCCGGGCGCCGAGCTCGCGCACAGCCTCCGCCACCACCTCCCACGGTCGCTGGTTCTGGAGCACGGCCGCCTCATGCGTTTGCTCAAGAAGGTTCTGCCAGGTGGCCCGGATGTTGGAGAGATCGCGGTGATCGGCAACCTGGTAGATGAGGAGGCAAAGGTCGTAGTAGCCGGCCTGGTCGGCGAAGTTGCCGTAGAGCTGTGGTGCGCTGTTAGTTTCGAGCCCTGTAACGCGCTTCACCGAGGAGAAATCCGTGCAAGACTTACATCATCCAAGGGCAGAATCTGCCCATTCAGACTTCTGATGATCTCTGGCTTCCTCTCGGGAGACAGGCGACGTTCGCCCCTCATCCGATCAAGGATATCGCTCTGAATGTTAGCCAGGTCAAGTAGATCCGAGGCTTCCCGCAAGAGCTCTTGTCGCGATTGCCTCGACATTGGAGCATCACCCAAGCCAGTTAAGCGCGTAGATGCGTTCGTCTTGGCCTGACTGAGATAGCGAATACGATGCTCGAGCGACAGGTCGAATCCACTCTTTGCAAGCTGAAGCTGCACATCTGCAGCGTCGAAAAAGCGATGGTGGTGCGCATAATACCTGCACATCAGATCCGCATGTCTGGCCTCTTCGATCGACTTCCGCTTCAAGTAGCTGATGACGTAGTCGGAGGTGATCTCCAGCAAGCGGTCACTCCAGCCCTGTTCCAAGTACCAGTCAAACAGGTCGGTCTGGAAAACCTCATCGGCGGAGTTGTTGATTTCGTCATAAGCTTCCAGTTTCCTCCTGTAAGTGGGGGTGATTTGGCCGTCTATGGTTTCTGGCTCCGTTTGCGCTGCCGTGTCTACCGCGATGATGATGTTATGAACTAGGTTGTAGCACGCTTTGCGTGACTCGAACTCCTTCCTCCTCGGATCCTGCATGGCATAAGCTTTTGCTGCTGGACGGACTGGGGGCATACATGTCTTACATTGGGAAGCATGTTGTCTTTGATGAAGCCGAGAGCCTTGTTGCCGCGATCCAGTTGCTGAGCAACCTTTAGGGTGAGACGAATGGCACCTGTCTGTGTCAGCCTGTCCGACGGCATGCACGTAAGAGATGGCATAGCTTACCAGCAAAGAAAGACATGCCAATGTACTGCTCTATTGCGCCTTGCAGGTGCTCCATTGACAGGCTGGAGGCAACCTTCTGGAACAGATTCAAGCTGTCGTTGAGCAGTTGGCGTCCGGTCTCGGAATTTGCTCCCGCATCCTGAGCCTTCCTCAGCTTCTCCTGAGCTTTGAAGATGACGACATCGTCGGCGCTGCAGAAGCTGCCACACCTCCTCCTAAGAGCTTCGGCAACAGTGTCGACGTTCGAACCCTTCTCAATGTTGCGGTTGACGATGGCCTTTACCAGCTCCTTGGCCAAGTCCCTGCCTTCCTGAACAGCAAACAAGTTCTCAAACGTCAGCTGGCGGACCTTGCCTCTGACGTCCTCGGGGAGAGAGAGAACAATCTCGTCGACCTTTTCGTCGAACAAGACCAGAACAAATGAGATGCCCTCGATTACGTTTAAAAGCAGCTTGACAAGTGAGTTCATAGCACGGTGCTCGCCACGCAGAGCAATCTCTTCCTGGGGAGTCGCCACCCGGCCAAGAGCCTCGGGACCAGCCAAGCCCTCAATGAAGCTCTTGTTAGATTCGAGGAACTCCTGAAGGTGTGTGAGGTCACGCTGGATGCTCTGAAGCTTCGGCAGCTCGACAGTAGGTGTTACTTCAAACCCGCCTGCGGCGCTCACGCCTTCCATCAGGATGGGAACCTTCCATACAGAACGGAGAAGACGGGATATGTAAAGAGCCACGCCGTCGTGGCGAGGCGAGGGGCGAACGTTGTCCAGACGGTCCGCGTTGTTGTCCAGCTGCAGATTCTCGTTGTATGTTGGCTTCCCACCATACTCGATGAATGCTTTGCGGGCAAACTCTAGGGTCTCGTTGTCTGTCAGCTTGGCCACCCGGTAATCGTGCGTGACATCCGAAGCCTGGCCGCACGCCACGGCAAGCGCAGTCGCGCACGTCTCGCTCCGTCCATAGACCCGCACGAAGTTCTTAATTTCCGTCTCGAGACCATCCTCTCCGCCACCAGACTTGACAGCAGCTGCGAACACATCTACGAGCCTGCGACGACGGATCGTATGCACACCCGTGTTGGTCAGGATGGCGAACTCGCTCGTGGCTTTGTCGAACTGGACCGCGAGCTCGTTCCCAAAGCCGAGCGGCGTGCTCGTTGCGCCGAACGGCTCTGTGACCAAGCCAACAGCCTGCATGTTGCTACCAAGCGGAATCCACTGGCCCTTTTCGTAAAACCTCGGGATCTGCGCCGGCTCGGCTGGCCGTGCGATCCTCCCCGAATCCGGAGAAGAAAGGAAAAGCTTCTCAGCTTGCGAGACTTCGTCCCGAACGAAGCAGAGGAAGTAGCCAGGTGCGAAGCGTGCGGCCTTGGTAGTGACGGTCAAGTTGCGGGAGTTGGTGTCGATGGAGGTAACCTGGTAGCCTCCAATTTGCTGGACGGGCGGGGCTTGATTCGCAGGGTCGTTGGTTCTGCCCGGAGGGAACTTGACATGGTGTACTTGCATGCTGCTCGGAGCACTGGTGATGTCAGTGGAATAAAAGCCGCCGGAAGTAGCGCTGAGGAAAATGCGGCAGCCTGTGTTGGTCGTGGCCATGAGGTTTAGTCTCGAGGCCTCGGTGGCCGAAATGGGGATCAGAGAAGCCAGCTGCGTCTGGGAGGTTATGAGCTCAGAAGCAGCAACCATGTGACCGATCTGTGTCCTGATGGTGGAAAAATTCCTAGTAATTACACAGTCCAACGAAGCCATGTTCTTCATGTGGAAGACGCGTATCGCAGACAGGCTTGAGAGGGTGTAGAGCAGGTTACGACTGTCGTCCACCACCATTTGGACCACATGCTCCCTCGATGCTGGCTGGACAAGGCCAATAACGGGCTTCAGCATTGCCGCGCCGAACGACAGCTTAAGGGAGTTGTTGACGTAGTTGATCATGGACTTGTTAACGTGGTTGACGATGCCGCATTTGCTGCCGAACCATCTCTCCTCCTGCTGGTACGTGAGTTCGTACACGTCGTCCGTGACCTCCCCGCCGAAGAAGATCCTGCCCGACTTCGCAGAGCCCTCGATACATCTGACGCCGATGCCCCGTATCGATGCCCGCATGTTGGTCTGGTACAGTGCAACCTCGTTGACGCCCTCCGGAGTCTTTCTATACGCGACGCCAATCAAGATCATCTCGGTGGTGGTGGCTACGACAAGAAGGTGCGTAATCGCGTCGACGAAGACCTTTGCGCGGGGCTTGACCAGCTTCACGGCGGTGATGATGTTCGGCTGGTCCTCGAAACCGATGAGGTCGGGATTTGGAAGCGTGTAGTCCCAGAGGTACAGCGCGTTATCTATGAAGACCCAGGCATGGCCGAGCTCGGCGAACAGACCCATCATGGTGGATACTTGGGCCTCGTTGTACTGCTCGAATATCCGGTCAGGGATGTTGTACGTCTTGACCTGCTGAAAGGGCGCCAGCGAATTGCTGTTGGGGATGTCATAGTCGGAAGATATTCCCTCTGTCAAGACTGTCAGCCTAGAGACCAGATTGCGCGTAACTACCTGCCGACTTACGCGTTATATAGCTGTCCAGGTCCGGGTATCTCGCTTCCTGGGTCAACGTGTCGTTGACGGTCCTCGCAGCGCGTTCAATGGGCTGGATCTCGGGCTGCTGCTGCTGAACGGCAGGAGCCGCCGGCGGCGGCGGCGGCGCAGGCGCAGGTACCAGCGGCTGCTGAAGTTGCTGTGGAGGATTTACTGGAGCGGTGTTGACGCGAAAAACGGGCTGGGCCGGGCGCGACTGCGGGCCAGGCGTCATCATGAAGGCGCCGGGGAGCGGACGCTGGGGCGTCGCGGGATTCATGATTGCGCGCGGGCGCGTCGAGAACGCGATGCAGGCGACAGGGTCTGAGATATTACGAGGTCGCCAGATGGCGGAGCTGAGGGAGATGGGGCGGGCGCAATGGCTGGTCTATGAACATGCATACAAAAGGAGCCGGGCGAAGAGGGAATCCAAAGTGGGGCGGGGGCGGTGGCGCGGCGCGTGAGGGGAGGCTGAGCTGTCGGCGACAGGAGCTGGGCTGCCGGACAACTTTGGTGTTGTCGCGACTTCACAAGAGAGAGCTCCACGGCAAAAGCTTGGCGTGATCGGCGCCGGCGCGCCAGAGCTCGAGGTGACGGGGTGACCTGCGCTTTTTCCGTCGAAGCTTCGCCCGCCCTCACCAAACGCCAATTGGTTCCGTCACAGTGCACCCACGCTGCCAAAGGTACGCGTCTTCATCGACGAGCTTTCCGCCGCTCACAGACAGCAGCTGACGTGACTACAGGCAAAGACCCACCTTCTCTCTCGTCCCCGACCATGTCCTTCTCCACCTCCACGCGTCTGCGCCCCGCGCGCCTCTGCTTCCGCTGTATGCGCACCTTTGTTCGTCCCTCCTCCACTGCCGCTTCGCCCTCGCCGATCCTCTCGCGCCTGCGTGAAGACATGAAGAACGCCATGCGCGCCAAGGACTCGGCCCGCCTGGCCGTCATCCGTAGCGTGCTGAACGACATCACAAACGCTTCCAAGACCGCGAAGCCCGTTGCGGATGATATGCTGCTGCGCGCCCTGCTGTTGAAGAGGATCAACCAGTCCAAGGATGCTGCTCAGCAGTTTCGCGACGCCAAGCGCGAGGACTTGGCGGAGAAGGAGGATGGCAGCGCGAGCGTGATGAAGAACTACGTCGGCGAGATCGAGGAGGCGGCTGGGGGGGTCGTAGCCGCGGACGAGCTGCAGCGCGTCGTCAAGGAGACAATCCAAAGCTGGCAAGATGGAAAGCCCGTTATGGGCAAGGTTATGGACAAGATTACGGGACCCGGCGGCGCGCTTGACGGCCGGATGGTGGAAAAGGGTGACCTTGCCAAGGCTGTCAAGGAGGCGTTGGGTAACTAAACAATTTCGGGAATCATGGGGCAAATATCGCAAGCATGTGAAGCTGTTTGCTGCACTAATTAAGGCACTGGATCAACAGTACAATGATTGTATTACTTAGAAGGAACGATACCGCGCTTCTCCCTCAACTAGCTAAAATAGCTCAACCCGTCGCGGTATGCTCCAATCAAAAGAGTGAAATACATGTCCAGAGTTGGGACAATGTTCCCTACACGGTAACTCGTAGAGTTCGTAGCGGGTGTAAATGAGCGGTAGTCCTTGTACATGCTTTTGAATTAGGGTATGAGGGCCCCTGACTTCGACCTCAATAAAACAAGTGCCAACGTGCTTGATCCGTTACTACAGACCTAGAAGTTACCCCAACATGTGGTCACTCTCAGTGTGGCCGGATTCGGTCTGATGACGGGATCCGGTCTGATGATCGGCCTCGGAGTGATGACGGGATCCGGTCTGATGATCGGCCTCGGAGTGACCCACAGGGTCTACGGGTGATTTGGAATGCCCGGAGCTCGGCCTGCAAGGACGTCCCGGAATGGCATGGCAGGGTTCGATGGTTTCGGGATTATGAGAAGGGCAGTCAATGCACGGCTTGGGCCGCGATGGTAGCGGCCTGGGTCGCTTAGGACGAGCGCAATCGGAACACGGCTGCGGCGGCTTCGGGTGGTGAGGACGCGGTCTGGGACGTTCGGGGCGGTGGCACTCGACGCATGGTTTGTGGGGCTTAGGAGTCTCCGGGCGATGACAATCAACACATGGCTTTGGCGGCCTGGGGGCCTCTGGGTGAGGACGGCAACATGGCTTTGGCGGCGGCTTGGGAGGCTCCGGGCGATAGCAATCGACGCACGGCTGTGGCGGCTTCGGGTGCTCAAGTGGAGCACAGGGATTGGTGCAAGACTTCGATTTCTCGCAATCCTTTAGCGGGGTGCATGGCTTTCGTGTGGTGCTTGTTCCATCACTTGGTTTGCCGGGATGCGAATGCTCCTCATTGTCGTGGTGTGAAGCGGTTGACTCGCCAGTTTCCGGAGTCTTCTCTTTATTGGTATCTTCCAACGGCAACACTTCCTCACTGGTTGACGTGGGTTTCTTCTCTGTAGACTCCGAGGCTTTGGGTGCTGCACGAGGTACATGAGGATGGCTTTCCGGGAACTTTGGCTCACCATGAGGGCCGCTTTGGAGGCGGCAATGTGGGTGAGGGTTGGGCTTGTTGCAAGGACGGGTCTGACGCCGCTGGCATGGAGACTTTTCGGCATAGACTTTCTCGCACGTCCTGTCCGGCTGAGGATGAAGGTATATGTCGGCTTCGTCGGTGTTGCGATTGTAGCAAGCATAGTATCCATCAGTGTGGCCAGACCAGCAAATGTACCGGCTGTCCTTCACTGACCAGGAAGAAGAGCCTGAATCGTTTAGCGCAATTTTCCTGCGACTATGCAAGTTCCTGTACTTACCATGGACCTTCTTTCCACACGTAAGCCTCTGGCCGTCATGACCCCAGCCACATTCCGAACCCCGTGAATCTGATACGGTGCCAGCTACATCATTGTAGTGGTATGAACCGTAAAGCTTCCCCTGTACGCTTTTGATGTTGAAGCAGCTTCCATCATTCCCATCTCTGGGAAGTGCCGCTGCTGATACAGCACCCGCGAAGGTGAAGGACACAAGACCAAACCTCATAGTAAAGATGCTGGGAGAGATGATGCCGATACGGAAGAATAAGCCATGATAACGGATATTTATCCTCCCTCTCGAGTAGCAAGGAGTCGGTACCATTGCTGTTAGTCTTGCTAACTTTCCTGCAATGCCATCAAATCCCTCTACCAGTGTGGAAAACTGCTCAAACCTCATAACCGTGGAAGTGACGTTTTTAGTGTACTGATTGTCAGATGGGATAGACCAATCGTATGGGAGGGTTCATCTGTATGGCTGTTCAGCAATACCTTACTTACATCGAAGAGATCTAAGGCAAACGACAGCGAGAACGGATACACCCAGGTGATGGGTGGTGGAGCTGCTGGCCGTTGCATAGTAATCAGGACGTTGCAAAACGGCTCCACGGGCCGTGCCGACGCTCGCGGGTGGCTTTTGTGAACCGGTCCCAATAAATGAACGTGCGAGGTAAGCGCTCGTAACTTGGTATCCTTTCCCAGTTGTAATCGTACCAGCCTTGGTAAAGGTAGTATCATGCTAAATGTACATACCATGGCCTTCGGGTCTCTTGAGACATCATGCTAAACGTACATACCATGGCCTTCGGGTCTCTTAAGACTAGAACATAAGTCTTCTAACGGCATCGCCATGCACTTTGAAGTGCTTGGAAAGGCCCGTTCTTGAGCGTACGGTTCGTGCTTGAGAATTGCAACAAGTGGGCGGGGAAGGGGGTACCACGTCATGCGTATGAGCACGGCGGCTTTTCCGAGCCCCGTAACAATATCTACGCCCTTGACGTCTGTAACCCTTTGCAGCCTCCCTGTCGAGACGGAGTCGGCATGCGGGATTTTTTGTGGCACATTCTTTCGCCCTTCCTTTGCTCTCTAGCGCTGCGAGTGAATGTTGCTTTGCACCGTCTAGATCCAGGGCGCCTCTCTGTTTGTCGCTTCTCCTCTCACTCACATGAGATCTCTGACGTACAGTAAACTCTTTCTTCGATATGATTTGCGCGTCGCTCTTTGGCCTCCGCTCCAATGACACCCACACTGCGCCCTCAATTGGCGGCGCACCCCACTCTTGATTTGGTCTGTCGCCCTGGCGGAGGCCATGGCTGGCGGCATCCGTCCGGACCGTGGCGTATTGACCTCGGGAAAGACGGAGAAGGAGACGTACTGTACCTGCAGCACGTCGACGGGTTCGCGAGCTCAAGTCCAGCTCGCGGCGGCGGCAACCTGCATTCGTCGCCACGGCAGAGGGTCTAGGCATCAGGCGGCTGCAGATACGGAGGCCCTTATGTCTGTCTCAGCAACGGGCATGCGTTGGTGGGGTGGGGACGCAGTGGGCGCGGCGAGGGCGCGGTGGCCTGTCGTTCGGTGAGGCGGGAGGGCGAGATGGGCCGAGCCACTGCGTCATGTCCAGACGCTGCTGTCGTGGGCCACTCTGGGATAGCCATGCGTGCGAGAGGGTGCGTTTGCCCGAACCAAGCAGCAGTGAGCCCACCCCCCGAGCCGTGCAGCGGAGATTGAGATGCCGTCGTGTTGGCCGGGCAAGCTCACCGGCCGGCCTCGATGCCCAACGGCGCTTGAGAGCTGCCATGCGCAGTCGTCGGACAGCTTCATGCCTGGCGCTGAGGCGGAGGGACGGGCAGCGTGCACGTTTGCGCCCGACGACCAGGCCGAGGGCGCAGTGGGCAGCGACTGGCGGGCGTCGCGCGGCTGCCAATCCTGTTGCACATCCTCCACGGCCATGGCTGCCCAGCGTCATCGTCGTGGCCCGTGCGCCGCCCGCCGACGGCCATCAGCATCTCCCCAGCCACCTCGAGCCCCGGCACGTAGCCGCGCGGACCCTTGGGCTGTTGTTTTCGCGCCGACAGATATACCTCGCCGCCGCGCTTCCCCGAACGCCGTTCCAGCAGCCTCGAGCCCCCCAAACACGCTCTCCACCGCCCTTCGGGGCCCCGTTGCCAGGACCAAGTCCACTGAACACCCCCGCCTCTGCTGCCAACTTTCCGCCCGCCCCGACCTTCTCTCACTCCCACCCACCCCAACTCAGCACTCACCATGGCTTTTGGTTATCGCTCCTCTACCGGGGCTCTCGATCGCTTCGACGATTATGAGCCTCCGCCACGACGCCCCGAGCGCTGGGACCGCGAGAAGTTCGAGCGCATGAGCCGTCGCCCGCCCCACGACGACCGCGAGACGTTCCGCTGGGTCGAGCCTGAGCGCGACAACTACCCGCCGCGCCCTCCCAGGTCAAGGCCCGACGTCGCCCTCGAGGACCGCCTTGAAACCAGAAGCTCGCGCGGTCGCTTCGACGAGCGAGACCGCTTCTATGACGATGACATCATCGAGCGCCGTGGTCCAGGCCGTCGCCCGGACTTCCTTGATCGTGAAGAGCCGTCGCCTGCTGAGGTAGCTAGCCGTGCACTTGCACCATACCGCCGCAAACCCCCCACCGAGAGGGGGCTTAGTCCGCCGGCTCGCCGCCCAGCCCGCCCCGCCATGCTTCGCAGGCAATCTTCGCTCGACACTTTCGACCGCCGCCCGCTTCACCGGCATGAGGAGAGAGACGAATGGCGACCACCAGCAAACGTCGACATTCCTCTGCCGATCCGCCGTAGATCTCCATCTCGTCGTCGTCGTTCCCCTCCCGTAGACCGCTACAGGGAGGACGACTTCGAGGAGATCAGGTACAGAGACGCTGAACCGGATTTCCGCGAGGATTACAGGGAGGTTGAGATTCGGAGAGAGAAAAGTCGTGCACGGAAGTCCCACCGGAGCGACCGGAGCGAGCGCAGCGAGAGCAGATATAGGGCTCCGTCCAGCAAGAGTTCGAGCTCTAGCTTTGAGGAGATCAGAGAGGTATCGCCGTCCCAACTACCCGGCAAGAAGGGCAAGACGAGGATGCCCAGGCGTCTCGTGCACAAGAGTGCTATCATCCAGCTTGGCTATCCATTCGAAGAGGAGGTGAGGATTACGAGTATTGACTCCTCCTCGACCATGCTGATTATTTGATAGGAGGACTTCATCATCGTCAAGCGAGCTCTCGAGAAGCCTCAAATTGACGAAGTCATCAAGATCAGTGAGACGTACAAGGCTGAGGACAACAGTAAGTTGAACCTAGTTTTGCTGTTGACCAAGGCCTGACTGAATCATCAGAACGCACGACCTACCGTTATGAAGAGGAGAAGATGATTGAGGTTCCTGCGCCGCCGCCGCCCCCACCGTCCGCGCCAATGACCCAAATCATTGAGGTGCCTCCGCCGCCGCCGCCGCCGCCAGTGCCGGGCCCGGAGCCGATCTTCATGGCTCCTCCGCCGCCTCCCCCGTCGTCGCACCATCACAGTCACTACTCTCACCACTCCCATCACAGCCCGCCGCCTCCTCCGCGTTCTGTACGGACTGTGTCTCCGTCCAGACGTGAGATTTACGAGGAGCGCATCGAAGAGTCTAACCACATCGGCGGGCCTTTGACTGTTGTGATGCCAGAGAGGCGGAGTGACCGGGAAATCAAGGACGAGATTCGACGACTGGAAAACGAGAGGAGAGCACTGCAGCTGGAGCGACGGGCCGAGGATCTCCGTCTTGCGCCAACCGAGTATCGGGAAACCGAGTACGAAATCATCGAAGAACGGCCGCGCGAGCGAAACGTGGTCCGCGTTGACAAGGATCGAAAGGGTAGGTTGGCCCTGGTCCGATCCTCTCATTAAAGCACGGGATTGATGGAATGGTGGAAACAGTGAGGTCTCGCTCAAAGCCGCCCAATCCGAAACTAGTCGCCGCCATGATGTCGACGCTCACTTGAACCCGTCATCACCAGAAATGCGGGATTTGGGAGGGATCCGTCGAAATGGGTTTTTCTTTTCACTTCAACTCCGAGATTGGTCACTGGCATGACGATTCAGGAAACTTTTTGGTTACGACCATTTCATTGCATGCGTCCAATCACGGTTGGATATGATTGCGCTTTTCAGTATCTCCAGGTTGACGAGGCCTGTGTTGCAAATTTGGGGTGGCCAGTTTCTTTTTCCAAATACCATAGATGTCACAAACATATTTATTAACGACGAGAGATTTGAATGACCAGACATTCATGTGTGATGATGGGGCGGGCTACCCTCAATGGCTGCTGTCAGGCGTGGTTTGCGCTCCGATGGGTGGTTTCGCCGGTATCAGCCCCGTCGCGACGTATGGAGAAGTGTGAGAGCCACGAACGCAGTGCCCGCTGATTATATTGCATCGATTCCTTAGAGATGCTAGCGTGAACGAACAGGCGATCGAAGAGCTTGGCGCTGAGGTTGGTCGGTCGGTCGCTTGCACCATGGCTGGATTGCCGTTCTCTTTTCTCCATGCGGAAGTGGACCCACGTCTGCTGGGTGGGCAAGTCGGACCGGCCCACGACCACGACCCCGGATTGCGCCCGGCATTGCGACGACAGCTCGACAGCTCATGCTCTCAGTGCGCGCCACCCTTTCGCCCACGCACAATTGGCACGCTCCAATCTTTCTGTGGCGGGTCGGATCTGCCTACAAAATGACTCCTTGAACGCCCACATGCCGCTCTGCCGCCCGCGCCCCGCCCCAAACGCCGCAAGCTGCGAACCGCGCATCCCAAGAATATCAGACAAGGGCTTGCCCCCACGCGACATCCTACCGCCGTCAATATGCCGATATGCATTGAGTGTAGATACCCCCTGCGGACGCTCTACACCACCTACAGCAAAGCGGACGATCGCGCTTTGGGGAAGGGCGTCCGGCTGACACAATGTCCGCGATGCAAGCGATTCGGAGACAAATACGTCGAACATGACTTCGTCGTGCTGTTTATTGATCTCGTCTTGATCAAGCCACAGGTATCTCTTGGCTTTGTGGTTGCTGTCCGCGAAAAGACTCGCAACCAGAGCGTGGCAGGAGGCTGATCCGTGTCGTGCGTAGGTGTACCGCCACTTACTCTTCAACCGCTTGGGCAGGGAAGATGATCGATTTGACGTGAGTGTCGCCATGCCTGTCTGCAGTATAAGGTTCAATACAGGCTCCAGCTGACGCCCCCGGTCCATAGCCCTCCATTATCCGACTCGGCATCTTACTCCTCCTCTTCGACGTTTACCTGACTTGGGCCCGCATCGAGAAAGCCGCACCGCAGCCCTTCTCCACGGATAACCCTTCACTCGGTCAAGGCGCCATTGTCGAGCCTCCCTCTGTACTGTCTACACAACCGCTGGTCCTCCAATACATCTTTTTCCTCGGCCTCTGCACCGCCCAGACGCTGGCCTTTCACCTACCTATCCGTCTTCTCTGTTCGCACCCCCCGCGTATCTGGCTGCCGACATTCCTGGCCAAACGTTTCCGCACCGCACCCCCCTCCTCCACCGTCCCCAACCAGCCTCCTGCAACGGCTACGACCATGACTACCACCGTCACGCCCTCCGCCTCGGGCACCACCACCCCGACCGCCTCCATCTCCTCCGCCACATCCACCAACGCCTCATCCACCGCACTCGCACCTGCGGCGCCCGCCGCGTCCACCTTCGCCGCCACACCCACCTTCACGCCTTCCGCGACGACACCGACGTCGACAGCCCACGGCAACGGCCCGGGCAGCGCCAACAACACGGTGCCCCTCCTGCCGCCGTACCCGCACCCCACGCCCCTCAGCACCGCGCTGCTCGTCTCGTCGTGCACGAAGCTCTTCCCGCTGCTGCTCATCATCTGGGACTACGACCTCCCCTCGTCGGCCTCGGCCGTGTCCTGGGCCGTCATCGTCAACAACGTGGCCGCGCTCGAGATCCTGATGGACTGCGGCTACCTGCGCGCGGGCCTGCTGGTCGGCATTGGCGCCGCCGTGCGAGCCGTCGTCGGCGAGCTCGTGCTGGCCAGCGTGGGGCTGAGGGGCAGCGCCGCCGGCCTGGGCGCCGGGGACGGCGGTCAGGCAGGGGGCTGGACGGGGTTGTTTTGGGGCGGTGGCGGATGAATTTGCGAAGACGACGAGACTGCTGGGGGTTTTGGTCTGGTGAGTGGTTCGAATGTTATACCCGGGTATTTTGACAAATGCGTGGCTGAGGGACACAAAGGGGAACTACTCCAGGCCACCGGTATCAAGTCGCATTCGCACGTGAGCAGAGGACTGGTTACAGTTGGAATGTATGCAGAAAAGAATTTACAGGTACCAGAACCAGGCAACGCCTTAACAAAACCAAATCGCATCTTTCGCTACAGTATTTCCCCACCGATAGTTCTCAAGCTCGCAGCTCCTGGCGTTTCCCCACACAAAGGGTTGAGCTTCCCTCGTGATTCTGTGTGTCGAAAACTGACAGCATTCGTCATACTCTCTTGTTCAACTCTTCCTGTCATTCTTCGAAGACAGAAAGTGCATCTCTGCCCTCTCAGAACAGGACACTGTGGCCCTCACCGCCCTCAGGTCGCAGGTCAGACCTCCGCGGGTTGATGAGCGGGTGCCACTGCGCCAAGAAAGTGATGGCCCACATGATGTAGCAGGACCAGGCCGAGAGGATGAGCGAGGAGCGCCATACTCTGTAAGACATGTTAGCGCTTGTCTTCTTAGAATACAATATCCGAGGCAAGGGCGGAGGCGGTGGGTCTCTGGAGGGCAGGAGCTTATGACCCAGTGGATAGGTCAAATTGCGGAGAGCTTTGGGGGTCAGGCTTGGAGACGTGAGGAGCGTTCCGGGCGAAGCAAGCCAGAGCCAGGGTGGTGTCGCCGCGACAATCGCTTGTTCTTGGATGCCAGTGCCCAGACCCTTCGCGCATCCTCGCCAGCATTGTGATGCTTCCCGAGCGGCAGGCTCCAATATCAGAACGCTCCACGGGCCTCGGTTGCCCCCGAATGTCCGCGCCTGACAGACAGTTGTCCCGGAAGCCCTTCTGCCCATATCACATATCTCAAGCCGGCATGGAATAGCTCCCGCCCTCCCGAGCGGCTCCTGGCACCCCGGTATGTGATGTTCGGGACGTGGAGGAAATGAAAGGCATCTACTGACGTTTGATTCTCGCCCTTGGGGCTGGCAAACCATGAGACGGCGGAGAAGGCGACGATGATGATGAGGCCGATGATCAAGCTCCAGCTGCATAGTTACAACGTGCATGTTAGCAACGGCATTTCCCTCAGTGAAACTTCTCCTTAAGACATGTATGTGTAGACTACAATCCAGAGTGCAGTGCGCATGGGGAAAGAGTAGGCGGTCGGTAGGTTGGGCTTACCCGTTCGCCATCTTGATGGGAGGATGCGCGGCAGCGGTCTGCGCGTAACAAAGGATAGAGTCGGTTGGAGAGGCGGTGCGCGAGCTGGGACACGGTGCTCTGTTGATGCGGGTTGGACGATACGGTTGGTGGACGGTGGTGATGCGGCCGGCAGCTGCTGGGTTGAGGGCTTGGCGGACTGGCTGTATTCACGCTTAACCGCTTTTGGAAACTAGCTCTCGACATGAGCTGCTGCTGTTTCGCTTCTTCACCTTGTGCTAGCGTACAATGGGGGCTTAAGAATCAAAGATCCGACAGTGAAATGCCGCTCAAGAAGGCTGATAATTAAAACATGCCCATCAGGCTGGGTATATCATTCCGCTATTATCCCAATTCTCAAAGATAATACAATGTAGAAATTAATCGGCTACTGTCTTCGCAGCCTCTTCTGCATCGGTAGCTGAGCTCTCGCCAGGTTTCATCGTCTCAGCCTCAGTTCTCTCATCCGTACTCTTCTCCGGTTCAGGCTTCACGTCGTCTCCGTCCGCCTTCTCGTTGTTCTTTTCACTGGGCTCCTCTCCCGTCTCGTCGGGCATTTTGCTCTCTTCTTCCTTCGTTTCCTCCTTTTCAGTGGCTTCAAGCTCATCTTTCCCTTCCTCTGTGGCCTCTGGCTTCTCCTCATTTTTCGTCTCCAACATAGTCTCGCCGGATTCGACTTCTTTGAGCGGGTCATCCGACTCGTTCTCTGGAGAGGCTTTAGTGACCTCAACAACCGGAGCCTCGTCCTCTTTGGAAGCTTCACTTGCGTCGTCGGAGCCCTTGGTCCTCTCGTCTTCCGAGCTGTCGCCCGCACCGGCGGGCTTGTCAGAGGCATCCACCTCTTTGGGAAGCTCTTCAGCAGCGGTCTGGGCAGCCTTCTCTGCGGCCTTTGCCGAAGACGCGTCCTCCTCCTCTTTCTCCTCGATCACGCTGATCTGATGCCCGCTTGCTGACGGTGTATGCCGGTGCCTCTTGGTAGTGTTGCCGGTAACCAGCGTAGCATTCCCAGCCACATCAAGCTCTCCGGCATTGGCCTCACCCTTGTCGTCCTTCTTCAGGAGCTTTGGCACTGTCTGGGCCGACTCGGTTGGCGTAGATTCGATGCCCTCGGCCTCTGGTGGGATGGTGTAGTTGTCGCTGGGGATCAAGTTGTATGTGTCGCACACGACCTTGAAGAACGAGTACAGACCCGTCTTGTTTTCCACCTTCCAGAACATATCTCTGTGTTGGAACCAGGCGTGAGCAAAGATGCGGTAGACGCGGCGGAAGACGTTGGTAAGCTGGCGTATTTGCTGGTGTGCGGTGTTGGCCTCGGTGCCCAAGGCCAGGCGACTGGGGAAATTCTTGGGCGAGGTCAAGGTGTTGGCGGCCCAGTCAAGCGTGTGGCAGCAGTAGTCGACGGCACAGCACGACTTCGGCGGGTCGTGGACGGCGCAGAGGTATTGCCATTCGGAGGCGCGCATCTCCGGACAGGTCTGGGCAGAGCATGGGGGATCGTCGGCGAAGAGGGCGATGAGGATGGAGTTGGCATGCTCGGTCAGGAATCGGCATAGCTCGTAGAGCCAGAGGGCGCGCTCGACGCCAGGCGGCGGCTCGGCAAGCTTCATGGCGGCGGTGCGATCGAGAGGGCTCGATGTGTTCGAGTCAGAGGGGTGGGTGGCCGAGTAGTGCAGGGCTTTGAGATACTCCATGAGCTGGAAGGCGGAGTCGATCTGTCGACTGGGGTCAGGTCGCAGGGTCAGGCAGCGGGGACAATTGCACGGAGAAGCTCACGTCCTTGAGGTCGGCCAACGGCGGGCCCTCAGCCATGTCCTGGGCCTTGGTTCCCGGGCGGATCCTCCTCGCGGAGCCCTGGTCGACCTTCGCATCCTCGGCGTACTCCTCCGCGATGGGCGACTTGGGTCCCAGCTGGTCCTCGGCGATGGGCGGCGGGCTGGGCAGCCGCGGCGAGCTCGACGGCGACATGGCAGCCATGGTGGAGCGGGCGCGAATGACGCTCCCTGCGATTGGCAGCAAGGGAAGGGTGGGTTGGCTGGTGAAATGGTAGAGGTGGCTAAGGCTCGAAGCGCTGGACCCGAGCTTCTGGGCCTGCGCCAAGCACCTGTCTGTCAATGTCACTGCTCGGCCGGCCCCGCCGCCACACCTCCTCCCGCATCACTGCTTTTCTACGTCTTCCCTCTCAGTCATCTCATCAACCAATCGCGAGCCTGCAGTGTTCAACTCCGGCACACACGGTTCGCAGGTTACAGTCTCACAGGTTGGTAGGAGAGGGCTAATTTGAGTCGCACTGATATGCGACGTCGAGGTCGCTGCTTGAACTGGCCGACGGACTTTGGCTGCCCAGACGACATGGTGACCGTTGCAGCTACAAGACGAATTTCCTTGCGTCATCCGCATCCGTTGCCATCGCCACGCTTCTCATCGTCTTCAGATCACTTTGCAAACTTCCTATTTTCCCTTCCATTCGACTGACGGCATCACTCCCTAGCAATAGGCGCAGCACCTTGCCCTTCAGCTCACCTGCCTCTCCAATTTGCTCGCCCTGAGTATTCCCGACAATGACTTCGTACATTACCCGTGCGGCCTTCTCGGGGTCGCCGGGCGGCCCTTGTTCCTTGTATTGGTTGAACCGTTCGTACGTCTTCGCGAGGGGGTGGTCCGCCTCGGCGTAGGCCGGGCTGAGGGCCTTCTCGGTGCGCACGCCGGATTTGAGGAAACTGGTGCGAAACGCCCCTGGCTCGACGAGCAACACGTCAATTCCGAATGGGGTGAGCTCAGCGGCGAGGGATTCGGTGAGGCCTAGTTGCGCCGCGTTAGTGTCAGGAGCACGGGAGACTACTCAGCCGACGTAGGCCATGCCTTCGAGCGCGAACTTGGATGCAGAGTAGAGGCCGCAAGAGGGAAGCGCGTAGAACCCTGCCGTGCTGGAAATGTTGACAATGGTGCCAGTGCGGCGGGCGCGCATGTACGGGATCACGGCTTGGATGAGGCTAAGGGGCCCGAAGAAGTTGGTGTCCATCTGGTGCTTGGTCTCTTTGAGACTGTTCAGATCATGTTCCAGTCAGTACTCGTTCGGATTCCCTTCTTCTTCTCCAGCTGGAAGCCGCCCTTCGACTCGCCTCATGTCCTCAACCGCGCCCAGCAGCGAGTACCCCGCGTTGTTCACCAGCACGTCGACCTTGCCATCGCACTCGCCCAAAATGCTTTCAATGGCCTTTGGGATGGCATCCAGGTCGCTGACGTCCAGCTCAACACATTTCCCGCCTGCTTCTTCGATGGTTTTGACAGCATCTGCATAGCGATCACCTGTGCGACGCCGCACAGTCGAGTAAACGGTGTGACCAGTACGCAAAGCGCGCAGAGAGAGAGCGAGACCGAAGCCAGAGGTCGCTCCAGTGATGACCCAGATCAGTGGTTGAGAAGACATCGCTATCGGTAGGATGTAGGCTGTGGTGAGATGAATAAATGCCTTGAGATTCAGAAGATGGCTACTGCTCAATGTGCTTCTTGTATGTTACCATGACTTTTCGGACGGGGTTATGACGGAATTATGGGATGTCCAATCTGTTCGCGCCGCTTATGTCAGTGGGTTCAAACTCCATACCGAGAGATCGCGAATTTGGTGTCTTCTAACCTCGTCTGAACACTTTAGCGTGACACTTAAGTCCGGAATACCTATCTCCGGGTGACCTGAGGATTAACGCCGTCTGAGTAAGCTCTAGTATTGCGATGGAGGAAAGGGTCTCACACAGGTACATGAAGGACATGTCGGGAGCGGGATGCGGACCGCTTTGTCCTCATTGGTGCTGTTTCCGCGTCTGAAAGTGCATGAGGCTCTCTCTCTCTCTCTTTTTTTTTTTGGCCCGCATTCGCGTTTCTAAGCTTATCTACGTCTAATGCAAGTCATTCAGTCGATGCCAGACCACTGATTGCAAGTAAGCGGCACTGGCTTTGCGGTCTCACCGCAGTGTACTGCTCTATGGCCGTCGGTAGTATATGCCTCACCGGATCAAGAATACTACTAGGAAACCCCTAGGTTTCCAATGCTTCTCAAAACTTGTATCCGCGATCTCTCCACCGTCACGCAGGCGGCGCAAGCCTGTCTCGCTGGCGGTGGGTGTCAAGGCGGTGCTGTATTAGGCCGGAAGATCACCTAGGACATGCTTCCATCTGGAAAGCTTGGCACACGAGAACAGCCTGCTGACTAGGTACATCATCTACCCCAGAAAGATGCTCGAAGACGGATTGGCGGCATTGCGTGAAGGGAATAGGAAGCTAAGGCGCAACGAGGCGAGGCGAAATTAAAGGCGGCGTAGAGACGGAGAAGAGCATCGAAAGAGACGAGACTATGCATGTGCGCCTCCAAAAACAGGACAATGAGCAACTACGAAGAAGATAACGAAAAAGGGGCAGGCTACTGGGCGAGAAGTCGATGTTGAGATCGAGGTGGCACATGTCTTGTCGTACACAGATATTATTCGAAATCATCAGCATTAGCCTTGCATCAAGGTGGTCCCGGCAGCGAAAGAAGAAACAATACTGCATTATTGCCAAGGCCGACACGATTTGTGCTAGCTTGCAGCATACTGGCTTCGCTTGGAGCGAAAGTGGCAAAACGACCAACCGGCGGCAGTGGGGCTATCGGTTTCGCCTTACTCGCTGCCTCAGGCGGCGAGTTATGTTGTTTGCTGAAGTTCGGTCCGCGGGCAGGGGTTTCGACGGTCACGGCCGCAGCACGTCATGCGGCGGAGCGCAGGTCTCACATCGACTCGGTCGGTGTCGGCGAACCAAAGGCGTTCCTGCAGCAGCGCGAGAGTCGGGATTCGCGTGCATATCCGCCGGGATCGTCGAGGCAAGACGCGTACTCGACGATGTGTAGCGGCGCGATTGGCAGACGAACCACGGGAGAATCTGCAGCCGTGGAGAAGGCGAGGAGCGACAGGGTCTGCTGGGCGGTGGATAAGGGACGAGCCCGCGAATCGCTGATCTCAGCCAGTCCCTGGACGCAAGGGACCCACAGGGCGGCCCTCTCCATTATTGGCGAATGGCGGCAGCGATCGCATGCAATTCCAAAAAAAAAGGGCAGCTGGGAGAGCCCACGGTCGGTCGAGCAGCACAGCTCGCGGGCGGGTCAGCCGAGGCAGCCACCGCCCCAAGCCCTGCCTGGCCCGCCCCAAGCCGACATTATTATTGCGGGCACCACGCGCAAAAGCAATGGAGCAGCCCGGACGGGGCTGTGTGCCCGCGGCGGGCAGCCAGACCGCAGCCGTTGGACCCCAGACATCGTGAGCGCTCGAAGGCGCGGCGCCACCAGGACGCAGAGGCGATCTGGAACTGCGACTGGGCCGGCCGGGCTGGCCGGGCTGGCCGGGCTGGACGGACCACAGCACGGCAAGACGGAGAAATGGCAGCGGATCGCGTCTGCAGCGCGCCATGTGCGATCCCCCGCGGGGTCGATCTGCCAGGCTGGACGTTTCCGGCTGAGTGCGGTAGCTGAGAGCACAGCAGCTGCGACCTGGGCCACGTGCGGTGCAGCAGTCGGCAGCGCCACGGCGGGATGAGGTGACCGCATGGCGACCGCATGGCCCCCGCCGCCTCCTCGCTGCCACCTGCTGCTGGTCTCCACTCCTCTGCTGCCGCCTTGCGTCCGCTGTGCCCGGCTCCTGTCCGGCGCCCCTGCTGTGCTCTTCGGCCCGTTGGAGGTGCGCCGCCCTTCACACCACCGGGACCTGACCCGCCGCGCCCAAGCCGACTCCACTCCCGCAACGGAGATTTGCCAATACCCTACCGCGTGCCCAGCTCATTTTTTCTCGCTGCCCTTCACGATACAAGAGACCGGCCCGCGATGCACTTGTTCCCACGCAGGAGCCACCGCTCGACCACGCTTCCCCATCCACCGATGGCCCATGAGTGCAGCAGGAGCTGTACCTTGGCCCGAGTATAGGTAGCCACCACCGCCTCAAAAGAGGGACACCACCGCGCCCTCCCAAATACCTTCTCCCCAGCTCCCTCGCCTCGCCATGGACCAGACTCAGGACCACGCCCCCCAGCACCCTGCCGCCGAGGCTTCGTCCTCGGCCGGCCTCCACCTCGAGCTCCCGCCCCCGCCCAACCCGTCGGCGGACGCGGGCGTGATACCGCGCATCTCGACCCCAGACGAGGATGCGCCCACGCCGTCCGCCGACGCCGAGTGGGATCCCTCCACCCTGCGGCCAGAGGCGGCCATGAAGATGCTGTGCCGCGCTGTCGTGGCACTCGCAAACGTCACTGGCGACATTCCCCCTACACCCCCCATCAGCCGCCCCGGCACCCCGCGAGCCTCGCCGCTGCCCACGCCGTCCGTGATGCGGTCGCGGAGCAGCTCACGGCCGGCAACCCCGGTGCCGTCCGACGACCTGAAGGCTCCCAGATTCAGGGGCATCGACATGGGCAGCCCCGAAGCACACCACCATGAGCCCTCGGCGCGCGATGTCGGGGTGGACGCCGAGCCTGTCCACGTCCAGCAGGTCGCCATCGCGCGCAAGTTTTACTCGAGGAAACCGCCGCCCATCACGCTGCTGGACTACCTCATGCGCCTGCAGCGGTACTGTCCCATGTCGACAGGAGTATACCTTGCCGCAGCCTCGTACATTCACAAGTTGGCGGTGGAGGACAAGATGGTGCCCGTGACCGGTCGCACAGTGCACAGGCTGCTGCTGGGCACCCTGCGCGTGGCCATGAAGGCGCTGGAAGACCTGCGGTACCCTCAGGCTCGTTTCGCCGGCGTGGGCGGCGTGCGCGAGAGCGAGTTACAAAAGCTGGAGATCAGTGTTTGTTATTTGATGGAATTTGAATTGCAGGTCACGCCCGAGAGCTTAAAACGCAACACGCTGCGGTTGCAGCAGGCCGGGATGCAGGCAACGCTCTACCACACAAAGGTACCAACTCTCATGATGCCGAAACTGCCCGGGGCAGCGCGGACAGAAGTGACGGCATGACGCATCCACTCGTTTTCCCTTTTGTCAAGCCATCTTTGTCGGCTGTGTTGGGGCAAATGGGTGTTCAATGTACTTATTTCGACGGCTATCACTGGGAGTTGTTTGGAGCATTGGGACGGGATACACCGGGCATTGATTTCTGCACTGGGCGGCTGTTTGACGAATTTGCCATGAGCAGCGTGCTCTTTAGCTCTATTCCCTTGAAGTAGCACAACGATTGGTTTCTCTCCTGATCTACTGGGGCAAACGCTGAGTCGGTGATGTGCATGGGGCGGCCGAAGGGTCCACAGCTGATCTTCAGCCGCCTCGTCACCTAGCGCCACCCGCTCGCCGCGGCCTTGCCTGCGCGTTTCTCGAAACACCATCGCCGCGCCAACCTTTCTCGCAACCACTCTCCGGCCCCACGCGCTTCCGCAATCCACAACATACGCTCTTGCCGAGCCCCCTCTCGACCGCCGTTTCTCTCGCTCCTACGCGCATCATTGCTCCCGTCAACCGTACCGCCGCCATGAGGCTCACTCGTTCCGTTCTCTGGGCCACCTCGCTCATCCCTTTCGCGAACGCCGACGTGCAGTTTACGAGCGTCACCGGGGGCGATTCCCTGGCTGTTGGAGCAGGCCCATCGCCTGTCACCGTCGAATGGACCGACTCGGGCAGCAAACCTGAGATCACTCAGCTGCATAGTTACGTGCTGGATCTGTGCGCTGGGACCAACGACGACTTTGTGAGTCCACCGGGGCAGAGTGCGGAGGACTCGCTGGAAGCTCGGCATGCAATCTAACACGGGTGGTCCACAGGTGTCTGTAAAAACAATCACGTCCAAGGGTCTGTTTTGGTTCGGCAACATGGCCAAGGGCATAATATTGCCGACTGACGGCGGAGACGCGGAGAATGCATAGTGCGTGCCCGTCGTGACGGGACTGCCAATGTCATGTCAGCCACTGACAAGACTACCACAGCTTCTTCCGGATCATATCGTCGACGAAAGACGGCCAGACATATGCGAACTATTCCCCGCGCTTCACGCTCGCCGGCATGACGGGCAGCTTCCCAGATACGGTCCGGGAAGCCCTCGCCGCGAACCCCATAACCGATACGGATCCGCCCGTGATTGCCGTCCCCGACGAGGATTTTGACACGGAGCTAAAGAAGAGACAAGGCGCTGCGCCGATTGGGGCGGGCGCGGCGGCTACCGTGACAGCGGCTGGGGGCAGCTACACGATACCGTACACGATGCAGACGGGGTTGACCAAATACGCGCCGATGCAGCGTGTGCCCAGCTCGAAGATCACCAAGAGCGACGCATCCCCGCAGTACCCTACCAGCGCCTATACCGCGTACACGACATACGCGAAGATCCCGACACAGGTGATGACGGTCACGCAGAGTGGGACGTTCACCATCAGCAGCAAGGAGGCCACTGTAAGTCCCCTTGTGCCAGTTGCAAACGAACGTATGGCTGATGCCCTCATCAGCAACAGGCTGCTGCGATGCCTTCGGACGACATGGCCAGGTTTCTGGCGCGGTGGAAGGACTAAGGTAGCGCGACCTTTCTTGACGAAGCACTGTGAACTGTACGATAACGACTGGGCCGGGGAGTTTTTGGATTTGGGGACATTCAGTGTTAGTTGCGCACGAGCAAACAACACACTTTTCATAGACAGCAGGCGCGGCCTAGACCACCATAATGTGCAGAAGACGAAGTCAGTTGGCCGCAGTCCGGGGGCATTGGATCGCATTGATCAGCCAAGATCACGTGGACGTCAATGCTCCGCTCAACCCGCACCAGAGCCGCACGACAGCTTGAGAAGAGCCGTCCAACCGAGCAGTGCCGAGTCGTGACAATTGGTGACGGTTGCTTTTTGGCTCAATGCCCTCTTCGCCAAGTCGCTTCATAGCCTTAAGCGGAAGGCCCCACCAGCGGTTATCAGCGGCCGCATCGCACCTCAAGCTTCCCCGCCATTGTCAGCAGCTGCACGAGCTTCTCGCCTCCCACCGCAGCTTCTCCAGCACCGCCCCAACGCCTGACCAACAGCGCGGCGCCGATCTCGTCCGCCGCCGCCAGCTGCTCGATCGGGTCCGCGAGTATCAGCTCACGAGAGGCAAGAACACGAAGCACATCGACGAAATGTCCATCAACAAGCCCAACGTGGGGGAGGTGCTGAAGGGCAAGTACCCGGCCAAGACGCATGCCAAGAAGGTCAAGGAGTGGATCGTTGCGAATGGCGGGGATGCGGAGGGTGTGATTTACCTGGAGGGCCAGAAGACGAAGATGAACGAGGTGGGTGTTTTCCGATCCAACGCGCCGTTTCTGCGTCGCCATGGATCGCCGGATGCTGATGCTGTTAGCCGTAGGACAATGACCAGGAACAGCCCTTCCGCCAGCGGAGATATTTCTTCTACCTGACAGGGTGCAACCTGCCCGACTGCTACGTCGCGGTCGACTTGAAGTCGGAGAAGAGCACGCTGTTCATCCCGCCCATTGACCCAGACGAGGTCATTTGGTCGGGCCTGCCGCTGAGCCCGGAGGAAGCGCTTCGCAAATACGACATTGACGACTGCAAGCCTTCGACCGAAATCAACGCGTACCTGTCCGGTGCTTCGACGGCCAAGTCGACCGTCTACGCCATCAGTGGCCAGATCTCGGACGAGACAACTTTCCTGGCCTTCAACAACAAGAACTTCGACCTCCTCAAGACGGCCGTGGAAGAATGCCGCGTTGTCAAGACGCCATACGAGATCGCCCTCATCACTCACGCCAACACCGTCTCGACCGCCGCTCATACAGCCGTCATGGCGGCTGCCAAGTCGGCGACAAACGAGCGCGAGCTGGAGGCCATTTTCTTGAAGAGCTGCATCGAACGCGGGTGCCGCAACCAGGCGTACGGCTCCATCATGGCCAGCGGCACCGCGGCCGCCACGCTTCATTACGTGGCCAACGACCAGCCGCTTGCTGGAAAGTTGAACCTCCTCGTTGATGCCGGCGCGGAGAAGGATTGCTATGCTTCCGATATCACCCGTACATTCCCCATCAGCGGCAACTTCTCCCCCGAGAGTCGCGCCATCTACGACATCGTGTTGCGCATGCAGAAGGAGGCCATCGAGAGCCTGAAGGCCGGCGTGAGCTGGGACGAGGTGCACTCGCAGGCTCACCGCACGGCCATTGCCGGCCTGCTGCACCTGGGCATCCTCAAGGGCGATGCCAAGGCCATCTTCGATTCTCGCACTTCTGTGGCATTCTTCCCGCACGGTCTCGGACACTATCTCGGCATGGTATGGTTCTGCCCCTGGCTCATTTTGCTTGCGCGCGCTGATCTGTTTCTCAGGATACGCACGACTGTGGTGGTAGCCCCAACTATGCGGATAAGGACCCCATGTTCCGCTACTTGCGCAAGCGTGGCACGCTCCCGGCGGGCTCGGTCATCACGGTGGAGCCTGGCATCTACTTTTGCAGGTTCATCATCGAGCCGTACTTGAAGGACGAGAAGCACAAGGGCTTCATTGACGAGTCCGTGCTGGAAAAGTACTGGGAAGTGGGCGGGGTCAGGATCGAGGACAATGTCCTGGTGACAGAGACGGGCTATGAGAATTTGACCGAGACGCCAAAGGAGACGGCGGATGTTGAGACGGTTGTGGCTGGTTAAAGGTAAGATTGTCCATTCCTGGGGCAATGCAGCTGCATTTCTGACCCTCGGCAGGGCGCCATCAGAGTCGAAATGATGCACGCGGTGTGAATCAACTGCATCCTGTCACTTGACTGTTTTTCTAACGTCCAACGTGCATGTACACCAGTCCACAATTTCCCGAGGGGAGGTGTCATCCAACCACTAGCGCCTCGGGCACACTAACGTAGCACCCGGTCCCAAAGAATGCATTCCGACGGCTCTACTCGCTTGCCTCACCGCTTTTGCCCGCATCGTGACTCGAGTGCCGGTTGCCGCGGGCCCTTTTTCACATGTCGACACTGGTTTTCCGTGGGGCCTCGTGCAAGTCTGTAAACAGCTCCTGTTTCTTATCATCCTTTACTGCTCTGCCTGTCCTGTCTCCAACTCTTTTTGCCTGCCCAGGGGCGTTCGACGCACCTTTTGACGATCTCACGCTTTTTACATAATTAACGACATCGCTGCCTTTACTCTACATCTTTTGTTCCTGCTTGATACCCCTCGCTTCAACGAGTGAAGCAAACATGTCCCCGAGGACAAAACGTCTCATCCTCTGCTGCGACGGCAGCTTCACCCCGCAGCCTGCTTCCCACTCTCGTTCCTTTGCTCACGCGGCTCACACGGCATCAAATGTCGCCCGCTTCTCTCGCATGCTCGCTCGTCACGGCGCCGACGACGTTCCGCAAATAGTCTTCTACCTTTCCGGCCTCGCATCCACCCTTGAGCAGGACGGCACCGCCGCGTACCTCTTCCTTGCTGCGAACTATGCTGCTGGTGATGAGATCGCCGTGTTCGGTGGCGGCAGGGGCGCGTCGGCGGCGAGGCTTGTGGCCGGGTTGGTTACAGAAGTGGGGTTGCTGAAGCCGGGGGAGGTGGGGAGGTGGGGCCGCCTGTCGGAGTTGTATACGGAGAGGGTGGGATGGGGGCGCGGTGAAGGGGCGGCGGAAGAAGGAGGAGGGGCCGAGGGTTTTTGGAAGGGTTTGCTGGCGCATAGGAGTAGATGGGAACTGGATGAAATCGAGGGGCTGAGAAATGCAATGTGGGCGGACGTGAGAGTGAGGGTGGTTGGGGTCTGGGATACGGTGGGTGTTGGTTATACTCTATCCCGGCGATCAGCGGGAACAGAACAAGGTCACTGACTGGAGCAGGTCGGTAACTTGGAGTATCCGGATGGCTTCCCGAGCGGAAAGGATGTGAAGTGTCAGTGGCAAGACACGGCGTTACACTCGCGTAAGCACTCCCCGTTTACGACTGGACAAACATCTCTTTTGACTTTTGCTTGTGCACCAGGCATCGACCACGCTTTTCAAGCCTTGGCCCTCGACGAAAATCGCGCCGCCTTTGACCCCTCACTGTGGCGCTTGAACCCAAGGGAGCCCTCGGAGACGCACTGCGCTCCGAACCTCAAACAATGCTGGTTCCCTGGCTTCCATGAGACCGTCGGCGGCGGTGCGACCGATACCGCAGACGCGAAAGACCGGACCGACATCGCAGACATCACGCTGGCTTGGATGTGCGACCAAGTCGATGGTCTGCTCGACTTCGATGACGACGCGGTGGCCGAGTTCCTGGGCGCTGAGCAGTCGACCACCCATCAGAAACAGTCCGAGCGCCAGAGCGTCCGCAGGCGCAGTCACCCGACTGTCCGGCCTGGAATGCCCACGAGCACTGCCGGAGGCGGCTTGATGTATACGTTGCTGACCGCTGTGCTCAACCGCCTCCTGGTTGCAATCAGCTTTTTGCAGCGGGAGGGAGACGGCGCTGAAGGAGGGCATACCGAGCGCTATTCCATACGCACGCCCGGCCAATATCACAAGAACCTGGAATTTGCGGAGGGCGTCCACCCTGACGATTTCGCCACGAACGAGTCCATCCACCCGTCAGTTAAGCACCGAAAAGACTTGTTCGCGCTCGCAAGCACCCCGTATGACGCCGCATCGCTGCGGGAGTGGGCGGTTGGCGACGCTGTCGATGAGATCGAGGGGAAGAATCATAACGGTGCTGACGGGAAGAGGGAGGCTGATACCGCTGCCATGCCCGGCTGGTTCCCTTGGCTAAGTGTTTTCTCAAGCCCGGAAGACGACGAGTACGAGGGTGATAACGGAGAGGTTGGCACTGCCGGAGAAGAGGAAGAAGAAGCTGAGGGCCGCAGTGCCAACATGATCAACACTGCGGCGGAGACGGTCCGGGCTGCGGCTGGCCCTCGGAGGAAGCCGCACCCACGATGGGGGTACCGCGAGATCGAGGGAGAGGGTGACGGTGCCGAGTGGATCAGGCCGAGCGTGCCGCGGTCTGAGCTGTTCGGCTCTCCGCGGCGTTCCTCTTCTACACCTTGCCCATCCTCCACTTTCCCCTCCCCTTCCGAGAAGGCACTGAAACACGGAGTCCCGACCCTTGTCCCGGCATACCTCCGTCGAAGTCGTGGGCCGCTGTCATCGTCCTTACGTCTTGTCTTCTTCGCCGTGTTCTGGCCCTGGTTTTTCCTCTACCATACCTTCTCCTTCTTCTTTCTTCCCCTCTTCCTCGTCCATCCGAAGGCTCGTGGCAAACTTCATCGAAATCATCGTGGAGAGGAGAAGAGGAAAATGTCGGCAACGAACAACAGGACGGCCCTGCAGTGGCACCACGAGCGTCAGATCGCCCTTCCCGAATGGGTCATCCGAGAGGTGCCGGGTCGTCGCAATTTCGAAGCCCAGTTGTTACCGTGGCTGGTCCGCGAGCAGCTCAACCACCGGAACGCGAAGAGGCTGGACTGGAGGGGCGAGGATGTTTGTTGGGCAAGGTCGACGTTTGGAACCGTGATTGAGGAGGAGGTTGAAGGGGCTGAGGCTGGGGCTGGGCCTGAGGCTGGGCCTGAGGTGGTGAAGAGAGGCGATGGTGCAAGAAGCGGTGGTGGCGGCGATGTCGAGGTGGCGCCAGATAAAGTGACGCCGGTGGTAAAGCGGAAGGGCCCGCTGCATGTCAGGAAAGGCTCGACGGCTGAGGTCCTAGTGACTGGAAATTCTGGTGCTGGTTCTGGGGAGAGAAGGCAGAGCCAAACGGCCGTAGGCGGTGGTTGGAGAAGCGGTGGCGGGTTGAAGGTTTTGGCGCAGCAGCCGGAGAGGAGGTCGTCGATCAAGAGAGATAGGGAGAGTCCGATAGGGTTCTCGCCTGGGCATAAGAAGACTCAGTCTCAGACGAGCGTGAGCTGGCGGTAGGCGTTGGAAGAAGATGGCTTTGCTACATAGAATATTTCATAATGATCATAGTTAGGTTGAGATTCAAATGACAAGAAGTGTTTCAAGTATGCCAATAAGCACGCGTGATTCTCAAGGAACGTCTCGCGGCGAGCCTTGGAGAAGGGGGTGGTTCATTACGTTGCGACCAATCGGGCAGCTCATGGAACTAAAGTCCTGTCGCTGTGGGCCGGAATGGTATGGGTGACGGTCCTGACAGGGTTTCTTACTCAAGACGATTCGCCAACTTGAACTCAGGTGCGCACTTTCCTGTCCTTGAGAGTATCCACATTGCTTACTTCCTAACCTTCAGTTTCTTATGACCATCTCAGTAATTACCACCCCTGCCAGTGATGAGCATAATCATCCATGGTGGCGAAAAGTTAGCTGAGTCAAGTAAGAGGAATTGGTGTGGTCTAACCTTACTTCCTGTCTTTAGAAAGATATATGAAGGCATGGTTCAGGAGCGAACCAACGAGAGATCCTAACCCGAAGACCTCACCTTGCCTGGCGGGTACAGTAGATGTGGATGGTAAAAATCATCGGAGATTCGTGCTGCCTTAGGTATTGCGCAAGGATAATTCGTTCGTGATGTTTTGGAGGAACGAAGTAAAAAAGTCTTGGGAGAAGTTAAATTGCCAAATCAGGTCTCTTGTGGTATTGTTCCGTATCTTGCCCCCGAGATCGAGCCTCTTAATCGTCCTCTTCATCAATACTATCATCAAAAGGCACTGGCAGCACCCACTCTTCCCTCTTTTTACACGGCTCATCCTCCAGCCATCTGATCATCCAATCCACCCTGTCTGTCATGAAGCCGCTTATCAAGTTTTTGCCATCCCTGCCACTAGTGATGTTCTCCCGGCCTAGCTGGAATTTGGTGTTGAACCTGCACTCCTTTCCGATCCACGAGAAACCAATACAGCTGCCATACTGGTCGCACTCGAGGCGGCAATCTCCCCAGTTCTTGAGGCGTCTGCCGCTCCTAAGACCCTTCTTAGTGAGCTTGATGAACGTCTTGCGGTCAGCGAGATTATCCCAGTTGGGCTTTAGGGATGAGAGCTGGGGCATGACAAAGTCCTGGAACACGTGGCGATGATGGGTTAAGGGGGTGCCCTATGCAGTAGGTTAGTGCATAAGAAACGGGTTGTGCTCTGCAGCATAACCTACAGCTGCTCTGGCGGATTGCTCCGCAGCGTACAGATACTCGATCTCGTCCGTCGACAGGCCATGATAGCTAATGGCGCGGTGACACCACAATCTGTCAAACTCGTATCTTTCCTCGCCCCAGTCCAGCTGAGACGGGCTGCTGCTCTGTAGATTTGGCCATGACCACGTCAGCGGCACGCCGACCTCCTGCAGCACCCTTCCCAGCGCAGCCGCGCCATTGGGACGACTCGCAGTGATCTGCCGAACGCGATCGGCATTCTCCTTGTAAAGCGCGCTCACTCTTCTCGCCGCCTCGGCGCTCAACACCACACCCGCGCCACCGTGAGCAAATACATCGGCCTCCGCCTGGTCCGGCTCGCCCAGATACCACGGCGCGCTGGCGTCGAACAGCTGCAGCCACTCGACCAAGTTTGACCACAAAACGTACGTGTCCGGCTCGACGAAGACGAACCACTTTGCATCCGGCGCCGCTCGCAGCGCCTTGTCCACGGATGGCACCATCTTCCACTTGTCCAGCTTGCGGCCCGGATTGTCCTGCTCCAACTTCGCCAGTAGCTTCTGCGCCTTCTTTCCTCCCGTGTCAGCACCACCGGTGCCAGTTTGCACCGCTGTCGCGCCCCACGCCTCGAGCTCCTCCTTTGATAGCGCGTCCCGACCGCCGCGGTCCCGCACGCGATTGTAGAAGTCGACATTCGCGCGCTCCGCTGCCGTGAGGTCTACGTCCTTGAGCGCATCGGATATCGCGCGTCCGTCAATGGCCTCGGCATAGTCTGAGAAGATGGCGTAGCGTGGCACGCAGCGCAGCGTGGTGGAAAAGTGTACGGGAAGCTTGGTGCGGTGCTGGACGACGCCGGTCTTGACGACGACGAAGACGTCAGAAAGGCCTGGGATTTCGGGGCATGTTGTATTCCCGCCAGAGGAGGGGGACGGAGGGAACGAGGTCTGCGGCGAGGAAGATGAATGGGAGCCGGCGGGAAGAGCGCGATTGGCGAATGAGCGGATGTGCCAAAGCAGGGCGAGGACGAGAACGACGAAGAAGGCGCGGATGGCGGTCTGCGAGGCGCTGCGGCTCGGAGAGGGCTGGCGGGAGGAAACGGCGGTGGTGGAGAGCTTGGACGACATGCTGAAGTTGGGCCGGTTCTCAGGTCATCGGGGGTGGTTTCAGCGCGGAGGCTGCAGATGGAAAGGGTCGGCGGCCGACAGCATAGCTGCCCGATCTTGGCTCCGGGGTGCGAAGCATGTGTGTACGGACTACTCGGCACTGTGATTTAATTTGGGACGGACAGGAGCGGGCTGGGGTCTGTGAGACTGGAAAAGGTTAGGGAAGGCGCGCCGCTGAATCAGAGGGCCTTATCGATTCGCCGGCCCCTTGACGCGTCCTCCTCCCCACCTCGTTCCTGGCATTTCAAACAGACGCACGACCAATCGGCACCCCGAGCATCGAGACTTGTGATCTTGGCTACCTAGTACTCTCCCAGTGGCCTAAAACTGCTTCACCTCCCTCTTGAACCTGGGTGGGTTCTTAAAGAACTGATGCCTCGTCTCGTCATCACGCGCGCCATCCTTCCAATACTCGTACTCCATCCACGCGTTCTCCGGCATCTGCTCTTCCGTCGCTTTCAGGAAGTGGCCCAGCTCTGGCGCTAGCGGGATGACGCCTGTCTCCAGCACGTAGTCGTCCCACAGCTTCAACAATTCCTTCAGCTTCTCCGGTTCTTTGTCCGCCAGGTCGTGCACCTCTCCTGGGTCTGCACGCAGGTTGTACAGCTGCCAGCGCTCAGGACCCTTGGGCTTAGGGATGTACACAATCTTCCAGTCGCCCTTGCGGCACGCCGCACGCCCACACGTTTCCCACCCGTTGACGAATTCCTCCTCGTGCACCCGAGGCACGTCCGCCGATTGAGCAAATGGCAGCATCGTCTTGCCGCGCATCTTCACAACCTCGCGCCCCTGGAAGGTCGGGGCCGGATGCTTGACGCCCGCCATGTCGAGTATGGTGGGCGCCAGGTCCATGACCGTGGCAAAGGCGTCTGTGATGCTGCCGTTCCGCTGCGGCGCTTGGATGTTCTTGGGGAACTGCGCGACGAAGGGAACACGCACACCGCCTTCGGTGGTGTAGGCCTTGTACAAGCGCGACGGCGCCGTGGCCGCTTGCGCCCAGCGCGGGCCGTACCAGATGAAGGAGTCGCCGGCGCCGAGGTTGTCGAGCGAGTTGTTGTAGTACTTCTTGAGGTGCTGCAGCATGCTGCCCTGGACCATGGGGTAGGCCTCGTAGGCAGCGCCCTCAGCACCGTTGTCGGACAGGAAGCAGACGAACGTGTTGTCCAGCTCGCCCGTCTCGCGCAAGTAGTCGACAACCTTGCCCACGTTCGCGTCAATGCTTTCGACCATGGCTGCAAAGACTTCCATGGCGCGGCAGGACTTGGCCTTCTCCTCGGGCGTCAGCTCATTCCACTCCTTCACCTCGTCAGCGACCACTGGATGCGGCTCGACGTCCTTGGGGATCATTCCCAGGTCTTTCAGACGCTGCAGCCGCTTAAGGCGAAGAGCGTCCGGGCCGTCATCATAGACACCCTTGTACTTTTCAATGTACTCTTTTGGCGCCTGGAGCGGCCAGTGAGGAGCAGTAAAGGGAAAATAGCCAAAGAAGGGGCGCTCGTCCCCACTCTCGTTTCTCTCCTTCAAGTACTGCAGCATCTTGTCACCGTAGCCGTCGCTGCTGTACCAGCCGTCGGGCAGCTTCTTCACGTACTCGCCATCCTCGTTGTGCAGCGCGATGAAGCTCATTGTCATGAACTCGGGGATCTTATCCGGCGTCTGCAGCTGGGGCTCGTATGCATAGTGGTTCGAGCACGCGGGCAGGTGGGCAAAGCTGCGTTCGAAACCGCGAGCCTTGGGCGAACGCTCGGGGGTCAGGCCGAGGTGCCACTTTCCCGCCATCATGGTCAGATAGCCGGCGTCACGAAGGATTTCGGGCAGAGCGGCGACGCGCTCGTTCAGATAGCCCTCGTAGCCAGGCATGCCGCGCTGGGGAGCTGTCGACATGCCGCCCTTGGGGTCGTTTTGTCCGCTGATGTTGGTCCACTCTGCGTGGCATCGTCAGCACCTGGTGGGCGGCCAAGCTGGAACTGCTGAACGCACCAATGAGGTTTCCCAGGCCGGCAATGTGGTGGTCGGTGCCAGTCATGATCATGGCACGCGACGGCGAGCAGGCGGCGGCCGCATGGAAATCGGTGAAGCGGATGCCATTCTGTGCAAGCTTGGCAATGTTGGGGGTGTTGATCTCGCCGCCGAAGGGGGAAATGTCGCTGAAGCCCAGGTCGTCGGCGACTATGACAAGAAAGTTGGGGCGCTTGGGAGCTGCCATGATGGAGCGATTGTGCAAAGGAGGAATGAGAGAGAGGGGAATTGAGGTGCGGGATTAAGGCGAGGGGTAGACGGCCTTTAACACGCCAGCTCACAGCTCGAGGGTCCACATAAGCTCCTCGAGCTGCGTCAACATGGGCGGCCGCGCGGGCGGTGGGGGGTGGAGGGTAGGGGCATTGCAAGGGAAAGGATGGGCCGAAACACGGCGTGCGGCATGGTAGAGCATCGAGTCAGCCAGCGTCGTCGAGGCCACCGGCCGGTGCGGTGCTTGGGGATGCTTGGCCTCGGCGAACCGCGCCGGCCCCACTGGCGATCTGCTTGTTTGACGATGGCGGCGTCGTCAGCGGAGGCGGCGGGCCAGGCACCGGGCGCGCAATTCATGGGTGATGGGCCGGGCTGCGGGCGCATGGTCGCATGGTCGCTGGGTCGCAGCCTCGCAGGGCCGCCACCCGCTGGCGCGCTCGCGGCTACAGCGCCGGCGCGCGCGCTCCAGCGGCAGGCACGCAGGCTCTTGTGACCGCCGGGCGCGTGCGTGCAGGGATGCGCCTTCCCCGCGTTCCCTCAGGCCCGCGCTAGTCCGCATGCGGCTGCCCTGATCGCGCAACACTTGCGGCTCATCACAACATCTCATGCCTGCTCGCTCCGACCCAGAACTTCTCCTCCACCCGACCAATCGCTGCTGCCCGCCGAAGCCACTCGCGCGTCCGCACCATCCTCACGCTTTGATCCGTCGCCAAGTGCCGCTCCCACGCCGCGCACGCCGCTCCCGCCGACAAGGTTGCGCAAGCTTACGCCCACTACCAAGTCGGCTAGGCCCCGCTGAGCGCCTGAATCGCATTGCAACGTCGCCCGCAGCTTGGCATGGATTCGATGGAACAAAAGCTAGCGCCCGGCGTGGTCTTCGTAAGACCCGACTCCCCAGAGCCTCCGTTGTCTAAGCTCACTTACACTGCTCGCAACCCCAAGATTTTCGCTCCCGACAGGCCCCTGCGTCCGCGCTCTAGCAGCTCCTACGCCGTGGCTCTGTGCTGTAAGCTTGCACCATGACCTCCCGCGGCACGCTCTACGCTTACTATGTAGGCGCCATCGCCTGCATCGCTGGCTTCCTCTTCGGATACGACTCGGGCATGTGAGTAGCTCCCGTGCTCTTCCCCATGGGAATCCAGTCAAATAACGTTTAACTGCAGCGTCGGTAACGTCACCCGCTCCTCGGACCATCGCATCGCCGCAGACTGACCTTCGCAGGCGGTGTCCTCACCTTGACCTCCTTCCAAGATCACTTCAACTTCACCAAGGCCCAGAAGACTCATGTCTCGTCGCTCTGTGTTTCCCTGCAGCAGCTTGGCGCCTTTGTCGCCTGCCCCCTCAGCATTCCGCTGTCGCGCAAGTATGGTCGCAAGTCTTCCATCTTCGTCGGCTCCGTCGTCTTTTGCATTGGCTCCATGATGCAGACCGTCCCTTCGCACAGCCTTGCCTGCTTCTACGTCGGCCGCGTCATCTCCGGTCTTGGACTCGGCGCCATGACGGTGGTCGTGCCCCAGTACAATGCGGAGATGTCGCCCAAGGAGATTCGCGGTCGCCTCGGCAGCTTTTTCCAGATGGCCTTCACGCTGGGTATGTCACCATTCGCTCACGCCGTCATTGCATCGCCCAGGTATGACTGACTCATCAACATAGGAATCTTCACGTCTTACTGGGTCGACTATGGTGTGAAGGTCAACATGGACAGCACCGAGAGTCAGTGGCAGATCCCAGTCGGCCTCCAGATCCTATTCTCCGGCCTGCTCGCTCTCGGAATGCTCACGGTGAAGGAAAGCCCTCGCTGGCTCATCACCAAAGATCGCTTGGAAGAGGCCAAAGCAAACCTCCAGTGGGTTCGCGCTTCGAACGGCCCGGAGGTTGCCGATGAGCTCGCGGAGATTTCCATGGCGGTCAGAGCAGAGCATCATGCGACCGAAGGTCTTCACTGGACGGGTATGCTGTCCACTTTATCAATGTTGCCTTTCTAACCCGTGCCAGAATTCCTCCATGGCTCCGTTTTGAAGAGGCTCTCGGCTGCTTTCGCACTTTTCCTAGCTCAGCAAGCTACCGGTGCCACGGCTTTCGCGTATTACAGCCCGCAGTACTTCAGCCTGCTGACTGGCGATGACGAGACCCGCAGCCTCCTCTTGAGCGGCATTTTCGGCGCCGTCAAAGTCATTGCATGTTTTGCCTTTGTCTGCCTTGCGGCCGACCGTTTCACCCGGAAGTTCAATCTGGCGTCTGGCGCCTTTGCGATGGCTGCGACTCAGATCGTCACTGCGGCCGTCCTCAAGAACAAGCCCATCGATTCCGGCGCGGCTGAAGCTGTTCCGCCTGCTGCCAAAGCCACGGTTGCCATGATCTACCTCTTTGTGATGATCTACAACTTTTCTTGGGGCCCGCTGCCGTGGCCCTACTGCAGCGAGTAAGTCTTGCGCTCCTTCCTGTAGTGTGTGCGCATCACGCTCCAGTCAGCTTACGGTGGGACAGGCTCTTTTCGAACCGTTATCGTGAGGTCGGTGTCGCTGTCGGCGTGTCCAGTCAGTGGCTCTTCAACTTTGTGTTCACAATCTCTACGCCATACATGATTGATAGCATGGGCTGGTAAGTCGCACCAATATTCCGATCAACCGGAAAGCAAACACGAGACCCAAGTCCCAAGCACGCGGACCCAATGATTACCTCGAAGTATTAACGCAGAGGAACAGGGGCACCTTCCTTCTCTGGGGACTGTTCGACATCATTATCGGGCTTGGCACTATTCTACTTGCCACAGAGACCCGCGGTCTATCCCTTGAGAAGTCCGGACAGCCTAAAGTCTTTAGGGATGACAACGAAGCCAAGCTCGGCAACGTCTACCCTGGCCCTTCGTCCATCTCTAGTGGCTCCGATAAGAAGAATGGGGGTCAGATCAGGGAGAGCGACATCTAGACCGTGGCGGTGTGCATGCGGTACAGTGCGACATGAAGGTTTCCTTGTTCTGGATCATCCCCCCTCGGGTTCGTGAAGGAACTGCTTTTCGGGGGTCCAATGTCGGCCTTCGGATTTGCTTTCTATCTTGTTTCCACACGGACATGGTGAGAGCTTCTTTCTTCTAGCGATGCGATATGGATAGCGGGTTGCTCCTCTTAAGGTTGCCACATATACAACCCGCTCGGGGTCAAGAATAGTCGACATGATGGATGACATAAATTCGATTATATCTTGACTTCGATCACAGCAGCTGCTAGCTTTGACAAGATTGCTATTGTTGTCGTGCTCCACACCGCTCCGTAGACTTACATTGCTGCTATTCTCGGCCGCCTTTCTCATCGGCCGCTTTCTGAGGGCAAATGCGGCTTCCCCGAACTGCAAAAAACAGGCAGTGTGAGAGAATTAAATTTGTGATGGCCTACGCCAATGACGCTGCGGATATGGTTGCCTTTGGTTGCTCAATGCCACGTTCGACGGGCCTAAGGTCGCACATCCCAGCACACTGGCCCGCACGCGAATGACATGCCTAGCGCGCTGCTGTGTGGTCGTGATGGAGTGTCAGAGGGAGCATGGGAAAGGTTGCAGGAAGAGGGAACCTGCAGGTGACAGCAAAAGCTTGAGCTGACGTGCCACGAAAATGACAGTTCTTGGTGGACTGAGCCTTCCGGTACGTGTGTGATATCCAGTATTCTCTATACAGGGCTGAAGGAGCAGAGCATTCGGTGCGGGTGCGTAAATGCATGTTACTGAATTGCAAAAGATTGTTTCCGACTTGGGGGTTGATACCTGCTGTTACTTTCTGCTTGATAATAAGACTACGGGACGAGATGCTCTAATGGTTTTCACTCTTAAGCAGTTGGAGAACAAGGGAATGCAGAACGTAAACCGATTCACCAGAGGGATTCTCTGCTGCTCTGCCGCTGATGGGCCATACGGCTAATGCGCTAGCGTCAATTGAAGTATATGGATGCGATTGCACGGGCATAGTATCTATAAGAACATGGATTTAATACTAGTTTCTGGATTCATATACAGTAGTATTCTTTTTCAAGCTAAGCATTCTAGCACTAATATCATAGCACATACATAAGCTTAAGACTACCGAGCAAATAGCTAGGTACAGCGGTTCAACGCATCGCCGCATCGCTTCAGCTGTTGGCTATATTCAGGTTCGCAGTGTGCAATGCATATGCGGACCGGACGCCCTGTTTCCACATTTACTTGTTGCGTGTGTCATCCGAACCAGGAAGGTGGCTACCCCACCTTTGTCCTGTAGGATCTCCGGTGGGCGAACAGTCATCGCTGCGAAATGCTAACTCAACGCGGCAACGCCATCTTCACTACACGAATTTGGTCACCGTCTCGCGCATCATGCATGCACGTGTGTATGTCAGCATCGTCTTACGGGCAGATCAATATATAAACCAGAACGTCAGATACTCGAGGCTCGCCGTCTCCCCCTCCAACATAACATCCCATAGCTCACAATGACCGAATACACCCCTCCCCCCGTGGGTCACCGCTATGCTTCGAAAGATGACTACCTCGCCGCGCGCGCCGCCCTCATCGCCGCCGAGCACGCCCAGTCCTTCACAGCCAACCTCTCTCCCTCGACGGCCGTCGAGAGCCGCGCCAACGCCATCCTCACGGCCCTCAAAGAGCAAGACCAGGCAGAACTCCACACCATGCACCCCAATGGCACGGGCTTCGAGCTAGGCCACAAGTTCCTCCACGGCCTGCCGACCATCGCCGAATCCAAAATCTTGGCCATCGCGGCCCGCGCCCCGAAAGGCGCGCTGCTGCACTGCCACCTCGACGCCATGCTGCCGCCGGAGCACCTGCTGGCGGACGCGCAGCGCAACCCGCACATGTGCATCCGCACCGACGCGCCGCTGACGCACGCGGCCTTCTTCGCCGCCGCGCTGCCGACGTTTGCGGTGCTGCCGGCCGCCGACCTGGCCCTCGCCCACGACGGCGTCGGCGTCTTCTCGCCCGCCTACGTCGCCGGCTCGTGGATGCCGTACGCGCGCTTCCTGCGCGACTTCCCCGGCGGACGGGCCGAGGCGGAGCGCTGGCTGCGCGGCAAGATTGTGCTGCATCCCGACCGGGCCTACGCGCCCGAGCAGACGGTCGACGGCATCTGGGCGCTGTTCAAGCGCTCCTTCGCCGTGCTGCGCGGCCTCGTCTCGTACACGAGCGCGTGGAAGGGCCACTTCAAGCGTGTGCTGTGGCACCTTGCGCGCGACGGGGTTAGCTATGCTGAGATCAGGATCCCCATGCAATGGCAGTTCTTCGTCAAGGCGGATGACGGGAGTAGGGAGTTTAATAGGAAGGAAATGGTGGGCTTGTTGAAGGACGTGCTGGATGAGGAGTTGCCTAAGATTAGGGCTGAGCGGCTGGTGTTCTGGGGAGCGAGATTCATTTATGGCAGCTTTCGCCGGTGCGAGCGGGAGAACATGCGGTGGATGATGGACGACTGCATTGAGCTGAAGCAGGAGTATCCGGATCTGATCTGTGGTCAGTTCCCCGTGCCTCGTTGATGCACCGAAAGCTGAAGCTGACCGGCACGCAGGATTCGACATGCAAGGTTCGTAACCCATCGGCGTCCGAAGCCCCCCCAGAAGGTGATAGCCCGGCTGACTGACGTCGGTGCATCAACAGGCCAAGAAGACGATGGCCATTCACATCTCCACTGGATCCAAGAGCTCCTCGACTTCCGCGCCCGCTGCGACTCTCTCGGCCTCGACCTCCCATTCATCTTCCACGCCGGCGAAACGCTCCAGACTTCCACTTCCCAAAACCTCTACGACGCCATCCTCCTCTCTTCCAAGCGCATCGGCCACGCCTTCGCCCTGCCGCAGCATCACCCTTACCTCCTCCAGCTCTGCCGCGCCCGTAACATCGCCATCGAAGCGTGCCCCATCTCCAACGAGGTCCTTGGTCTCGCGCCCTCGGGCATCCGCAACCACCCCTTACCCATCCTGTTAGCCATGTGTGTGCCGTGCACCATCAATACGGATGACCCCGGTTGTTGGGAGGCCAGTATGAGTCATGAGTGGTATCAAGTCATGTCTGGTGCTGGTCGTGGAGATGGAGAAAACGGAGCTATGGACTTGAGAGGATGGAGGAAGTTGGCCGAGTGGAGTTTGGAATACAGCTGCATGCCTGATGCAGAGAAGAAGGAAGCTGGGCGAGTATTCGAAAACCAGTGGCAGGAGTTTTGCGGGTGGATTGTGGAAGCTTATGGGGCCGAGGTTGAGAATGAGACGTGTTAGGGGGTACTTCCCGGCAGAAAAGAGGTCGAGAGATCTGCGGGCGAGAGCGGTGGATGCCGGATGTTTGGATGATTTTTTGATGGCATTTGGCGTGGAGGAAACCGGGGCTTTAACGCCCGGCACACTGCCTGCTTTTCGTTCTGCATCTTCGGATGCATCTAAAGATGCGGTGCGGTTCAACAGCACAGACGTAGAATGGCGTGGGCCAAACACCAACTTATTAAGATGAACAACAAGAGAATGGTTAGGAATGCATTAATCGCCTTGCCCTTCCAATGCAAACGCCGATTATTACTTCTGCAGCACAACGCAAACCATACATTACTCAGCAACAACAAACACATTATGTACTTTCGGAAAACTGAGGGAGACAAAACACATTACAAGGTCGGTAGAGTCGTCAGAAGGAGGGGTATCACGTTTTCTTCGCGTTGCACACCACAAAGCGTCCGTTGACGCTATTGGACTGCAACGCGCACCGTATTTCCTCGTGGGATCATTAAGAAAAATATCACAGTTGTAGCCGTCCGGGATTGTGATGCCCAGGCTTGCCTCTGCAGAGTTGTGCGTCAACGCTCTTGACGTCTAGAGGACGGTGTGCTGGCCACTGGGTATAACCTCTTGCGGCGAATAGAGGAGCGGGAAGAGGAAGCGCAATTGGCCGACGAGTTTAGGCATGGATGGCCTGCTGGACGTGGGGGTAAACACTGATCATGCGTGCGTAAAGGTCCGGGTGATCCCGCATGAGCACCTCAGGGTCCCAGGCACAGGCGACAAATATGGTGTCGATGCCGCTGCTCAAAGGAGTAGTAAAGATGTTGCAGATCTGCAGACCGATAAGAAAGGCGAAGGCGACTACCACAGGGGTGTAAGCGCCGTCTTGGTTATAGGCGGGCGAGGTGAAGATGAGGTAGAGATATGCGAGCAGCGCGCAGGCATAGGCGATGAAGGTGGCGCCCATCCCGAGGACCGGGCCAATGAGGCATTCGTTAACAAGAGCGTCAATGCCACGGTTCTTAATCATCCTGTCGGCGGGTCAGATGTCTCGTCGAATACGTTTCAGGGGAGACTACTCACGTCCAAGTATCCTTGGCAGCAGGAATATATGCTTTGCCATACAGGGCAATGTGCGAGAAAGCATAGCGATTGAGGAACTGAACGGCCCAGTCGAGCATTCCGATGATGCAGCCGAGGACGCAGAAGAGGATGGAGCCGATGAGGTTGCCTTCGGCAGCTTCTTGCTGCTGGGCAATAGAGCAAAGCTGGCGCAGGCAGTTGATGATGGCGACGATGAGGCTGCCAAAGCTTATAGATCCGAAGCTGTATGTCACGGAGCGCTTGAAAGCACCTCTCGTGGCACCATTCGGGAAGTTGTGGGAGCAGAAATACCACGAGCCGTATACGCCAGAGATGGTCGTGTGGATGGTGTTCTTAAGCCACTCGGAGATCCAGTAGGCAGCGAAAGTGATGAAAACCAAAAGGCCGATGACCTTGCCTTTGCCGCAACCGCCAGCACCAGTGCTGCAGGCAGGGTTGTTTCCCGGCTCATACTTGACGTAAACGGCGACCAGGGTCACGGAATACCAGGCGCCAAAGGCGGCGCCGACCAGGCCGCCGATGGCGCTGACCAAGTAGACGTGGCCGTATTTCTTGGAAACGTCAATGGCAGTCTGCAGCATCAAGGCACTAAAGGGGATGCGCGGGATCCAGCTGACGAAGGCGATGATCATGAAGATAGAGAAGAGCAAAAAGACAATGCCGCCAGACCAGTAGTGGCGCGACAGCATGTAAATGGCGGTGACGAAGCCGAAGATGATGTTCAGGATGCCGGTGATCCAGATGAACTGCTTGGTAAAGGCGCGGGCGAGCCAGACGTAGGCATAGCTGAAGACGATGGCAACGCAGAGACAGAAGACGAAGAGGACGATGGTGTTGGTGGTGAGGCCGAAGTTGTTTGCGCCGTTGTAGATGCCACCGCCATTGAAGCCCTTGGTGTGGGCTGAGACGCGTCAGTGGCCTGCACGTGCTGCTGGGCTGTAGCACTTACCGTAGCCTTGGATTGCGATGCCAGAGACGGCGGCGAAGCCCAGGAAGACGGCGATGAACTGGATGTAATGTCAGCGCGCAGTTGCCAGGGGCCGAGGCGCAACGGGGGCGTGCGCATACCAAAATGCCGGCCCACAAGTCATTGTATTTGGGTTTGTCCAGCTTGAAGGCCTGGTCGAACGTCGGCTTCTCGGCGTCTGCGCCGCTGGGCGGAGGGCCATTTGGTGGAGGATAGTTCTGGCCATAGTCCGGGGGCGGCTGGGCGTACTGCTTGGGAGGCTCGTTGGGCGGCTGGTAGGGCGCGGTGTTGTTGTGGCCGGTGTAGTGGGGATGTTGCGGCTGGCCTTGCGGTTGCTGGTAGTAGTCGTTGGATGCCATGGCTGCGAGGCGACAAGGCGAGGTGGCAGGTGGAATGCAGAACACAGCGAGGAGTTGGAGGGTGAGGGCCACAGGGCCAAGCTCACAAGCTTGTGGACATGACAGCATCGTGCCTGCCTCCCTGCACGATCGGCCCACCGCTTCGCCAAGACGGGTAAGGTGCCGGAGCCCCTCCACAGGCTTCGCTGCCGCCGATCATCGCACTTCACACTCAGGCCACCGCCTCAGTCAACCGCTGCACCGCTGCACCGCTCCAGCGTGCTCACGGCGGCGACGCGGCTGGTGTCCGGTGTGCCGCCCCGGATTTGCCACGCACAGAGCGCCGTCGCCGCCAGCTCCAGTGCGAATGTCATGGGCACCGTCCTGATGCCTTCGGTGCCACATGCAGCGCGAGCCTGTGTCCGCAGCATCGCTGCTGCGGAGGCCCTGTGGCCCTCAGCAACTGGCGCCGCAGACATGACAGATGGTATCAGCATGATGTCAGCATCAAAGTATAAACCCGGCCTCCTGGCCCGTGCCGTCGACGTTCAGGGCCCACATCGTTTCTCCAACTCCAACAATGCCTTATCCACAGCTGAGACTGAAAGACCCGGGTCACGAGTTCGCCAAGACGAAGCATATCCCCTTCCTCTTTGCCCAGCAGACCGTCTCTGCCGCCACCTTCGGCTACCATTTCTTCCTCTCGCTTCCCCCAGACTACACTGCGCTGAAGGACAAGCAGTGGCCCATGGTCGTGTTCCTTCATGGTGCTGGCGAATCGCAACGGGGCCCAAACGAGTCCTACGCCTGCCTGCGTCACGGCATCCCCAAGATCATCCTCTGCTACGACAGGCTCAAGGATGGCTCTGAGCCTAGCGTTACCATCCCCATGGCTGAGCGCTTGCGCTCGCGAGCCTCCAAGTCCGATCTCTCAGCCACTCCCGTCCCACCCGACGTGTGCTGCAAAGTTGCCGAAGAGTTCGTAACCCTGACTCCTGTTCTCGACATGGGTAAGTCGCCTTGTCGCGGGGTCGTCTTGCACGTACCGTCAGCCTGACCATGCTCACGCCAGCCAACGGCTGCGGCTGGAACGAGACCATCCTGACTTCGCTCCTCGACGAAGTCCTCCCCCATCTCCGCATCGATCTGCAGCGCGTCCACCTCACTGGCTTCTCCATGGGTGGTGGCGGCACTTGGGAGTTGGCACTGCATACTCCAAACCGCTTTGCCACTCTGGTCCCGATCTGCGGCTACGGGGACACTTTGAGAGCGAGTCAGATTGCCCATGTTCCGGAGTGGGTGCATCACGGCGAGCGTGATGGCATCATCGACATATCGCGGAGCGAGCGCATGGTTGCAGCGCTGAAGAAGGCCGGTGCGGATGTGAGATTCAGCAGATACCCCGACTTGGCGCATGATTCCTGGACAGAGGCATATAACGATATCGACTTGTGGACATGGATGCTGATGGTGAAGAGCGAGGTGCCTGCGGTGTCGGATATTCTACCGGAGGACGACAAGGCCACTGTTGCCTGACTATCCGACAGGTATCAAGCCACTATCTCAGGTAGTCCGATTTGTGCGAGCGCACTCCTGACAGTTCACTTGCATGTACGGCGGGTCGTTACTGGGAGTCGATTATATATGTAGGTAGGGGGAAGGAAAATCCAAACCACTCATCCCCGGTCGTAACCGCCGCAACTCGGCCCGCATCGCCCCGGCTCGGGCTCGAGCTCGAGCCGACTTGCCACTACCCTCGAGCACGGCCGACCCCACCCCACCCATGTATGAACATACATACCAAGAAGTCCTGCCTCTCGCCCACACCGCCCGGAACGCTCTCCGCCCCATATACCCACCCCAAACGGCGTCGGCGCCCGAACTCCAAGCAGTGAGCACCTCGATGGAGAACGTGCCCAATGTATTGGGCACCAAAACCCCACGGCCTCCGTTCGCATCAGACGCAGGGACAAAAACACCACCTGACGCATGTGCGCCTCCCCACCCCCAAAATCCTACGCCATCATGTTCTTTAATGCCGCGGCGGCTGGAGCGCTTGGCAGCAACGCGAGCGATTTGAGTAGTTGGCTGTCACTTTCCCTTTTCATTCTGTCTTCCCCGCCACAAGCTGAACTAACCGGCACGGACCGAGGTGTAACGAATCAGGAAAATGATTCCCACTAGGTCCGCGTGACACCGTCTTCACTCTCTGATCCGTACTCCAAACCACTGCAACCTCCCCTGGGTGCTCGTGCAGGCGCCGTGGTAGCATTTTGGGCACGAACTGTGTGGACCCCGTCACCACCACCCACTCTCACTCAGCTTCCTCTTCGCTAGTGGCGAGGAAGGGGATGAATCGGCGCCCCCAAGCTTAGTGCAGCCAGGAGCACCTTCAGCGCCATAAGCACCTTGTGAGGACAAAGCAGTGAGGCCATGTAGCTCTATTTTTGTTATCTAGTGCAGGCTCTACACAGAAAGCCGCCACCCATGATCCTCGGATGAAAGGAAGACATGAGCTACGGCATGTCTGGAAAACTGCCTGATGCTCCCTTTCGTCTGGTCCTAATTGCTAGCAAATCCCACCTCTCCTACGCATGCCCGCTTTGCACCAAAATTGATAAAGTGGATAAATCATATAGGGGGAATAATCGTGAAGAAAACCGAAAAAGAAACGCGGGATGCGCAGGTGCTGCAGTCCCAGAAGCAGAAAAGGCAATTGAAAACGCACAGGGTGAAGAAAACGGCGCGCTACCCTCAAGCAGCCGCCATGAAGCCGTAAACCTTTTTCGTGTCCGTACGAAGGAAAATGCAGGGGGGGGGAGGGGGGGCACCACCTCACAGCTTCGACGCATCGCTGCCATGCAGTCACTCGCCCTTTTGCACCTTCTCCACTCTTTTGAGAACGTGCGGGAAGAGAGGGTGCGATTCCTCCAGACCAGTGATCTGAGTCGTTGCCTCCTTCGCATCATTCTCCTTCAGGATCTTCGCGAGTTCTACACTCTCATCGTCGCCCTCAACGTTCTGGAAGCGTAAGGCCATCTCGGCAGCGCCAAGAAGGTGCTCGAAGCTCTCGCCCATCTCAGCGAGCTGCGAAGCGGGGCCTATGAAGCGCTCCTTGCGGGACAGCTTGCGGAGAGGCGCACGGCCAACACGCCTGACGTCGTCTTCAAGGGCGGGGTTGGAGATGCGCTTGATGATCTTCTCCACGTAGTCGTTCTGCTCCTCTGTCGAGATTCCGTGCTTGTTGACAATGAGGTGAGCGGTCTCGCGAAGGCAGTCGCGGACGATATCATGGATCTCCTTGTCTTGCATGGAGTCATGAATCAGCCTCTTGTTGCGGTTGTAGCCGTAATAAGCGGCCGAGGCATGCGAGGTGTTGACAGTGTACAGCTTGCGCTCAATGTAGGGTTCGAGGTGGTCGACGAAGTGAACGCCATCGATCTTCGGGTGTTGAACGCCTTCGAAGGGGGGCAGCTCAACGCACCACTCGAAGAACTTCTCGATCTTGACGTTCAAGCCAGCATCGGGGTCCTGGTGCGGGACAATGCGGTCAATGGCCGAGTTGGCGAAACGCGCCTTGGTGTCAATCTTTTGCTTGGTGTCATCCGACAACCTCTCCTCGATGAAGCCGCGCCATGTGTTGGTTGCATTGATGGCGTTCTCGCAAGCAATGATAGCCAGCGGGTAGTCGAGCGTCCTGCTCTCAATGCCCTTGGCAACGGGCTCGGCAATGAACTTGAGGATGTTGGGCCCGACAGCGCAGGTGACAACGTCGGCGGTTGCGATCTCCTCAATCACCTGGTCCAGCTTGTACTTGCTGTTGAGGGCACGATAATGGTCGATCTGGAACGTCTTTTCACCGTCGTCGCCAATTTCGGTGACTGTATAGCTCTTGGTCGAGTTCAGAGCGTCGATGATCTTGTCCATGACATCCACGAAGATGACCTCATAGCCGGATTTGTGCAAGCTGTGTAGGTAGAGCAATCAGCGGGAGTTCGCGCGGCTCGGGCTCGGTGGGGCGGGCGGCAGGGACAAGTACTCACAATTCGGCGACGAAGCCGCGACCGATGTTACCGCCACCGAAGTGAACCGCCTTCCTGTCGTACTGGGCCATGGTGTGGAGCGGGGGTGTGCGAGGCACGCGCAGGTATGGAAAGGGCGGAGAGGAGTGTACTGGTTGCTGGGAGCAGATGCGCGTCAGCACGGGGGTTCAGTATGCAGATGAGTGCGGAGGGAGTGGAGTACGTACCAACAGGCGCAGAAGTGAGGAGAAGGACGAGTGGAGGGGAACTGGGGGGTGGGTGCGGCAGTGATGTGTTTATGTGGTGCTGAAGGCGGGCGGGCGGCGGGGTTATGAAGGCGGCGGGGCAGCAGCGGCGCACCAATGGGGGCCTGCAGGTTGTAGATGCTCAGCGCAGGCCGGGCAGGCGCGCAACAGTAGCACATTCCGCCACGGCACACGAAGGGTTCGTGGCACAAGCCAGCAACCTAAGGAAGGGACTGGACCGGCGGCCCGCCTCAACAGCATCATGCTCACGCTGCCGCGCTGCGCTCACTTGGACGGCCCACGGGCGGGCGCCGTTAATACCGCAGGCGGCGCGCCGTGAGTGGCTGCGGGTTCGACAGCGCTCGGGCGCTACAGGGCTGGCCAGGGCGAACGCTGCCCAAATTGCCAGAAAACGGCGGGCTGGGTGTGACGCTGGCGCTGCGAGAGGCTGTGCACTGACACCCCTTCGCTGCCCACTTCCCCGGCGCACGGCGCGACGTCATCTTGGCGAGGTGGTTTCCGCCAGATATATGGGGCCCCTCGGAACAGGCCGCACGGAGCCTGGTGGGCGCTCCCCCGTACTGCGATGCGAGTGCCTGCCGCAGCGACGGCTCTGGGGAGCGCGGCACTGCGTCGCCTGTATCACATGCGACGGGACAGGCGCGCGTGCAGCAGGCGCGTGTTGTTTGCGTCGCGGGACAGGCGCGACGGGCGCGACGGGCGCGACGGGCTGCTGTGACCACGGCATCCGACCGGTGACGAAATGCGCAAGAGGGCCCACTCACTTGTCGGCGTGTTGCCGCTTCACGATGTCACGATAGTCCGAGATCTGGTCACCGCCGGCGCGATCGCAATCGAGCCCTCCCCCGTTTCACGATGCCGATGCCGCCACCTGCACTCGCCCTGCTGGTCGGCCCTTGGGCCTTTGCAGTGGCACCACGCCCTGCGCAGCCCTACCTTTTTTTTTTTTTAACCTTTCTTTGGGGTGCGAATGGAAGTGCCTTGTCTCATTTCCTAATGTGTCTCCCCATCTCTCTCTTTGGTGATTCGATCACCCGTTGCTCCCAACAAACCAGTTGCCGGATGTCAGCAGCGAGATGACTCTTCAGTGACCACCACGGCCTGCGTCACTCCCCTCTTTACGCCATGCCGCCGTTCGCCTCAAATACCTGACAGTTGACCCATCTGGGCCCGGACACGAAGGCGATGACCTCCGCTATCTCGTCGGGCTCGCCTATCCTACCGAACAGGGTCCAGGTCCAGCCATTGATGGTGTTGAGCAGCTGCTCGCTCTTGCCCTCAAAGAACAGCTCCGTGCCCGTGGGGCCGGGCGCTACAGCGTTCACAGAGATTCCCCTTGCGGCTCAGGTCCTTGGCCATCACGCGCGTCATCTGCTCGACGGCGCCCTTGGTCGTGGCGTACAGAAGATAGGTAGTTCGGCGAAATGCTCAGGAAGTGGCGGACGGAGGTGCTGATCAGCACAACGTGCGAGCCCGGCGGCATGTGCGGCGCTGCTTTCTGGATAATAGGAAGAAGAAGTCGATTAGCCTAAGGGCGGTGCAGCTGGGGCGGCAAGCGAGGGGTGAGGGATTAAAGGCCGTACCTGGCAGAGGAAGTAGGGGCCCTTCACGTTGAGCTGCATGGCTTTATCGAATCGGTCCTCGGAGGTTCCGGCCAGGTCGCACATTTGCAGGACGGCGGCGTTGGGTTGGGGATGAGAATGTCAATCCTGCCAAACTTGTCGACGGCGGCGCTCACCAGCCGCTCCAACCCGGGGATGCTGCCCGAGTCGGCCTTGACGGCGACAGCACGGTCGCTGCCAATGTGTTGCACCGGCTCGTCGGCGTCCTTGGTGGACGAGGCGTAGTTGATCACGACGCTGGCGGCGAGTGAGGCGAGCCGCAGGGCTGTGGCGCGGCCGATGGCTGCCGAACACGTGAGAATGGTGTCTGGAAAGGGGTGATCACAGCAATAACCCTTGGATGCGCCTGTGATGACGGCAACCTTGGCTGCGAGGCTGTCGGCTGGGGCTGGGGCGGACATGTCGGTGCTTGATTCGAAGGATGCAAAGGGGGAGGCTTCAATCCCGTGCTGGAGCCAGGGCACCACGAAACGAGACACCACCGGGCATCTATAGTGACTATAGCCAGGGCGGAGTTTGGGGCGGAGAGGAGACAGCAGCGGTCGTGCTGAAGACAAATGACTCAAACTGCCTCATCCAGTTAACATGCTTTCGTGTGCGTCGCTTCGGCCTGCTGACGTAACGTCGCGTGCGAGTCGAGGCCACAGACCGAACGCCCGATTTCCATCTCGCGGTGCTCTGGAGTCGGAGGATTGCACTCACTGCGTTCTGCAGGCTCGCCCGCGGAAAGGGCGGGGCAAATGCTCAAGCCCGCAAATCCCGTCAGCAACTGCTTGTCTGCTTGTCCGGGGAAAGAAGAGTGAAGCAGCCTTGACTCGGCCATGGCCCAATGCACAGTCTCTCCGCCAGCGGACGGAGCATCACGACGTTGCTGACGGCGGTGGCACCGGCGCTGTGCAGCTGCTGTGCGACCCAGCTGCACCTCGCACTCGCATGGCCCCCCCAGCTGCTCCGAGGCCGACGCTCGCTGCTTCCGTCCTCCCATGGCCGCTTCTTCTCCTCCACATCTGCTGCCATGCGCGCCGCCCGCCCTTCCTCGCGCCATGGACTCCCCTTATTCGCCCTCCTCCACGCCTGGCTTGCGCTGGGCAGCGACCTCGGTCAGGTCCCGCTCTGCTACTACCCGGACGGCACCGTCGCGACCAACGACTATGCCTGTCGCCTCGACACAGCCGAGTCCTTCTGTTGCACCACTAATGTCAGCTGCCTCGACAACAAGATCTGCGACGTCCTCAACCCCACCCAGTACCGCTTCAACCGCGGCACCTGCACCGACAAGACCTGGACCTCTGCCGCCTGTCCGCAGTTCTGCCAAGGTGAGAGGCTGGCCCTGGGCTGCTCGAGAATCGCCGCCTGACTGTTTCGACAGCGAAAGTTCCCGACTACGGCTGTGGCATAATCCGCTGCCCGGACGCTGCCGGGAAGGTGTGCTGCGATACCGACCACAAGGATGCGACGGCTACCTGCTGTCAGGACCCCTCCAACTTGTTCGATCTTGGCGGTGCCTGGGATTCCTTCAGAATCATCGACACGAGCGCCGCCAGCTCGACAAAAAGCCTTTCCTCCTCAACCTCGACCTCTGCCATCGCGACCGGCTTCGAGACACCGGCGCCAGCCAACGGCGACGGCGGTGAAGGAGGAGCAGCCTTATCGGCCGGTGCGATTGCAGGGATTGCAGTTGGCGGCGTTGCTGGACTGGGCGGTCTGGGGGCGTTGGCGCTGTGGTGGATGAGGAGTAAGAAGAAGGGTAGGAAACCGGAGGATCATCCGGCGGCGGCAGAGCTCGATGGCATGGGGATGCGCCACGAGATGAAAGCGGGAAATGCGAGGCATGAACTGGGTGGGAGAGAAGCGCCCCAGGAGCTGTGCTCTGGTGATGAGAGACACGAGATGGAAGGGTCCTCGCCGCTGGATCGGAATTTAGTGGATCCCCAGGAGCAGGGAAAGGCTTCGTGGTGATAATCCATGTCCTCCGTCGCACGCTGTCTATTCAGACGTTGGGTCGAGGGAGGGATGCTAATCGGGGAAGGGGAGGAACATCCCTGAGGGGGTGGCGTTCACTAGGAGGCATGTGTATAGAGTTGCGCATTCTGCCAGGTTTCAAGTATATTTTATGATAAACCAGCATTCCCAAGTCATCGAACATCACATTCCACACATCACCCCAAGTCGGATATACCTAACGTGCAGTATTATTTACGCACTTAAATCTCTAGCATCATCCCCATAACCCCCAATCCCACCACAACAACAACCTCTGGCACGCCTCTCGCCACTCTCGCAGCACCTGTTGCACTCGCCGTTGCCGTGGCCGTCACCGTCACTGTATTCGCCGCCCCATTCGCCGACGACGTCGAGGCTGCTCCATCGTCGTCATCACTTCCCCAACACCCGCTCTGGCAACCCATCTCCTGCTCACAGTGCTCGCTTGTGTTCCCGCAGAAGCCGGCCTTGCTGCAACATGGCCCATATCCGAATACACCCAGCTCCTCGAACGCGTTGGCGGCGGCGGATGCGTCGCACAGCGCATTGTTGTGGTCGATGCCGCACTGGCCGTCACAGCGCGGACTGGTACCCTGCGAAGACCAGCTGCAGGCGGGATTGCCGAGCGTGCTGCTATTGGGGACGTGGCAGAGGCCGAAGAGGGGCTGGCACCCGGGGTCCGAGCAGTAGCGTTTATCGCCACCGCAGAAGCTGTGCATGCTGCGTTGGGAGCCTTGCGCACGGAGACTTGTAGGACTTGCTACTTACCCGTTTTGGCTGGGGAGAGCAGAATCGAGTGTTAGCAAGCGCTACCTTGGGTGTGGGAAGCGGACGGACCTGCAGCATGGCGCTATACCGTCGAGCACACAGACGGTGTTGTTGTGGTCCGGTCCACACATAGCGTCCGTCGTGGTTGGACCGGTGGGTGTAGGATGCGTCGCGTTCGTCGCATTAGTGGCAGTTGTGTTGTTCTCGCCCTGTGGTTCCTCTGTCGCTCCGAGAACCAGCAGTGAAGTTAATAAGGGAAGGACGAATAACGCCACCATGGTTGAGGGTGTTGAGATAGATCAAACGCGCCAAATGCGAACGGGTGGGAAATGATAAATGGAGCTGAGATCTTAGAGCGGCGATGGCTACTTTGTGGCCTTGGCTGGACCCGGTGTGCGGGCAACCGACTCGGTGGCACCGATTTAAGGCTCCATAAGCATCAAGGGTGGGTGCATGAATCCACGGGAAATGCGGAGCAGACACATGGCAGGATCACTCGTACATCTAGCTTTTCCTGAAAGAGAGCAATAGTATATGAAAGCTGAGCTCTTCTAGGGTGTCACGGCATGTTTGTGTTACTGGAAATACGAGCGAGGACGAATTTGACGGATATTGGCCCCGGGAGTAGCAGACAAGATGGCTTGAGAGTTCTGGTATTAATTGAGCGTATTGACATGTTCTCAAAACTGTTTGGCCGATTTCATGCTCCGGTGGACCACCGCAGGGTAAAAGGTTCGAGGCGATGCTGGTGGTTGCACAATCACACTGCATAGGCTGACATGCATACGTAAGTTCAGGCTAGCTGCTCCCCACTGGTCTCGATACTCATATGAGTACAATGCTGTTAGCAGATGGCTGAATACACGGGCAAGAAACCAACATTATAACCGCTCATAGGCTTGAGGACAAACTTTGAGCAAACGCTGGATTCAGTGGGATCCGTCTGCAATAGAGGCGGGCAAGACAGAACATAAGTTGAAAAGACACTTCGTTTTTTGATATTCAAAAGTCTAAAAGTATAGTAAATAGCAGTGGTGGTTATAACAAATAAAAAAACGCTATCTGGGCGCGTGGTATCCATCCCGTCCTCCCTTTATTCGACTCAGCTCGGCGCCGGCACCCGGGATAAATAATCGTCTTCTTCAGTCCCGCCCGCATGATTTCACGCAGGTGGACTGTGGACACCGCCGGAGCCGAAGGAGGAGAGAAGATGTTGGGGCTAAGAGTATTGTGGCCTCGCTTGTTGCTGCCTATTGAGGTAGGCGAATGAGAATTAAGAGAGAAGCGGAAGAGCAAGTCGCTTGCGAAGGACCTGCCTCTTGGCCTTGCCGAAGCCGTTGCCGAAGCCACTGCTGAAACTGTTGCCGAATCCGAATCCAGTGTTGCCACCGCCGTTGTTGTTGTTGTTGTTGTTCCCGCCATTGCCGTTGTTCTGGTTGTTGTTCTGGTTGTTGTTCTGGTTGTCGTTCTGGTTGTCGTTCTGGTTGTCGTTCTGGTTGTCGTTCTGGTTGTCGTTCGAGTTCCCATTATTGTTTCCATTGTTCGCAGTATCAGCCGCTGCCGCTGCACTCGCCGCTGCACCAGCGTTGTCTGTACCGTTGATCAAGGCCTCAGCCGCCGCGGCGCCCGCACCACCGCCAGCGGCGCCGGCCGCCTGGTTAGCCTCGATCGCGGTTTTGAAGTCGGCCTGGTTGACCTGGATCTGCTTGGAAATACCGTCGAGGGTCTGGGCGGTCTCAATCTCGCCAGCAGCTTGATCCTGGGGGCGGCCGTCGTTGTCGGTTTGCTGCACAGCGAAGCAGCCGCCGAAGGGGCCAGCAAGGGCGTTGTTACGGCAGCGCACGGTGCAGATGTTGCCGGGGGATGCTAGAAGGCAACTTGGTCAGGTTACGGGCTTGCATGGTTGGGAGAGAGGAGTGCTCACCGCCAGTGCAGTTCAGGTTGTCGGGCATCTGAACGTTGATGGTAAAGTCCTTGAATTTGGCGTCCGACAGACCGTTCTCGCCCGGCACATTGTTGGAGACTTGCAGCTTGGTGAAAGTACCGGTGTTGCTCGTCTCGTCCAAGTCGCACTCGTAGGGACCGGCACCGTCAGCATTCACTTGGTGAATGGTGACAGCGACGGATGAGCCCTTGGCCACTTGGGTCATGCGGTTGGCTGACAACTCGTTCTCCGTCTGCTCGCCAACGTCGATGTTACCGTTGAGCTCGGTGCGGCCACAGCCGTTGACGATGTTCTGGGTGATCTCGGCATCGCGGATGATGGTGCTGTCCTGTTGGCAGGGGTTGATTTCGGTGCAATTTCTCGCAACGTTTTCATTGACTGCGCTCTGGGTTAGCGACTAGAAACAGCCAGGAATAGCCGGCATACGCACCGAGGAAGCCTTGGCTCTTGCCCTTGTCGCCCTCGGCTGCAAGAATGACGCCGTGAGCGTAAACGGTCGACGCTCCGGCCAGAAGGGCCACAAAAGAGTTGAACTGCATGTTTACGAGTGGTTTGAATAAAGGACGTGGCCGGCACGGAGGGCAAATAATAAAAAATAAATCAAAAGATGGTAAACGTGTGTTGAAGAGAAAGTAAGTAATTAGAACCACCAGGGCCCGAGGATGGAATGGGATGGAATGGAAGTGATGAGCGAAGGCTGGTGAGCAAGAGGGTGAGCTATGGTGTCGCTCCCTCGGGCTTTTAGCTAGCTGGTGGTTGCTGGCAAAGACCCACTATGGGCGACGGCGAAACGGTATTGCTACAGCGATGCGGCTTTGAGGCTCGGGTGGGCGGGCGGCTGCTCACACATGGGCCTAGCGGGCAAGTGGCAGAAGGCCCGTGACGCGAGTTTTGGAGTAGCGGAGAACAGTGGGGCGCGGCGGAGCGAGGGTGCCCAGATGGTCAAGCCGCGCGACAGCTGGGCGAAGCATGAGCTTGGCACGTCTTGGATCTTCAGCGTTTGGCGTCAGAACAGACCAGCGCGCCGAACGAGCAGCCGTGTTGGTGTTCGCGAGCAGGTTTAGGCGCGGGGGTTGCGGCGCACGGCCTGCTGGGGCATGCGCCTCATACCCCATCGGGCCAACTGCAAGATAAGCATAGAATTATGCTCTGCGGCAGCGCTCCACTCTCGGCGTCGGGGATGCTGGATGCTGGATGCTGGATGCTGGATGCTGGAAGCGTCGGCATTGCGTGCGGCGGGCGAGGCGTGGTGGTTCGACGTTCCTCGGACGGCATGCGAGGCGCGACGCTGCGGTTCGAGAAAGATCAGGCGACCGCAAACGGAGATCTCGACTTGGTGCACTTGGTGCACTTGGTTCACTTGGTGTTTGGAGATGAGACCCACGATGCGTGAGGTTGGAGTTTTGGAAAACGCGGGCGCTAGGGGCAGCCGAGCCGCCGCTGATGACTAACCCGCGCCTGCTCGTTGCGGCAACCCGCCAGCCTCCCGTCTCGACTTCTCTGCTCACAAACCACCCCAACACCCGGTGGGTCAAACAGATTGTTGTCGCCCTCCAAACCGCCGCCCCGGCAAAGACGACCCTCGCATTGACCCATGCAGCTCCCATCTCAACTGCCAAACTGCCGAACTGCCCTTGCCGCCACCCTCCCTCTTGCCCATGCCAGTACCCACCCGCCGCCACGGGGGATAACTGCTGCTTACGGACTGTTGCGTCGCATTCTTGGCACGAGGCTCTCGTTTCGTCGCCTGCTGCCGGTAGAGGCTGTGGAAGAGGCGCCTGCGGAAGTCTGCATGCGGCAATCCGGCGGTCGAGACAAAAGACGACCTACGGACGACTACCTACCTCGGTGCAATATATCTCCGAGGCACTACGGTCTCCGCTATATAGGTATTGATCCAAGCTGCAAGACCCATCCGGCACTGCCAGTCAAGAAATGGGGCTTGTCTGTGTCGGATCGACCGCCGTGGACGATAAAGCTACGGCAAGCGAGTACTGATGCCGATCATGGTGGGGTACGCGGTGAGAGCTGATCCAGCCTTGTCGTCTGCAGCCTTGTCATAACTTTCGAAGCCTTGCATCTGCCCGCACTTTCTTCGCGCACTGAAGTCCTTTCATCTGTGTCTCCACCTGCAAAAGACGTCGACGCAATGATCGAGCCTCCTGCTCAGGTCATTCCCGCGCGCCGAGGAGCTGCAACTCTCATCCGTCGCGGCCAACGCATCAAAGTCATCAACACGTCCGGTACACAGGTCGTCGACACATGGGCCTTCGCCCTCCATACCGCCGCCACCGCCTCTTCTGGCTCCCCGCCGGACGCCCCCCTCTTCCCTGCAGCCACCGCTTCCTCACTCACTTCATACAGCTCCCCGGCCAATTTCGCCGCCAGCGTGCCTGAGTACACATCCATGAGCCACACGCGCGCCAGCCTCGGCAAGACACATCCGGCAGTCGGCGATGCGCTGTACAGCCAGAAGCGCGCCCCCATCATGACCATCGTCGAGGACACATCACCGGGCGTTCACGATACGCTCATTGCGGCGTGCGACCGGTGGCGCTACGCCGAGCTCGGCATCGAAGGGTATCATGAGTCTTGCACCGACAACTTCTGGGATGCGCTAGATGCACTCCTATCTGCATCATCCTCATCGGCCGAGGCTGGTGGTGGGCTGGGTCCGAGCCTGAGCCCAGAGCAAAGGGAAGGGTTGAGGCAGCTACAGGCGAGGCTGGGGGGAAGGGTCCCGGACCCATTCAACCTGTTCATGAATATCCCGACGGCAGGGACCGCGTATGTGAAGGACTTGAGCTTCGAGCACCCCGTGACGAAGCCGGGGGATTACGTCGTGCTTAGGGCGGAGAGAGATGCGGTAGTTGTCATGAGCGCATGTCCACAGGAGGTGCTGGATATTAATGGAAGAAGGCCGAGCGATGCGCACTTTCAGGTGTTGGATGAGTAAAGTGTGAAGTCTGGGGCGAGGGGAGATGGGAAGACGAAAGAACGGCGTCTACTGTGTGCTGTTACTCCACCAACGTTCTTGGAGCCCATCGTGGGGACTTCGCATTTCATCTCGTCCGCGAGGATTGGCGACTCGGGTTTGGCGTACTCGCATTGCGGCTTACCGACCATGCTGGAACTGGGCTATAGCCCAGAATTCTTTGCTTAGACGAAATGGCCAAAGCTAGACTCTTTCATCAAGCATCTTATCACACCGTGGCAAATATTACAGTTTCCAGGCGTTCACATGCCAGCCTTGTTCTTCCTCAGCCTTGGTCTGTGGAGCGGGGTCCGACTTTTTCCCCGCCTCTCGGGATATGCAAGGCTGTAGGCATCTGACACCTGACACTTGACCTTCTACTTTAGGTCAATACCCCTAATTCCCATGCTACTTTAGCGCCCATCATTTCGCAAAGGGGTATGGCATCCTCTCAGTCGTAGGAGCGTGGTTCTGGTGCTCGTTACGCGAACATCTTGAGTGGGTTATAAACATAACACTTTTCTATGCAGGGGCATGGAACGAACGGCCAGCTTTTTCTGCTATATTTCCTGGGTGAGCAGGATCCCTTAAGGAACAAACCGGAAGCTTTGATATAAGTGAGCTGCGTTGCTTGGGGACATAGTGTACGTATCATTCGGATGCATGGAACTCTCGAGGACCCACCTATCTTGTACCTATCTTGTGGACATACATCAAGTACTTGTTTTTTTTTTTTTTTCATGAGAGCGAGCATAGCGGTGCGCCAATAGGCGATAGCGTTCATAGACGGAATATATGCTCCTGGTGCATACCTTATGGAGAGTGACAGCGGAATCAGAATAGCAAGACTCAGTTTTCAACTTTGCGCAGCCCCCGACATTAGCGGCTCCGGTTATTCCCGCCTCTAATACTACAGTGATTCTTTCCATGTTCAGCGTGCAAGACCAAACACTAAACCACTAAGAAGTAGAATACCACTACATAAACTACCAGTATGACAAGGATTGCAGAAATTCCGCATACTAGCAATCTTGGAAGGGTTCACATGCAAATGTTAACATTATGATCAAACTTAGATTGACCAGCTTCAGCCATCGAGACTTTCCTCTGAAACATTCGATGGTCATCAACATGAGCATAACACCATTCGTTGATGGCATGGGGAATAAGCATGGGGCTGTGGGACAAAACGTGCATATTCGCATTTCTTGACTGGTGCGACAGTAGTTGAGTAAGACGAGCCGTATAAAAGCCCACTCGCTTGGCAGCCGGCGACACTGACCTATGACTACTGCAATTCAAAGTTTTTTTTCTCGTGGTCAGTGATGGCCTGTACCTTCTGAGCACTCGCGCTTGATGGGTCAAACCGATAGCCCAGCCACTCCTTGGCCAATCGCCGCGCAACCTCCAAACCAACTACCCTCTCACCCATGCAGAGTACTTGGGCGTCGTTGCTCAGGATCGCCCTCTCGACGCTGAAGCTGTCGTGCGCCGTAACAGCACGGACGCCGGGAACCTTGTTGGCACTGATAGCGACGCCCAGCCCAGTGCCACATATCAGGAGAGCGCGATCCGCCTTGCCCTGACTGACCAACTTCGCCGCGTCGACGGCGATATGAGGGTAGGCGGTTTTGTCGTGGTTTGCGTCGACGCCAACGTCTGTTACCGACGACACCAGATCGTTATTCTCGAAGTCGGCTTTGATAGTGTTCTTGTAGCTGACGCCGGCGTCGTCGCAGCCGAGGGCGATGCGGAGGGGTTTAAGATCGGACATGGCTGATGCCACGAGGCACTATTCAAAGAGGGCAGCGCAGTCGTAGGTAGCACCCTTCTTTGCCTCGTTTGAGGAGGTGTGTGACTCTTTCTCAGTCTTGGGTGTCCACGATGAGTGGTGCTCGGTATGGTTCGGCCCGGAAGTACAGCTGTGCTCAAGCTTAAGGGGCTTGTTGGTAATGGTGACTTTAGCTGTGCCGGTGACGGGCTGATCCTGGCTGAAAACCTTGGTCTCGCCGGTGTTGTTGTTGACTGTTCGCTGGTAGTAGTTTGAGGCGTCGACGTTGAAGCCTGCGGAGAGCTTGACGTGCTTCTTCGACATGGTGGCGGCTGACGGCGCTTATGTATTCCGGTTGAGCACGGCGATTGAGTCGGAATGGTCTTGCAGGACCAGCGGCAGCAACAACCCCGCCTCGAGTGCGTACGTGCCCGGGTTTCCTTTTTCGGGATATCCGGCGAGCAGTGAGGGCAAACGGCACACCGGCTCGAGGGCGCACTGGGACCTTCGCGTCGGAATACTCTTCTCAGAAGCGACTTGGGGGGAGAGGTTCTGGGGGAACGGTGTCTCTGACCGCTCAGTGAGCGCTTGTGTTGCTCGGAAGCTGGAAACGGCTGGGGGCTGGAATGACGTGAATGACGTGCACGAGAGCGGAGGCGAGGCGTCGAGCTGGGGAAATGCGGGGGATCCAAGCGAAGCGAGATGACTAAGCGGGCCCTCGCACACACATCTGCGCTGCGTGCCTCGGCCACCGCACCACGGCACCTCGTGCTTCGCCGTCACCCTGTGGCCGTGGCAGCCCATCGCTGACAGGACATCAGTGCAGCCTCTGAGCTGGCCGTGCGAGGCTCGTTGACTCATGCATGTGCGAGGCTGAAAAAGCTGAGGCAGCGACGCAGCCAGGCAGCAGTCCACTGATAACAAGCCGCAGGCGCACAGCCAGGTGGACAGCATCAAACGGGGCTTTCGTTTACCTTGATTGTGCACCGCTCTTCAAACCCTCAGTCTCCGTGCATCGTTTGCGATTCTTGCAACCACGTACCTTTTCCAAATGTCGGCACGGGACCCTTCAAGTCAGGGCATCGTCTCCTTGGCGAGGCCTTTCACTGTCGCCGAAGAGCTTGCGCACCTGTCGGTCAGTCAGCAGGCCTACCTCCAACGTCATCCACAATGGCAGCAGCTCGCAGTCGGCGCACTCGTCTTCAATGCCGGCCGGTTGCTGCTCGTCCAGCGCAGCGCGACAGAGCGCGCGTTTCCGAACGTCTGGGAGGTGCCGGGCGGGTCCGTCGATGCAGACGACGAGACAGTGCTGCATGCAGTGGCCAGAGAACTCGAGGAAGAAACAGGGCTCCACGTCACGTCCATCAAGCACGAGGTCGGCGTGGGAGTGCAGTTCCGGACGGGGTCGGGAGAGAAGACGACGAACTGGCTCAAGGTCGCGGTCGAGGTCGAGGTGGCTGAGCAAAAGGCCGAGGCAATTGCCATCAGGCTTGACCCCGTCGAGCATCAGGATTACTTGTGGGTCGAGGAGGAGGACGTCAGACGCGGCGAGGTCAACGGCACGCGGCTGGAGTTCATGACGGCGGACCAACGGGCGCTGGTGCTGGAGGGCTTCAGGCTGAGGCGGCCGGCGGCGTAGTCGATGGTGTCTGGTGTCTGGTCAGAAGGGGACAGTACGGCCGTATCAAGAGAACATCACCCGATCGGGGTGGCAGATCTACAGCATTCGATAGATGAGGCCGGCAGGGTGCACTCTACCTCGAACACGAGCGCTTCTGGAACGCAAAAGCAGATGTGATATTTAAAATAATCCTCCAGCGGCCAGGGTGTCAGGCGACGGCGCGGGCCAATCAGCATGGCCTGCCCATTCTACAATAGGGGAGCTGTGCGCGAGGCACGGCTGTGCGGGCTCAGCGCGGGCTCAGCGCGGGCTCAGCGCGAAGCGTTTGCGGGCCGCTGCGGGCCTGTATTCCTGACGCCGTTAGCAGCGGCAGCTCGGCGGCCGCTCATCACTCACAGCGACCGCACGCGAAGTGCCAACGGCCAGGCGCAAGCTTCTCCACATTCCCTCTGGAGGACCTGGCAGCTTCAGGTGTGATCGGCCGCAAGGATCTGAACTCTGGCACCTTTACCTAGGTAGGCTCCCGCCCGCTCGAGCAGCGCCCCCCCATCGCCGCCAGCTCCACTGCACCACCAACACCATGGCCCAGGAGGGCAGCTTCATGGCCATGGCCGCGCCCTCGCAGCCGTCGGGCTCGCAGCCGTCGGGCTCGCAGTCGTCCACGCACCCCAGCTTCCGCAGGTGAGTCGCGCGCTGCTGCTGCTGCTGCTGCTGCTGCTGCTGCTGTGCGAAGCCGTCCCTGACCGCGTGGTGCGAAACAGGCAGCGCGCTTCCCGGGCTTGCGAGGTACGTCTCCCATGGCTGGTCCGCTGCCGTTGCGCGACGCCCACACGCGTTTGCCTCGGTACCGAGGTTGTTCGTTTGGCTGACAACTGACAACCCGCGCGCGACAGACGTGCCATGCACGAAAGGTTCGTGACCGCCCTTGCCCGCCCGCCCGCAGGAGCTCAGGAGCTCACCAGCGCGCCCCCAGGTCCGCTGCGATGCCGCCAGCTTGGGCGTGCCCTGCACCAACTGCACCGCCTTCGCCATCGAGTGCCGCATCCCCACGCCCAAGCGGAAGAAGACGGCGGCCAAGAAGGAGACGGACAGGTGCGTGTCGAGAGAGCTGCGCGACAGAAGCCCCATGCCCCGGCTGACCTCTCGCCCACAGTGACCAAGGCTCTACCACGCCGCAGAATGGCGCTCCCAGGCGCGAGTCCACCGCCGCCGCCGAGTCGCCTGCCCCCACCGTCGCCACCACCGTCTCGAACCCGACCGGGCTGAACCTGAGTCGAGACGAAAAAACCACGGTAGTTAACTCTCCTGACGGCATTCCCTCCACGAGCCTGCCGCCCACCTACGCAGCCCAGCAAGCCACTCACAACCGTTCGTATGTGCAGTTCATGAAGCCCAAGTTTGCCCGCGCACCCATCAAGGAGGCCGGCCGCGTCGCCTACCTGGGCGAATCGTCCAATCTGTCCCTACTCGTCCACGATCGATACGGAACCACTGATGTCGTACACTATCCGCTCCCGGAAAACGTGCGGGGGGCAAAGGCCCGCGTCAACGAGCTCGACGACATGGAGATCAACATTCTACACACCCGTGGCGCCTTTCTGCTGCCGCCCCGCGCTCTTTGCGACGAGCTGGTCGACGCCTTTTTCAGATGGGTTGCCCCCGTGGTGCCCGTCATCAACCGTAGCCGTTTCATGAGACAGTACCGGGATCCCAAGAACCCGCCCTCGCTGCTGCTTCTCCAGGCCATACTGCTCGCCGGATCACGTGTGTGCACCAATCCCCAGCTCATGGACTCCAGCGGTTCCACAACCCCGGCCGCCATGACCTTCTACAAACGCGCCAAGGCCCTTTTTGATGCAAATTACGAGGATGACCGAGTCACCATGGTGCAGGCGCTTATCTTGATGGGCTGGTATTGGGAGGGTCCAGAAGGTAATGGATTCGCCCTCCAAACGCCGTTGAGGCTGCGCTAAGCTGCTCCAGATGTGACCAAGAATGTGTTTTACTGGAGCCGGGTCGCCATCGTGGTGGCTCAGGGCTCCGGCATGCACCGAAGGTACACGCTCTCGTTCCAACTCAAGTCGACCATTGTACTAAGCTCCCTCTAGCGTCGAGGGATCCCAGCTCAGCCGGTCGGACAAGCGGCTCTGGAAGCGTATCTGGTGGACCCTGTTCTCGCGCGATCGCTCCGTGGCGGTTGCGCTAGGACGGCCGGTGGCCATCAACCCCGAGGATTCCGATGTCGAGATGATTTCCGAGGACGACTTCATCGAAGACGAGCCCGACCGCCCGGCAGAGTACAACCCAGATCCCGTTCACGTCCAATTCTTCATCAATTACGTCAAGCTCTGCGAGATCATGGGGCTCGTTCTGTCGCAGCAGTACTCGGTGGCTTCGAAATTCCGCCGCACCAATGCCATCGATCTTACGCACAGCGATATGGCGCTTGCTGATTGGCTGCAGCACTGCCCCAAAGAAGTGTATTGGGAGAAGTCCCGCCACCATTTTTGGTCGGCCTTGCTGCATGCTAATTACTAGTGAGTGAAGAAAAGTCGTCTGAGTCTTGCAGCAACTGACATGCTGTAGCACCACTCTCTGCTTACTGCATCGTGCCCACATGCCTCCGGCGGGTTCGCCACGGACCGATCCAATGGAGCAGTCGGCTTACCCTTCGCGTACGATTGCATATCAGGCAGCCGGCATGATCACCTCCATCATTGAAAGCCTACAGAGCCATGATGAGTTGCGTTACACGCCTGCTTTCATGTACGTTGGGGTCGCCGAAACCTGACGTTGTCGTTTTCTGACAGCCCACAGTGTTTACAGTCTATTCTCCGCCTTGATCATGCACGTGTACCAGATGCGTTCTTCCAACAAATCCATCGTCGCCGCCACCGAGCAAAGGCTATCCATCTGCATGACAGCCTTGAAGGACGTCTCAAGGGTCTGGCTTGTCGCAAAGATGGTCCACACCCTCTTCGAGTCGATTCTCGGCAACAAAGTCCTGGAGGATAGGCTCCAAAGGGCGGCTGGGAAGAGACATCAAAAGAACCGGCCAGCGAACATGTCTCAGCCTCAGCCACAGGCGCAACACACGGCGGTACCCAAGCCGAAGGATGAGTTGAAACGCAAATTCGACGAGCTCGACATGAGCTTTGCAAGCGGACCGCCAGCACCGCAGGTTTCCTACGAGCGCTCAAGGCCACAAACGCCAGCGGTCACGCCATCCCGAGACATACACCCACCTCAGATTCCCACGATGACTGCACAATCGCCCGACATGACGCGGCAAAACAAGGATGCCTTCATGGGGCCCTCGCGGTCAGGGACTCGTCCAGGCAGCCCGTTCAATCCGTCATTCTCGTATCCTGGCACTCCTCCGGACCTGTTCCTTGTCACCAGAGACACGCCCGGGCTGTCGCAAGACATCTGGCAGAACTTCCAGCCGGATCAGCTTTTTCCTGCTGACACGAATCTTTCATTCCCCAACATCTCACCAACACAGCAGCATTCCATGGTGGATCCGCAGCTCTCGCGTCAGATGTCAATGCATGCACCAAACCCAGGTGTGCAACAACAATCGCCTCCGGTGGTATCTGGGCAGCCTTCTTTGAACACCAACGGAGTGGGGGCGATGCCAATGGCTCAGAGTGGGCCGCAGGGCGATCCCAGCATATGGGCACACATGGATATGGTAAATCAGCAGCAACAGTCGGGGAATGAAGAGACGTGGAGCAACAGCAGCCGGGGGCAGCCAATCGCACCAACAACGCTTAATGTTGAGGATTGGTATGTTTTCCTTTCCTCACAGCAGTACCCTCAAGGCTTTCCACCGCCGGCCGCTGCGTCTGCTGCTCTGAACTCTATGGGATTTGGATAAATATCACAATAGCAACGGACATTTACTGACAAGCGGCGTTTCTGGTAACAGGTTTCACTTCTTCGGCATTAATGGCGACGTGAGCGCTCTAAACGGCGGCTACTAGAATGACTGCTGTGCTTGCTGAGCCCCCGTGCACCGGGACACACGGTGGGACGGGGCATCCATAAAAGGTGTTAGTCAGCGTTACGGCCGTCCCCATTCATAAACTGGATGTGGCTTTGCTTCTTTCGACTTACGGACAACCCGGCTTTGTGGCTATGCGTTGGTTTCGAGCATTGCTTATTCCGGTCAAAGCGTATCTTGCGGCAGCTAATCGCCCGCACCTCGTTTCTTTACGTTTCGGATTTTTCGCGAATCACAGGCAGAAGCGGCGATGTTGTGCCTTGTTCTCATGCATTTCACAGCTTGGCGTATATTGGCTCTCTGCACATCATGTCGACCGTGTCCGATTATGGGGCGCAGGCTGGCGCTTTCAAATCACGCACGTCGATCTAGGCACAACTGCGATGTATAATAGGTACGTTGTGCTCGCTCGAAATAAGCGCAAGCAAAGAAGCTTGGGCTATGGGTAACCCCACACCATCTGAATACTCCCCTCTGGTTGTGATGGTCTATTGCCGGCCGAGTCTTGTGCAATGCAAACCTTCTTCCATGCTCGGAGTGAATGGCAGGATCGACAGAGTTGTACACCTGCCTCCTCCGTTGAGACCCCGTTGATCCTCATGTTGTCCTGGTGCGGGCATACCTAGCAGCCGTAGGCGGCGCGAGACATGGGCAACAGGCAACATCCTTGATTGGCATCGTCTCTTTGGGTGGTGCTACTGCATAGACTAAGCCAACTGCATGCCCCCTCCGCAGCAGGGCCCGGCGTGCCTTCATAGCTCTCCGGATTGATAGGCTTTTCCAGCTCACCAACCTTGCTCGTGTGGCCTGATCTTCGGCGCCATGGGAAATTCAGCAAACCGTCCAGGAAAAGACTCGGGGTGACCACCCTGTAAAACCCCACAAACCCGCCACCCTTCGTACCCCGTCTCGAGATGCCGCGCTATGATCGGGGCGCTAACCAAGCAAAAGCGGCCGTAGCGGGAGGAGCAACAGTGCTGTGTCGATCATCCTGCCCGGCTGACCTTGCCGCACGTACCTACCTTAACTCCTGCTCCCCACCTGCCCTGTGGATCTCTTCTTCAGCTCGCCATTTTATTCGCCTGGCCATCACCCTACGCTTAGAACGGCCCGAGGATCAACGTTAGTGTCGTTATACTCGTAACGCCGAGGAGCATTATGCTTCTGCGTAGGATCAGGTGCCCAGCCTTTGACGGAGTCCTGGGCCCACATACCACTCTCCATACCATCAGACCGAGGAGATATGCTTCAGCGTAGGCCACGTGCCAGGTAGCCTTTCAATGGCCCTTCTCGGCCGAATGCACTAGATTGCCACTCACAATCTACTCTCGCAGCACCCTGGCGTGGAACCCCGTTTACTTCCACTCCTGGATACACAGCACCGGTTTCGTATCTGTTATCACCATGCTTCTGTTGCACCATGCTAGTCTACGCTTAGCTAGCCGTAGCGAGGCTGTGGGGGCCAGCGGCGGCGGTTTCTCGGGGTAGATGGCTACCTAAGGTATCATGTCAAAGAGATGGGGGAGAAAGGCTCACAATACAACTAACCAGTCAAGAAAACAGTGACGGGTTCAGAAAGAGAGATAGATGTCCCTTCCATTCTTACTAGAAATCCAAGAACCAGAGCAAGCTATTAGAAACAACGAAGTCCGGGCTTATGAGTATTTCTTGCAGAAGCCAGAAAGTAAAATCAACCTCTTCTTTACTTATGAAAGATTTTGGAAAGATTTTGTTCATGGCGAATGTGTTATAACCTTTAAAACCTTGACACACAGCGAGGATATTTAGTAGTTGGTATAGTAAGTATATCACAACTTATAATGATGAATGCGCGACATGTCTACGAATAAATACGTCGGATAAGGCTCGACCAGCTCACCCTTGCCATAACAAGCGAGCCAGTCTTTCGAACTGTTTGCACTCGTGCAACGCCGATCGCTCTTCTCGGAACTCTGTTGTGGCCTAGCACCTACGACAACGGTGGCTGCTTTAGTAGATGGTGTCTGTCGGGAAGCCAGACATCTCCCATTCAACATGTGTGTCTCCCAGAACGCTTCGAAGAGGGACGACGCTTTTTGGATCCGCGACAGCTGGTGTTGGTTCTCACTTCCTCTGGTCTTACTTCGATATCTCCATCCGGTCGTCCAGCGCTGGCGGTTTTTCCAGTCAGTATCCGCGGATGGTACTTAGTGGGATAGAAATAGGTGCTATGCAGATATACTATGTGGTTTCGGGGTTGAAAGGAGATGATGGAGTGAGTCATTCCGCTAGGGTCGCGTGGGCTGATAACTCGTCACTGTCAGTGGAGATATTGGCTTTGCACCGCCAAAACGCCATTGTGGCCCGTGGCGTGGTTTCGGTGAGCAAACATTCGGGGGAATGTCTGATGCGTTTGTCGATTGGGCGGTCCTCGGAGAGGTCGATGGCGGCACCGGTGAAACACGCTGTCCATGTGTCCGTCCAGCATATATATGGTACGGCAATACAGATAGCGGAGGCTGTACCACGGGCTGAATCGACAAGCGAATGGCAGTCAGTTCTTTCCGCCCATTCTACGTTTTTGCTTTTTGATTTTGATGTAAACTACTGCAGCCCTGACGCAGCCCTTGTGCGTCCGTGGCACTACAAACGTCCACCAAATGATCGACGTGCATGGATGAGAAGAGGAGGAAAATTAAGACAAAAGCAACCTACTTTGGACCTGGGAGGCCACACGCTCTGTCAATACAAGCCACGCCTGCGACAATGGCGCGAAACTACCAAGAAGCGGTGCATTTGGTCCATGTTGGGCGTGACTATGACAATGCAAACCGAGGCGAAGAGTGTGAGGACGAGTTCGTTGGCAGCTCCACATCAACGGCTCAAAAGACAAAACTACCCTTAACGAACGGTGCTGAAACCTACACTATCAACCGTTGACTCGATCTGCCGATGCTGATACTTCCTTAATCAAAATCGAGGTGAAAGATCGAGATATCGACGCAAGACACCTGCTGTGTGTGGGTCTGCACTAGCTGCTATACAGTGTGGTTCAAGGATTTACAGCCTCCAGAATCAAACACCGTGCTGCATCCATCAGCATTCTCCCCACTCGTCACAACGCTCGGCACTCGTTCCGCAGGACTCCTCATTTGTATCTCGTGATCTTCATTCGTTAACATCTTCTTCGCACGGCTGCCCGTGGCGAGCTTACGGTGAAGCCTCCGTTGCCCAACGCCTGTTACGTCGATGCTGGCATAAGATATCGCCTACGTCCGCGCTGAGTCCTCTCTTTGGCCGCAATCTGCGCGGCCAGGGGACGCACTTTTTACTCGCCGACTTTCTTCGGGCCGTTGGAGGTTTCCGGAAACTCCAAGACCTGCTTGATTTAGCATCCCACCGCTTGGCTGACGGATAGTTTGAACGGGCTCACCATGTTGACCCAACCTCCACCTCCGTACTGCACTTTGCTAGGTCCCCGACTCACAAAGCCGACGGACTCGTAGAATGAGACCAACCTCTCGTACGTCAGAATGGAGATGCGGTCGGCAACGCCGCTGTTCTGCATGCGCTGGATGTAGGCCTTCAAGAGCGTCTTGCCGAGACCTCGACCCTGGACCTCGGGCTCAACGGCAAGTGAGTGGATGGCAATAGTGCGGCCATCTTCCTGGTGGCCAACAGATGCGTTGGAGGGGTATGGCTGATCGCGCCAGTTGGACGGCACGTTCATGTCGTCGTCCGAGACGAACCCATTGCGCGTCTTGGTGGCGCAGACCATGGCTGCAAGGGTTTAGCAATGCAGCACGACTGGCCTCGGCATCGAGCACACATACCAAGCAGGAACTCCTTCCGCTCCGGCGCACCGCTCTCGACGATGTGAGAGGTGCTGACGGTCGCAACATGGCCGGGAGCGCTCTCGGAGGTGGTGAACAGGCCGAGGCAGAGCTCGCCACAGACGGTGAGGCGGTAGACGAACTGGCGTGCAATAATGTCAGAAGCATGCGACGCGCAGACCTAGGGAGTGCAGGCGGGGCGGGGGCCACGTGACGGCGTGCGACACGGGGCGGACGCAAGAACAAGCTGCGACGCAGAGCAGGCGGAGATGTGCGATGGCGCAAGCCGGCGGCGTTGTGGTGGATTGGCGCGGGGGCGGGCTATTTGACATGCAGGCACCCAACCTACCTTCTCTCTGCTGCCGCGCTGGCCCTCGGCAAAGGCGGCGTTCTCGAGTTTGACGCAGTCGTCAACGTACGAGGGATTGAGCGTCTGCACGAGCGGGTGCAGCTCGTCGCGCTGCCGGCCCTTCTGCATGTCGTGCATCAGCTTGTCGCCCGGGTCCCTGTCGTCGCCAGATGCGTTGTCCTGGGCCGGGCTCTTGGTCAGCGGCGGCAGGCCGGCGAGCGTCATCTGCGGTGCGTCAGCGCGGCATCGCGTGCGGGCTGCCATTGCGGGCGCACCTTCTCGGACTCGAGATCGCGGGGCATTTTGCGGGATGGTGCACAGGGCCGCTGGGCGGTGGTGTTGTTGGTGCTGGTGCTGGTGCCGGTGCCGGTGGTGCTGGTGCGGCGCGCTGGTGCTCGGGGCTCTGGGCTCTGGGCTCTGGTGCTAGGTTTGGTGCTTTGGTGCTGCTGCTGCGCGGTGCGGCGCTGATGGTTGCGCAGCGTAGGTAGTGTGCTGCATCACCAAGCCCTACGGTCCACAATAAACGGCCATCGCTCCTGCGGCAGCTGCCAAGGCATGGACGCCACTTGGGCAAGCTCGAAGACGGTCGCCTGCTGGCCGCGGCCGCCACCGCACGCCGTTTGTGCCTGAGCGCCGGGGCGGCTGCTGGCAGTGTTATGTCATCCGGTGCCCCGCCATTCGCCTCTAGCTCGCCGAGCTACGACGCAACAGCATCCGGTGCAGCAACACGTAACAGACGCGCGCATCCTCCTCCCGCATCACGGCCTCCTCCTGCAGCGCTGCCTCACCGCCTGCCAGCTCTTTATCACCGTGCTGCTCGCCCGACACGCGCGCGCCCAATCGTCCTCGCCTCTCGCCGCTGCCGAAACACTCGCCCTCGAGCATTCCCCGAGCCCCCACTGCCCTCCCCCGCCGCCCGCTGCTACGTTGCCTGAGCCAACTCCAGGTGTGCGACGAAGTGTTCCTCGATCCGTCGTTGCCTGCATACCACGCAAGGAGCGCGAGATGTGCGTCCCCAGCCCCAAGCCTGTCCGGCCTGCCTGTGCGACGAGCTAACCAGAATCCCACAAAAGGCCGCGTATAACCATATCCATCAACGCGCCCGACGAGCCCGCCGACCAGGAGCTGCTGAACCTCGACCTGCCGCCTGGTCTGACCCTGGTCGATCTCAAGGGCTTCGTGCAAGTCGAGGCAAATTTCCCCGTCAACTCGCAGTACTTCTTCTACAATGGCCAGCCGCTCGCCGGCGACTCCATGACGCTTGAGCAGGCCGGCATCAAGGATGACGACATGCTGGTGGTGATGATTCGGCGGCAGGGCCAACGCCAGCAGGCTCAAGCCCAGCCCCAGGCCCAGCGCGCCGCGCAGCAAGCCGGCAGACCACGCCGCTCCCAGCAGGACGACGAGACCGAGACGACGCGGCTGCGCATCCTCGGCGACCACAATGCCCTACGCTCTCTCCAGGACTCGCGCCCCGAGCTTGCCGCTGCCGTGAACGATCCGAATCGCTGGCGAGAAGAGTGGATCAACATGAAGCGCATACAGGAGGAGCAACAGCGCGAGCATCAGCGTCAGCTGGACCTGCTGAATGCCGACCCTTTCAATATCGAGGCCCAGTCGAAGATTGAAGAGATGATTCGGCAGGAGCGCGTCATCGAGAACCTACAGCATGCTTATGAGCACAATCCAGAAGGCAAGTCGAGCGTAGTCTCTTCCTTTGTTGAGCTGTTTTCCATTCCCAGTAACCGTCTGCCCCCCTCCTCCTTTTCCGGATGCACGTCCCGACCGTTGTTGTACCGCGTGATCGCGGCCGTTTGTTTGACTTGCGCACCCAGTCGCGGCATTCTGTGCTGTGACAAGAGTGCGAGGAACTTGTCTGGAGCAGGTTCTTTGTGAGCTGGAGGTTACAGCTCCAATTATAGCGCCGGATGCGCAGGGGCTGTGTCATCAAGAAGGGCCAGCACGTCTCCCTCGCGCAACGCATGATATGATCTTGACAAATTGGATGGGCCCCTGGCCACAGGTACCCCGGGCCGACAAGGGCAGGACGACTATTTGGGGTGGCCGGATCTGTAGAGGTGCAGGTATCCCAGAAGACAAGCTCGCACTGTCTATGAACCAACAGCCAGGAGCTTGCAAGGTTCATTCGCGCAAGACACGAATCTGCCATGTCCTCTCCTTCCCAGGAATGCTTTCCTCAAGCATTACATCACTTTCGTTTCAGTTGGTCCATCTTCTCGGGACTCTGTTCATTTAAGAGGGAGCGTCTGCGTTGCGGAGAACCCGAAGCTAATAGTTCATCGATACAGTCTTTGGACGCGTTACAATGCTCTACATCAACTGCGAAGTCAACGGACAACCGGTCAAGGCCTTTGTCGACTCCGGTGCACAAGCAACCATCATGTCACCATCTTGCGCCGAAGCCTGCGGCATCAAACGACTCATCGATAATCGCTACGCGGGAATGGCTGTCGGCGTCGGCACGGCAAAGATTCTCGGACGAGTACACCACGCAGAAATCAGCATCGGTGGAGCAATCATGCCTTGTGCATTCACTGTCATGGAGGGCAAATCAGTTGATCTGCTCTTCGGCCTGGACATGTTGAAGCGATACAAGGCCAAGATCGACTTGGAAAAGAACTGCCTGTGCTTCGAAGGCATCGAGGTTCCTTTCTTGCCAGAATCCGAGATACCCAAGTCTTTCGAGCGGGCTCAAATGGACGAGCCAACCGTTTCTGGTCCGAACGGTACTGAGGTTGGCACCAGGTCCGGTGCCGTACGTCCTGCTGCAGGGTCTACCACAGCCACATCGTCAGGATCTGCCGGCGAGTCAAGCTCCAGTGCTCAGGCGCATCAAGGCTCTAGATTGCAAGGTCAGGGGCGCACTCTGGGCACTCCAGAGCAGAGGAATGTTTCAGCTACTTCCTTCCCGGCTTCCGATATCGACCAGTTGGTTGGCTTGGGGTTTTCGAGAGAGCAAGCCATCAACGCACTACGAGCATGTGGCGGAAACGTAGAGTATGCCGCGAGCCTACTGTTCCAGGGATAAGCGGAGAGGAAGGCATACTATCAGATATCATCTTTAGGAAGAAACACATGGCCGAATGAGGATACGAGGCTTGTCGTGACGGAGAAGCCGGTCGAATCGGGAGATTGATGCATGATGGTGGCATAGAACATGGTTCGGCGCTTTGCGGTCACTTTTTCTGCTCTAGCACACTTCCACTTTCGCATCCAACGCTCCTCTTGGCTGTTTTCTGCTCATCGATTCCTTAAATATAAGCAATAGCAATCCGCTGTCTCGCATTTCCACACCTATTGCTGCAGGTACGCCGCCACCACCAGTCACTAAAAAAAACCAGCAGGATGGGCGTCCATAGCTGAGGGGTCCGACATGATCCATTATTGCATGCGCGAGGGAGTATCACCTACATCACGCGCAACCTTTGTTTTTCTACCGAGTAATACACATGAACAGTTGTCCTACCATGGCCGGTTGTCATCAAGCCCCGATAACGCCACGAAAGATATAGTCGCCCATCGCAGTGCCTGTCCTGACTATCGCTGTTTGTACAGGCAAGGCTTCAGCACCGCCGACTCGTCAATCCCGTCATCCTCAGCCTCGATGAATTTGGCTTTGGCCTCCTTCTTCCTGAACGTCTTGCCCGACTCAGCAGCCAGGCGGGCCGCATTCTCGGCATAGACCTCCTCGTTCGCCTTGACGTTCTTGCCCTTGACGGGCGCAGTGGCCTTGATGAAGCTCATGCGGACGAACATCTTGTTGCGCAGATCAACTGCGTCACGCTCGCGCGATGGATCCGGGGCATCCAGCACGAAGCCGCGCTTACGCAGAACCTCGACGAAGGCCGAGACATCCGTCTCCTGCTTGCCGCTGGCGGCGCCGTCGACTTCGACAGCGAGCTCCTCTTCTTCCTCTTGCGCGGCAGCCTCCTTGTCCTTCTTGTCGGCGCCACTTTTCTTGCGAGCGGCCTCGACCTTCTTCTTCTGGCGCTTGCCGACGCTATGGTCGACGACCTTCTTTTCGCGAGTGTTGCTGACGCGGCCGAAGCGGGACTTGATCTCGGCGATCCACAGCTCGCCCTTCCAGTGCAGCACGCGCCACGCCTCGTCGATGAAGTCGAGCCAGTTGGTGCCCATCAGAGCCAGACAGAAGACGGCAACGTCGACGCTGCCGTCGGGCAGCGGCAGGTTTGCAATGTCCGCCTTTGTGATCAGCGGGTTGGGCGCAGCGAGGTCGAAGCTGTGGACGCGCAGGTTCAGTGGCTGCAGATGCGGCTGCAGCTTCGTTGCCAGCGCCGCGTCGCCGCAGCCCAGGTCTGCGATGATACTGGTGCCGCGCGTGCGTGGCAACGGCTTCAGTTGGTGCGCCGCCGCCGCCGCGACACGCTTCTGCTCCTCCTCGTCGCTGTCCTCGGCCTCGTCCGACGGCCTTTCTCCCGGCTTGCGGTATCGGCCAGACGTGTGCTCTTTTTCCTTGCGTTTGAGGATCTTGTCACGCCAGTTCTCGCGCACAGCGCCACGCGTTTGCACGAGCGAGACGAAAGTGTCGACCGGGTTTTCCGGCCAGCCGGCGACCTGCTGGCGAAAGCCAGCGTGGTACTCGTTGAATATTTGCGGGTCCTCGTCGATGAGCTTGAGTGAGTGCTGGGACGGCGTTGTGTAGAGCGTCTGGTTCAGGTGTCGGAAGCGCGCGCCAACCAGCTTCTCGCGCATCTTGGCTTGGAGAGGCGTAAGCTTCGTATTCATCGGCGGGAGCGCCGGCGGAACGGCTGGAATCGCGGGAGCCGTGATATCAGCAGTAGCTTGTGCAGCGTCATGTTGCTTCTTGCCATGCTGCTTATCCTTCTGCTTCTTCTCATGCTTGTTGCCCTTCTTCTTGCCCTCGCCCATCTTCAAATCCTGCTGTTTCTCGACTTTGTTCTCCTCTACCTTTCCCTCGCCGTTAGACTCCCGTCTCTGCTTCTTGCTTTTGTTCTTGCCCTCGTTCTTCTTGCTGTCGTCACCCACACCCTTCTCCTGCACGGCAGGTGCCGCTGTGCCTTCTACCACCTGTGCCCACATGTCGCCAACATTCTCCCCGCTGACCTGTGCACCCTGCTGCCTGCCCTCTTTCCTCTTGCGCTTCTTCGAGTTGTTGGCGCTACCCGCCTTTGGGACGGGCGCTTCGGCCTTCAGCGGCGCGGAGAGATTCCAACCTGGGACTGCGAACATTGCGGGCGATTGGTACTGGCGATCGCGAATGAAATGGTGTGAAGAGGGAGGAAACGCGTCGGTAGGTGGAGGGTTGGCTCGAAGATTTGTTCGCGCGCAGCTTGGAATTTTCTGGGCGGTCGGGAAGGCGGTGGGCAAAGGAACCTATGCGGCATGCGGAAAGGTAATCCGGCATTCCGGTTAGGGTGGAGTTTCGGGTACATCACGGCCCGCTATCGATAGGCTAGGTTTACTAATCCGCCTGAAGGAGTTATCTAAACGCATTAAGCGGATATCTCATCTCTTCGTGATGCCGTGTTCACCACCTCCGGAGTCTGGCTTTGTTATGGCAGAATCGTGCGATTTAATTGGCGAGATTACACGCTCCGCTGTGAGAAGCGAGTGTTGTCACGATCCGCCCCATGAGTCACTCCAACGACTTACGTGACGTCACGTGACTTATCTATAGATAGATACCTAGTCCTCTCGTACGGTCTTTCTCTCGGAGAATCGTATAACCTTTTATTTCTTAATTCGACTCTTTTAAGTTTTCTTCGTATTCTATCTAAATCTACTCTAAATTTAAAATAGTAGGATAGAGATAAGAAAACTACTTAAAAACTTATATTATTAAAAAATACGCGGGCGCTATTTACTAATATATCTTCTAATACGTTTATTTATATCGTATAAAACTAGTAGTTATATTCTACTTAAATATATACTATATATATATATATATATTTATCTCTACTTTTTCTCTTTTTTTTCTTTTTCTTTCTTTCTTCTAAAAAGGATTTTCTACCTACTATAAAAGAACTAAAAATAAAAAATAATAAAAACCGCTATAAATTTAATCTCTTCTTTTTCTTTTAAAATTACTTTTTTTTTTATCTTTTACCTTAGATTTTTACGTAAAATAGAGGATAAGCTTAAAAAAACTCGTTAGTATTATATATATATATATTACTATTTACTAGTTTTACTATATACCGCGGTATTTT